CTCCCATCCTAATCTTATCACCGCTTACAATGTCTGAATTATTCTTCACGCGCTCAACACCAACTACACACTTTGGCCTGCATTTATATGAGCTAGTATTGCTATCACACAGAGAAATCGGGATCAGTTCGCACATAACTCGCCTACTTCTACGAAGTACTCCTTACACACGCTAACATCTCAACTTGATGTCTATGTGAGGAATAATCTGCGTTGGAGATATTATTCGTTAACCGGTATCGCATCATTTCATGCAGAAGCATTTAGAGAAATTGGATCAATGGGGAATGATGGTGGAGATGAGCAGGATGAAATGGAATGGAATGCAATGCAATGCAGTGGAGTGCATTGTAGTGGAGTGGAGTGGCGTGGCGTGCAACTCACCTTCTCATTCGACAACGTAGTTCACTCAGGCGGTCACCGAAATCACTTGTGCTCGTTCTCTCTTGAGACCAGAGTTGTTCAGCTATTGCAGCAGCGTGAGGCCTTTGTTGGGTAAGGGAGGTATGAAAAGGTGAGAGACGAGTAGTCAGATGTACTCAAAGACAGTATGAGTTATACAATTGGTGATATTTAAATGTGGCTGTAGCTGTTGGAGATACGGTGGTGAATATCTCTCTCTCGATGTCAGCAACAGTTGCAAGAAATAACAACTTCACCACGTCTTCACAGTGCGCTGTGTAGATGCAGGTCATTCTTTCATCCTCGTTCCACTTGTCAATATTAATGCCTTTATGAATAACACGACTGTACGTCTTTGAATGAATGACACTATTCGACCAGTGAAAAATATCGCCTTGATTCTAGTGACTCACACTGACAACCTCGTTTTCAGCCTTTTCGTTTCAACGAATTCAGAAACGACGAGTTTTCCACCTGTAGTCAGACGAGTGATCAATTTCATAAACTAAGAATTGAATAGCAAAACAAATCATCCATCTCTTACCATGAAACCAACATCAGATTCACATCATCCACGTAGTCCCCTGGAATCACACCCTCTCCTCCAACCACCAGTGTCGATTTCTCTGAACTACCTGAAACAATTGGAAATGTGGAACTCAGTTAACAGCGTGAATGTGACAGTGGAAATTAAATTGTATGATGATTGTGGCTGAGATGGGGAAGTCAGTTTGTGATTGCATGTTACTCTGTGTGACTGATGATTTTGTGTGTGTGCATTTGTACCTTCTGCTGAATGTATCGGTCTTCCAGATGTACTCACGACTCATGTAAGTGATTCACTTATTCGCACACACACACGCACACGTATCCCGTATCGCGGATATCATTCTGCTAGATATGAGCTCAGGAATCGTTGAGGACTGAGGTTTGACTACTTCAGAGATCTCTCGATCTGTATGTCACTATGTGAGATCACTTTTCTCTCAGAATTACGTGGAATGCATCACTCTGAATTCACTTATTATAACCTCACGCGAGTGATTGAGATGGGTGGTTGTGATGACAGAGATTTTTCGACGGATGTTGATTATGCAGTGTATATAGTTAGAATTAGTTGAATAGATCATCGTCACTCTGAACTCCTGAATGAGTCACATTTTACTCACGAATTATGAGTGTTGAGATGACACAATTGATTGGGTGAAGTGAATGATGACGAGTACTAGTCACAGGAAATATGTTCACTTCAAACATTACTTGAAACACTTAGAGATAAGGATAATTCTAGTTCGAAATATTTGCATGATTCATCTACGAACCTGATGAATCTCAGAAAGACTTACTTGCCTGAGATATAATAGAAACAAACAATTGCAACACGTCGGAATTACCTTCGAAATTCAAGGGATCACACTCGTAGAACGCCCGCCAGTCATCTCCAACACCACCCACATCACTGAAATTCCAACACGACGAAATGAGAACTTTGAATCCCGCTCCCGTGATCTCCTCAACACTCTTCTTCCATCCTTCAGATTTGTGCACTTGAACAATCATATCCTTGTCACTCTAAACACAGAAGAAGAGGAATTCACCAGTCAGTCGGTCAGTCAGTCAGTCAGTGGGTCACATGTTAATTGTTTCGATGGGGGAGTGAGCGAGTTAGCTATTAGTAGATGGGAAGACATCAAACTCTGACACATTCAAATATGACATTGAGAAATATTTCACACGGTGAAAGATGAATGTTGTCTGTTTATCGTTTTAGTTGTGATGGAGATTTTAATGTATGGTGTCAAGCAGTAACCTAGGATTTCTACAAAATCCTGGGTTGGTGAAAAGAGTTTGCATCAACCCTGATTTGTGTGGAGTATCTATCATGTGTGCAACGATGTTCATGAGTAAGCTCAGTCTAATGAGTAGTTCTCACTTAGCGATTCCCTACTATCTAGTCCTGTTGAAACAGCACAGTCAGTTCAACAGACTTCATGACTGAGTGTTAGGCGAAATTGCATCCCTGTGCTATGTGAATTCTTTCTATCATCAGAGTGAATATACGCCATCATCTTTGTCAACTTATTTGTCTTGTCATGGATTTGAATAGTGAGACTGGTGAAAGAATTCACTTCAGTGTTAGTTAGCACTTAAAGACAACTGGTCGATATGCGGATCACAAACACCACCGGTTAACCTCGAAACACTGTGGAATTTCGTTTCCAGTGATTGAATGACAACGACACCAATCACGAAGTCTGAGTGTTAGAATAGAAATGCGACTATGATTGATGCAGTCATTCGGTATTTTAGTATTTCCAATCACCAACAGTACACGATCATTACTCCAGTTCACTATATCACTCTGAAAGTTAATTCGAAATTGACATGCACTCACTGCACACAATCTAACACAGATGAGCATTATCAATGTACACTTACACGAAATCCATTCTCATATACATCCTGCCAAACAATCGGAACCATTGCAGATCCAGATCCCAGCGATGAGGATTTGACAATTTCTACAAGTTGTTCCATGTAGTAGTTTTCCAACTGTGAGTAGTCAGTGTTGAATTGTTTCTCCTGCATGAAATTTGTGATGTCAGGATTGGATTGCCTGTGAAACGAGAGTGGAATGATGAGGGAATATTTTGTGTTTCGGTGTGAGACGAGCATACAGACCAAAATTAGATGATTAATGTAATCTAATCATACCACTTCACACTGCTTCTATCCTCATATGCTAATCTCCATCACTCTCACATTCCCTCGAGCACTTTACACAAATTGCTTCCTCACGATCATGACAAAAGACTATACTCATCAATAGTTGTTCATAGAATTGTATCAAGTTCAAGTAAGAGAATACACCAAAATTGTTATCCAGCTCACCTACCTCATATCTATTCCATCACACATCACTTCAATTCGCTCTCTTGCTCACTCTCTCTATATCCCTCTCTATTTCACTCTCTCCTCCACACATCCACTCTAATATTCAGAGTGCATCATTCAAAACATGGTGAATATTATGTGAGAATGCATTGATTGAGTGAATCAGTGAAACCGTGCAGGATAATCATATAAGTGAGAACTCACCAGCATGTGAAATCCACGTCATCACCGCCCAAATGAACATGGTTGTCAGCAGAAAATACACTGAGAATTTCCTGGTACAAATTGTGAATGAAGGTGAGATTGGTTGGATTGACAGGACCGAGTATCTGATTTCCTTCTTCGTCTTGAGTGTGACAGGGAGTGAGTACATCGGGATAGCCATTTCCCCATGACTGTGTATGTGCTGTGAAATAGGAGAGATGAAATATGAGATGTGGGTGATTACTGATGCTGACAGTCATGAGAAGAAATTTTCTTATTCAGAAGGTTTCATTTGACCTGAATGTAAGTATGATCGTGAGTTGAAATCTATCGGAATTCATGAGGTTACTGTTTCTGCCTGACTTATGTACTTGGGTGTGAGGATTTATTGTTGATGCTCCGTCCTTTCTTTATTTCTCACAGTAATCTTAGTCATTTTCCCTTTCCTTCTCCATATTTTGTATATACCTACAGGTAATCTTCACGATTCATAGGCACAAAATGAGTCTTAGATTTGTGTCTCGAGTATCCTGTAGACAGTGGATATTCGATGGCTAGTTCTGCTGAACACACACCCTATGCAATCCACTCACATTTTTCACAAAATAATCTGTATGGATAGTGCAACTGGTCACAGTCGTCAGCAATTTCAGTGAATCCGTCATAATCTCGAACAGAAACAGTTTGGAAAATAGACTCTCCATATCGGGATATTAGCCTTTTTGAACTGATCACATCACGGTCAATCGGTATCACTGCAGATATGCTACTGTCAGAAGAAATGCACAATGCTGAATTGAAGTCAGTGATTCTCAGTGGAATTAAAGGAGTGCCATTGAATCAACCTACTTCTAATTTACCATATCAATCAGACAGTCGGGTTATTCATGAATAATCCTCACTCAGATATTGATGAAAAACAAAACTCGTAGTTCAGCGAAGAGTCTCTTTTCAAGTAATTCATTTGACAAACTCCCTATGAATTCACAAATCAAAACCAAGTCATGAATGTTCAGGGAGTTCAAATATCACGGTGAATACTAATCTAGTAACAAGGAGTTTTCATTGAAAACCCAAAATGGATTTGAACATTTCAATCCTCACGTGACAATATCACACTCACCTGGTGTATCGAATTCCGGAATTATTCGAATTCCACGAACACGCCCATACTCCAGTAGATCAACTATCTCATTACGCTCGTACACGTACACCTCAGGATGATATGCACCCTGCACTCACAGTCCCCGTTGATTACCTCAATTCAACAAGTCATCAATCTCACTCACCTTGTTTGACAGTTCAGGATATGTGGAGGAGACGTACGGAAACGATTCAGTGTCTGTGATATGCCAGTGTAGAACATTCATTTTCACCATGGCCATCGCATCCTAAAGTGTGCAAGTGTGTGTGTGTGAGTGTGTGTTAGTGTTTCACGTTCTCCCTTGAGTGGAGGGAGGTGAATGATGACTTACAATGAACTTGTGGATTTCTCCGATGGTGAGGAAATGTTTCGATGTGTCTAGCATGAGTCCACGATGTGGAAATCTGGGTGAATCTTGCACTATGAATTTTCGTATGATTTTCTGAGATGAAAGGAATGAATGAATGAATGTGAGCTAGTGAAACGAGACTATCTCTGACTTACTGCACCACAGTCATCACTGTATATGTGTTGTAATATGGTTTCCAATCCGTGTAGGATTCCCCATACTTCAGTAGCTGTGAAACTCACGTCATCTCCTATGAAGGCAATGGAATCTTTCGATGTCTGTGTAGAGAAATGCATGTGATTGCTTACATGATTCGTCCATGGTGTTTGATGGCCTCAGTGCTGCTTCCCTCTCATCACATCCCCGTGTAATTGTCAACCAAATCGTATCGATGATGCAGGAAGTCTTGTTTGCAGTTAGTTGTGGAAAATTTTCCTGGAGAAGGCGTCGTTGAAATCGTTTAATAGCCTCCTTCATTGTAATACACGAATGATAATTCCCACGGAATTCAATCGGTTCTCTGATAACACAATACTCGTTATCCACAGTGTACTTCCCCGGTATGGGTATGATAGATAGAGACGGATGGATTATCAGAGATGAGAGAGTTAACAGGATCCACTGAATCATGACTACAATGTTGACTGTTAGTTTGAGTGAGAGCTGACAACTTGAATCTAGTCGACAGAGTTGACTGCTTTTGTCCTTCCAACGGAGTTTTTAAGTCGAAAGTGTGTGTGTGTATCGAGATAATGCTGATTGGTCGACAAGAATTATGAGAACATTCAGAGTGAGAGAGGGAGAGATAGACAGACAGAGAGATAGAGGGAGAGAGAGGGCGACTGTGTGTTTGAGATATGTGTTGTATTGACCATGCTCCTTTTAACATTGAAGCTCACATTATTATGAGTGACTGACAGACTGGCTTGGTTTCACTATCGAACTTCACACAGAAGTACAGATGTTCAGGTTGCCACTGCTGATTAGCACACAAAGGCAGAGATAAGACAGAAGAAATGAGACGAAAACAGATTGGACACAATTGCGATAAGGAGAAGCGTAAGACAGAAACGAAAGCAGCATAATATCAACAATAAAGCTTCCTTTCAGACATTATGGGAACACATAATACAGAAACTTCCAGCGTATTTATTTCCAAAATATTTCCTCTTCGCACAGCATTTATATGTTAAGTGATAATCTCGAGTAAATCATGTGATGTTGTTGCTTTGTTGCATATGAAGACAGAACCAATGTTGCAATTTGTGTCTTCATTTCCTTCAAGAATTGCACAGCGTCCAGCTGGAAGCTAATTAAACAAGTGTTCGACTTCATCTAGTAGTCATCTGATATAATTGCATGATTTAAACAATGCGAAATCCAGAATAGTTTAATCATTTTGTTGGACGGAAATTCTGGTAGCCCAATAAATCAATCGGGTCGGTGAAAAGACAAGGATTTTTAGCTAAATCAGAGATAGTTTTCTTCCAATAGTTCTTGACATTCCGAGGACCCCAACTAGACAGCCAACACCTCCCTACGTGATTCGAACCAATCGTCATAGAGTCCACATGCTGAATCCAGAAGTTTAATTGACTACTCCTAACACCTTTCCAGCCTAATCATATGTCGGCTAGCACAGCCCCTAGTGTAGATAGATGGCTCGGAATGTGCAAAATCTGTCCCAGCCATCTCAGTCAGTGTAGCTACATAAACCAATCGACTAACTTACTCTCCTCATCTGACAATCTACGCTTAACTTCAATATTTCTCACGCTATTACATCACTTAACACCAGTGGTGAAACAGAAACATTTGTGATCAGAGATCCTTGTTTTATCGCTCCCCAATATCTGATGCATGTGCTGAATATGTCTGGATAAACCTTTCAACTAACAATTGAATATAATCTTAACAGCCAATTTCTCATAATCCTTCCACACTGTCTCTCTCTATCTGAATATGACTTTAAATTCATCTTCAGCTTTCGCTTTACTATGACTCAGTCATTTGGGTTTAAATTATTAGGAAATGGTTCAAGGTGAAAATGATAGAAATAACAATCGAAATGACAAGGGAGGGATATACATTCAGACTGAATATTCAAAATGGGAAATAAGTAGGGTGAATGTGGAAATGTGGATTATAACAGTTTAGCATAGACAGCAGATTAGGGCGATGAATGAAGGAGTTGTTAAGCAAACTGCTCCTGTCTTCAAAACTCTGACATTTCTATTTCTTTGGCCAAAGCGTTAGCGATACAGAGAAGTCGGACATGTGATAATTTGGGCATTTTATTTAAGCGCTTCATAGATGACTTCAAATAGAAGAAGCTGTAGAGATAAGAAGACCAGTATCGATCAGATGTTCATTTATTGAGCTTCTTACATATCCGTTCCGACTTCTTCGTAACCAATCAGGATAGAATTCTCTCGTAGTTACAAAGAGGTGCCGAAATCATTACAGGTGTGACTCCTCTGTATTGCTGAAGCTTTGGCCAACAAATTAGAGAAGTCACAGTTTTGAAGACAAAAGCGGATTGTTCAACATCTCTTTTATTCATCGCCCTTATTTAACTATCCTAAAGTGTTATAATCCAAATTTCCACCTTCGCCCTGTTTACTTTCCGTTTTGAATATTCAATCTGTCTGTATATCCATATCAGTACGAAGAGCAAGATTCAGTTCTCGAACGACAATCCAAAATCCATTGTTCTATGTGGTTGAGGGACTTGGACTGTCACACAAAGCATTTCCAAAAGATTTCAGACTTCTCTCCACTGCTATCTGCTCTACCTTGACACTGAAATTCATATGGCCAGGAGGGATTAGCAACAGGTTAGTCTGAGAACGTACCGACCACGAAGCCATCATCCAGAAGAAATATTCAAAAGGAAATGAAAGAGATGGGTTGTGTGTACGCTGGGGATACTGTTGACTGATATCACACACAAGGCATCCGCTGTGGTGGAATCGTACTGGAAAATGGCTTGTCAAGTGACCTACGGCGATATGGAGGAGACACTGTGTTCAGGGGATGACAGATTATGGGCAGTCGTGTAGATAAGACGGCGGAGGACATAATGAAATGGAGATGTCCTGTTGAAGCCTTGAATTCCGCTCGAAAGTCAGAGTAATAATATGATCAAAAAGTTTTGCGAAGATTTCTCTGCAAATTTTACTCGCAAATCGATAAATTAAAAGTCACTTTCTTCAACACCGTGTTCATTTCAAAAGTCTTCCGCTTTGTGGTTTGATAGCATTGAAAACTCCTAGTAGGTAATGATTATCTAATTCCTTCATTAATACTATGATCAATGAGAATGTTTTGGAGATGCGTCGGGAAAGAAGAGGTTAAATTGCTTTCTCCAACTAATTAAACGACACTTTGAAAACTAGTTAGTTACCCATTCCACGTAGTCTCCTATAAATTCATCCTTTCAACAACCCAACATCCATTCTTGTGAGTAACGCGTGGCACAAAGAGTTTCAGCAATTTGCTTTTTCTACTGGTGTGAAGTAGACAGTATGATGACCGTCAGTGAATACCTAATGTAGGACCTAGTGTTTTATGAAACATATATATGTCATCGCATATTGTTTATTGTATTATAGCTTGATTCCACACAGTATTTTGGTACAAGTATGGAATTTTGAGCATGTGATAAAGGTAGCCCAAACTTAGCAGACCGACCATAGATATCAGGTGTACGTCGACCGCGAATCGAACTCCGGACCATGTTCAGGGTCGGCGAGTGTCCTAAACGCCTTGCCACCGACACACATGATGAAAGTGTCATAATACACATATCTCCCATAAAATCCGAGCTCCTTGATAAGTCGACCGATGACAACTACCCACCATTCATCTTTAATAACGTTATTTGTAATTTAGTAGTAAATTGCAAAAAGGTTATTTCAGCATTGGGAATTGATTTCTCGATATTAGAATCCGAAGATATTATGTTTAGCCTCAATCATGTACGCAGTCAAATATACATTTTCTTGAAGTGATTGTGTGAAATTCTATTTTCACTTGTCAATGAATGTGGATGTATCGTCCGTCCACTGATCGATAAATCTGATCTAGAGACTCCGTGTACAGTTTTAAACTTCCTAACAGAACCATGAATCTGGTTGAGATTATAACAAACCATGTTCGACTTGTAACTTGACTCTACTGAGTCAACTTCTCGCTGTGGTTATCACAAGAACTCTTCTGATATGTCCTACAATAGGATGAAACAAGTGTCTAGTGTTCCTTGCTCTCATTTAATTAATTATCTAACTGTAGTCGTTCCGTCATGGAATCTACATTGACACTATTTCCTTACACTTTCAAATAACTATTTTAAAAAATATATAATCTTGTACGGGGTGCCACCGACAATTATACATCTCATCCAACAGCTATACGACAATGCTGCATGCCAAGTAATCCACAACGGAAAGCTCACGGAATCCTTCGAAGTGAAGACAGGAGTAAGACAGGGTTGCCTACTATCGCCAATGATTTTCCTGATTGCAGTAGATTGGATAATGCGACAAACAGCGGGCAATGGAGAAACAGGCATAAAATGGACTCATACAAAGAACTTGGAGGATCTGGACTTCGCCGATGATATATGTCTGATTTCCCACAAACTGGAAGATATGCAAGTGAAAAGTAACAAGTTGGCAGAAGAAGCATCAAAGATAGGACTCCAGGTGAACATAGAGAAAACGGAGGTGATGAAGATCCCTGGCCAACACCACCAACAACAACAACAGACAGCAATCAGCATAAATGGAAAGAACCTGAAAGAAACTACCTCCTTTACCTACCTACCTGGGAAACATCGTTTCAACTACACGCGGAACTGACGAGGATATCAAAGCAAGGATCGGGAAAGCAAGGCAAGCTTTCATTACTCTCAAATCTGTGTGGAGGTCAACATCATTCAGCGTCAAAAATAAGATCGGGATTTTCAACTCCAATGTGAAGTCAGTGCTACTCACAATACAGATCAGAGACTTGGCGGGTCATAAAGAGCATCTCAAACAAACTGCAGACCTTCAATAACAGTTGTCTTCGCTCAGTACTCAAGATCAGATGGCCAGAAAAGATCAGCAACAGAGATCTCTGGCAATGAGCGAACCAACCAGGAACCGATTGTGAAACAAATAGGCAGGAAGAAATGGAGATGGATTGGCCACACTCTGAGGAAACCATCAAGTGACATCACTAGACAAGCAATAGCTCGAGTGGAACTCGAAAGGGAAGCGACGAGTTGGTCGTCCAAGGGTGACCTGGAGGAGATCATGTGAGGAGGAGATGAAAGCATGTGGGCAGACTTGGAGCCAGGTGAAAACTCTAGCAGAGAACCGAACGCAATGGAAACGCATGGCTGAAGCCCTATGTTCCTCTAGGAACTAAAGGAAATAATAATAATATAATCTTGACTTAATGGAGAAGAAGAAGCACATTCTCGTAGTCCATTTTAAGACACTTTTTCTGTTCTACCTACTAACATGGCAGTTTTATAATTATCTAAACAGTACAGTATATGTTAAGTCTCCTAACACCTATGTGGATATGATTTTTCAACATAGAAGTTTGCACAAAAGTGTCACACTTCAATAAAGCACACTGGTTGGTAGGTAGATAGGTAGATAAAGAGGAGAAATGGAGCAAACGAAGCCATAATTAAAGGAAATTTACTGAGAAAAGTACAGCTAAATGAAGACTAATGAGTTTATCTGACAGCAGTTTAGAGGAAGTGAATGCATCTACACCACAAAGAACGATCTTCAGTTGCTTTTCGACGTCTCTAATCAGATAGTTTGCACCTCTCTGTATGTGGCTCAAACCAATGCTGAAGAACTTTATGATTACTACTATGTTTTGATTTGACCACGCCTAACTCTTTTACAACTAGATCCAGTTTTAATTAACATTGATCGACGAAAAAGGGCGGTAGCTTGGCGTGTGGAACACGTGTCTTAGCTGCCTCAACCGATGAATCTTCACAGCATTCTACCAGTGTGCCAAACGAAACGTTAGAGTTACTCAGTTCAATTTCGCTGAGATTTTACAAATATAATTTTTACATATGTCTACTTCTCAAATGGTGCCCAATTATTTTTTTGGAATTATTCGGTCACATCTTGATCACAGTTCATATGATTCATTCTACTTGTATGGCCCTTTAAATTGAAAAGTAGTCTTGACCACTTTGGATATCACGTTGTCTATTCATATCGATGCGATACAATGAAGGTGTACTCGATTAGGCCACAACTGAACATACTTCGAAAAGTGAAAAGTGACGATTTATGATGTTGTTATTTATTCCTTTACGTTCCCAGTGGAACATAAGGCTACAAGTTAGTGGCTTGAAGTTTCGCGAGCAGTGGTGTTTATTTTTACAGGATGGTGTTGTTAGTCTCATAGCCAATCTTACCTCTTTACCAGTCTTATTACCGGCTTAGAGAGATAAAGCAGTTGTTCGGCTGATGATCGAATTCGAGACTGCATGCGTGGCTTGGAAGTATTCTTCCTCGGTGCCACTGACGTGATTATTGATGTGGCACTAAGGAGTAGAATATACTCCTACTGGAATAGTACTAAGACGTAGATAACTTCTTGCTAGTCGGGACACTGAAATCACATCAGTAAGTAAATGCATCCACTATCAGACACTTACAGAAACTAAATTCCTGTCACTTACGCTACACACTGCCTGTAAACTCAACCGTCTTTGAACTTGCCTCTCCTATTTCCATTTTAATTTTAAATTATTTTGTAAGTACTGTAAAAGGTGGTCGCTTACATAAACAATAAAAATCTGTCCCACGATTGTCAATATTATACTCCAGATGGAAACCTCATTCCTATCAGTACATGTTTTACACACTAGGTGACACAAACACAAATGCAGTGTCCGACTGTTAGCCTTAACTATGTAGGATCGTCAGTAGCTCTGATTTAGATATATTCACGATTTATCCTCACGTTTTCTTAAAAAATATCACTCCCATGTCTTTCTCCAACTCCCTTTGTCTTTTCTCGCAATGAAGCCTACAATTTCTCATTGTGGCTTTCATTCTGTTCGTTTTCTATAATACATAATGTAAGTTAATGTATAAAAATGAGTTGTAGTCAATTCGACTGCTATGCAACAATATTACACCGTGCTCTAACACTTTCTGTATATATGTATGCAGATAATAAGCATAGAAGGCATCTGTAAGATAATAAATCATTGTAAACAGACTTCAAGTTTTATTACAAATCAGAAATTATGAATATCAGTAATTCACGTTGAAGATGATTCCATTCGTATCTATTTGAAATTTCATCATGACATAACACCACGCAGGTAATACACCCATTGAAATCCTTCACCCTTTTCTGTAGATCTTATGTCTGGTGATGATGCCGTTTGCTGTTGTGTGGAGGTGACGTAGACGATGGAGAAGAGGAATACGCGCCATCTGTAGCTGCACCTGTTGTTTGCCCCTTCCGAGTTAATCGTGCACTCGATTGAGCACGTACTGCAGTTACCACTAGTTTACCGGTCACTGGTGATCTGGTCACATTATCATCAAGACCGATTGGTATTCGAAATTCTTTATTCGGTCGAATGATTTCACTTTGTTTTGGCAAGTTGAATACGGTATTATCAACCTAGAAGTGGAAGAGGAATGAATTCTATGATTAGTTTCCTGAATAAACTGAGTAGTTTTGAGTAATCATAGTTCTTACAATAAAATTCAAAGGGATGCAGTTAAAAGTGCCCAATTCCTTGGTAGACGTAACTCTGCAAGTGCTGGAAACACGCACACATTTATTTAAACTGCAATGACGACAATCTGGAACAGGTTAGTGTTTTGATTCATCCTTAAGTTATCAGCCAAGACAAAATATGGTTAGAGCGACGAAGGAAAGAGTCCAAAAGAAGGGAGATGAACAATCTAGTAGTTATTGATACACTGAATACAGCAGTTAGAATGTGTGTTCTAAATGGAAACTCTTCAACTGTAGCACTTTGGAAGTCACGAAGTCCTTAGGGATGAAATAGAATGAAGCCATAATTTATTTATTGCTAGAATTACTACTGTGTGATGTCATGTTGATGAGAACATTTTTAAGTATAATAGAGGCCAATCGAAGGTGGAATTAGATGTGTTTAGTTCTTTGTTTGGTGTGAACCGAATTCTATCACTCAGATTTGCGCTGTGGCCACCAGTAATGACAATAAGTCAGAAGGTACCGTAACGGCGATCTAGCTAGCATGGTGATCACATTGCAGAATTGACTGATAGAACTCAGTCTACACCAAGCAAAGGACTAGAAGCATGATTCTAATTACTAATTGGTGTCGAATCAGAGTATCTAATACAGACCTGCAAGAAGTCAGCGACAAGTTCGAATTGCTCAGTAGTAACATCAGGTTGGACATGACTTCCTTCAAATTTGCAGATACGCCTTACTGACTGGTGAGTGCCGACAAGCATGAAACCTGTGTCACAGGCTTTCTTCAGATTCCCTCCAACCACTTAATAGTACAATATATATTCGAAGTACTTCAGCACTCAATATCGACTGTTTAGCTTAAAGCCAAGCCATACTGTACAGTCTAAGGAGTTATCTTGTCTCTGTGTAGATTGATGTTTATCGTAAACTGTCTAGTCAGTGTTTGTATAGCACGGAATACCTGAACGGAAATACTAGCAACATAATGCATACGGCCACATATGTCATCCTTCCAAATGAGAAAAACTTTACACTGAAGGACTCTACTCCTGCAGTGAAATATATTTATCTTGTGAATTTGGAAAAGTTCCCTCCTGAGAGTATAATCTAGGCGGTGCTTTGATTCTCAGTTATTTGTCAAAACTGTCCATCTAGTAAATGTTCAACTACGGACAATTCAACCTAAAGATTGGGGTGAATTATTCACCTATTTACAGAATATGAGTTTACAGAGTAGTACTGACGTTACACTCTTCTTAAATTCTCTCCAAGTTTGTTAAGATTTGACGTGAAATGACAAGTTAACTGGGCATTGTAACGCATATACGGGATTGTGAATACGAAATCATAATTTTAGAGAGGAGACACTTAAATTTACCTGAAATGAGTAGAGAATCGGTGTAGGAAAGACATTGCGAAAGACGATGTGTTTTGTTTCACCAGCTTTTATCGTGATAGGACCTTGAGGTTGTGGTGGCAGTGCTGTACTTTTAAGCAGGAAACTGTATTCACCAGCTTGTGCACTTGTAATTGTCAGTGTAGCCACTCCATTGCCTACACTGGTTGGTTCAAAAATAACCTCGAGGGTGGCATCAACTCCAGCCGCTACACTGACTTGTTTTTCACAGTGGAAGTCACAATGATCAATCTACAAATTGGAAGAACAGTCATTAGTTACCATACCACGTATGTACAAAAATTAAACAGTTTGACACCTGACATTAATTTGAATGAATTTGACTTTTCAAAGGATTTTGGAATTATTGTGCCTTTTTGGTGACCTGTATGTCACTGTTCCAACGTCTGCATCTGATTTAATCTTTATTATCGGTGTTTGTTTGCAGTGGATTCCTATTCCAAATGCTTGACTTTAATTTTACGTGATGCCGCAATGTTGATAATAACGTGCTGCTTTACGATTGCGATTCTGTTTGAATGAATGAATTCAAGATTATTCCGTGAGGATTCTTTGACGTGGGAATGTCAAGAGGAAGCATGTTTGGTGTGTCTGATTCTTGGTGACATAGTTTTGATCCCACCTAGTTTGGAATATTCTACTTGATTCTCAGTACTTATTATGTGCTTGAGAAACTTTTTTGACTGTACATCTGTCTAACGGTATTGTTCAGGTAGCTTTGCATTTTCGATAGGTCACTTTTATGTAATGCTACAGCAGAGTTCAGCATATCTGCCGTTTTGCTACCGTCAGGAAATTTATGAGACCTTGGCTTCCGTGTCTTGCCTTCTGCTACCACAACAGAACATACTTTGGATATGTTACTTATTTCAAAATATTTCTAAAAAATTAGTTACTGGTTGTACAGAGACTTATGTAGTCCAGAGTTCGACGTTAAATTTTATGAATGAGTTTATCAGGAGTTGGAAATAATAGGCTACTCATCAACTTTCTGAACGGTAAGCTACCTGTCTCATGACCTCACAGCATTCACACAGATCATTGATGGATTTATTGGTTTCATGTGGAGTGATAGGAGTCTGCAGTGAAATTAACCTCACGATTCGGATATTATCATAATCCATTGTGTGTCGGGGGTTCAGTGATAGAACACTCGCCAACCAAGCAAGTGGTCTGGGATACGATTACCCCAGCTGACTCACTCCTTTATCTCACCTAGCCAGCAGTAAGTATGTCCGGTAAAGAGGGGAGGTTGGGTGTATGGCTAGAAACACCATCTCCTAAAAATGTCCCTGCTGCTGGAACTTGAGAGTTCTGGGTTGAAAACCCATATTCCACTGGGGACACGAAGAAATAAGATAAGTAACGAATTAGTTCAGCTGACGTTAGAACAGCTACAAATGGATATCAAACACGAAGTATTTCCCAGATGTGTGGAAAACTACTTGAAGATATCTCTGCACTTAGCAGTACAAACTGCTCATCTTTACAGCCTTACTCTGGCAGAGGAAATCTACAAATCAACGTGGTCTAATTAAACTGTAGGTAACGTCAAAAAAGAATCAACTGTAAAGTGAATTAACACAAATGATGTTTATAACTGATGATTTCACACATCAAAGTAAACACAAACGAGAACTTACATTTGCAATGAATTCAGTTTTGTTCTTTGTCATATTTGTAAACTTCACCATTTGACAATGTCGTTGTCCAATATTTGTTCGAAAGTGTAGTGTAGATTCAAATCCAGGCGGTGTAGCTTGTAAGTCTAATTCATAACTGAATAAGCCTAGTTCATTGCAAGTTGCTTCAAATTTCCCAGTATTCTGGCCAACTTTTATGGGTAAATATTCCAGTGTGACATTTCCCTGTAAGGAGACAAGTTATCAAGAATGGCATAAGTTTTTTTGAGGAAGGTAACTAGGTCATTTTTTAATTTTTTTATTGTGATCACAGCTTGATGCCACACCGTATTTTCAGTACAAGTATGGAATTTTCAGCATGGATATCGGTAGCCCAAATTTTGCAGGCCGACCATAGATATCAGGTGTGCGTCGACAGGGGATCGAACCCCGGACCATGTGCATGGTCGGCGAGAGTCGTAACCACTGTGCCACCGATTTCAATGTCACTAATAATAATAATTTGCTTTATTCCAAAACAGTACATGTGATACAGAATGGAATTCTCAGCATTTTTACTACAGTACTGCATCCAATTAGTACATTATCAATAAATAGAATTCTACATAGATTAAGGAAACCACAGTTCATTATTACAACAACACATTGGCATGTCGGTAGCAAAGGTAAAGCTGAAACAGTGTTAGAAGGTGTTAGAAAAGTGGGAGCTATCTTATTAGATGGCGTAAACGAGAGAAAAAAACAAAGTAGCATATAACGGAAAAAAAGAGAGAGAAAAGGAAAAGAAAGAAAGAAAATGTTGTACCTATTGATGATGTGAGTTGGAAAGACGAGATCCAGTTTTACTAGTGATTATTTAATGAATTATAGGTGTCACGCCTAATGCTTTCTTTATCACACAGAACACGAGCTAAGTAGGGTATGGTTGAGTTTTTGTACTTGCTGGTGCGAGCATATATTTTTCTATATAGGCTTCTGGTTTTGTCTGATGAGAAGCAAGGGGAGAGTTGTGAGTGAAGAGGGTGGGGTGAGTTAGATAAAATGGACTTGGCCCATTTCTCACAGGAGTCCATGTGCCTGTCGACAAGAATATTAACAAGCTGGTTAAGTGGCACGTTGCTTACCCTGCTGACAATCTTTAACATCCTGCGTAATATGTTATAGTCTTTCTTCAGTAGCCCTGGAAAAACTAAGGGGGAACAATAGAGAATAATAGGCAGGATGCGAGAATTAACGAATTGTAGGAGTAAGGGTTGGGTAATACCAGAATGTTTTAACTTCTTAATGTAGAAGGTAAGACGGAATATTTTCTTAGAAATTGCTAAGATATGAGACGACCAGGAGAGATCAGCAAATAGAATGACGCCTAGGTATTTAATTTCCGATTTGGTTTCTATTTCAGTGCCGTCTATGTTGCATACCTCGTGAGTGCTAACCAATTTGTTTAGAACTAGAACAATTATCACACTTCTGTCCTTTTAAAGTCACACTAGCTGTCCACCTACGTCTTCTCCTGGTAAACCTAATCATGCTAATTTAGAAGGAGAGGGACAGGTTGTGAGTTGATGGTGGGTCGGTAGATTATTTCATATAGTCTCACTTAACTATGATTTGACAACTAGGCAGAGAGAAATTCAATTGTACTTTATGTGGAACGCTGAATTATGGTGCCTAAATCATGTATATAACCAGTGTCCGAGAAACACATTTTGTCACCAACTAACTTTCAGATTGACAAAACACTGTAACAACAAGACACTGTGAGAATCTTGCATTGTAAGCAGTCGCCAGTTAACTTAATGTTAGGAATATTACACGATAGTATAGATACAAGCCTCCTGATTTGCAATGAGAAGAAGTCATTGAAAGAATAACAGCTTGCAAAATTGGCTATCTATTCAATTTATGGAATTTTCTAAAATCTATATGCATAGAAATGATTAATACTTTCATCACTATCATTATCATTTTCCACAGTGAATTTTGGCGTTACCCTCTCTCAACTTACTTCACAATTTGCAGGAATTTGTAGTTGACTTGGACATTGAACTTCAGGGATATTTGTGCTCAACTGAAAGTTAACAGGTATTGGTAAAGGATTTTCCAATGTAAGCGTATATGTGGTAGGTTTACGTACTGGCGTTTGCATTTTAATTATATCTAGACTTTTACTTCTCACCGATTTGAAGTTAATCTCAAAGAATTGATATTCTCCTGTAGTTTCGTTGGTAAATGTCACCTGAAGAGGAATATTGAAAAAAAGTAACAGTGTATAAATACTTTTGATAATAACAATGCAAGTTCCTCTTCTACTAATCACTACATTAAGTTTTAGGTCTATTTTGTGTCTAATATCTGTGTATGCCTGACTTAGGGATAGAGACAAAACAGCAGTTGTCACTGTCAAACATGAAAATTGATCTGCTTCATTATGAGAACGGATCTGGAACCTTGACGCGCGATGCAAGAACTGTTGCGGCATTATGCTCCTGTCCATCCCAAGCAAAATACTAAGCCGCATCATCCTGGAGAGAATCAGACAAGCCCTGGATGAAAAGCTTCGACCGGAACAGGCTGGATTCAGGAGAAACAAGTCATGTATTGATCAAATCGCCACACTACGGATCATCATTGAACACAGCTTGGAATGGCAGTCACCTCTGTATCTCAACTTCGTTGACTTTGAGAAGTCCTTCAAGAGACAGTGTCGATCGAGAGGTGATTTGGAACTACTTCGCTACTACGGAGTGCCGCCAATATCTCATCCAACAGTTGTACGACAGTGCTGCATGCCAAGTAATCCACAACGGGAAACTCACGGAATCCTTCAGAAGTGAAGACGGAAGTAAGACAAGCCTGGCTGCCTACTATCTCCAATGATTTTCCTGATTGCAGTAGACTGGATAATGCGACAGACAGCGGTCAACGAGGAGACAGGTATAAAATGGACCCACACAAGAAACTTGGAGGATCTGGATTTCGCCGATGATATATGTCTGATTTCCCACAAACTGGAAGATATGCAAGTGAAAAGCAACAAGTTGGCAGAAGAAGCATGCAGAGAAGTTAGGACGACAGGTGAACATAGAGAAAACAGAGGCGATGAAGATTCCTGGGCAACACCACCAACAGCAACAGCAACAACAAAAGACAACAATCAGCATAAATGGGAGAAGTCTGAAAGAAGTAACCTCCTTTAGCTACCTACCTGTGAAGCATCGTTTCAACTACAGACGGACGGAGCTGATGAGGATATCAAAGCGAGGATCGGGAAAGCAAGGCAAGCTTTCATTACTCTCAAGTCTGTATGGAGATCAACAGCACTCCAATGTGAATTCAGTGCTACTTTACGGATGGATCAGAGACTTGGCACCGCGTCATGAAGGGCACTTCGAACAAACTACAGACCTTCATCAACAGCTGTCTTTGCTCAATACTACTCAAGATCAGATGGCCGGTCAGAAAAGATCAGCAACAGAGATCTCTGGGAACGAACCAACCAGAAACCAATTGTGCAACAAATATGCAGTAAGAAATGGAGGTGGGTTGGCCATACCCTGAAAAAACTATCAAGTGACATCACAAGCCAGGCAGTTGCTTGAGTGGAACCCGAATGGGAAGTGGCGAGTTGGTCGTCAGTGCTACGGTGACATGAAGTGGAGGAGGTCATGAGAAGAGGAGATGAAAGCATATGGGTGAAAACGTATGTTCCTCTAGGAATTGAAGGAAGCAATAATAATAATCAGTATAAGAACAAAGTAACCGCCATGTGGACAGATCGGATTATATTAATAAGGTCAATAAACACATTAAAACAAGTCCAGATGAAATGGCCAGGAAAGACTAGCAATAATTAACTTTGGTTTAGAAGCAACCAACAGATATCCCGGAGAAAATGGAGACAGAGTGGCTAGGCACTCAGGTGACCATACCATCACGAGTCAAATGGGACCGAAGTGGCAACAGACATCCAAGTTCGTCTGTCTGTCTGTCTTCGACATAGAACTTTGCACATATGTGCGGCAGTTCAAGTCGCCACACTCCATGTACCACACAAAGCAAGAGAAGAAAGTAGAAGAGATGCATAATAGAGATAGTAAACAGAGGTTGGAGACAAAGGAATAGTAATAACGAAGAACAATATAGTTTCATCGGAAATCATAAGTCACAAGGAGTGGATGCATCTGCAACAGCCAGCCATTGAGAACGATTTTCAGGCATATCACCAATTTTTTCCAACCACTGGTTTTTACTGTCCCGAGGACCCCAACCAGGAAGTCTACACCTTCCTACGTGGCTTAAAATAACTGTTGTAGATTTTATTGACTGATGAAGCCATGTTTTGGTTTGACCGCGGCTAGCTCTTTTCCAGCCTGACCCTATATCAGCTAACATTGCCCATTGTCGAGGAAGGCGATGACTAGGCATACGTAACACATGTCCTAACCGTCTCAGTCGATGTACTTTCACAGCCTCATCGATTGATTTCCCCTCCTTACCTAGCACTCAACCGACGCCTAACCTCAATATTGCTCACTCTACCATACCATTTCACACGGGAGATAGAACGCAGACACCTATGATCAAAGACAGCTAGCCACCCTTTCCATGTCTTCCACTTTCAATGGCCAGGTCTCATAGCCATAAAGGACAACGGAGCAGACTGTTGAGCAGTACACACGCCCTTTGGTCGATAGTCGGATATCACGTATACGCCAGAGACGGCGTAAACTGGCATATGCGACACTAGCCCTCTGTATCCGTGCTGAGATTTCGTCAGAGATCAACCCGTTGGCGTTGGCTGATGGTACTTCCCAAATAAGTGAAGCGGTCAACGTGCTCTTACACTTCACTCCCCATTTCTAAACTAGGAGTCAGTGTAGTCCAGTCCTGTAACATCATCTTACATTTGGCGGGAGTGAATCGCATGCCAAACATTTGTAGATTGCAGCTCAAGATGTTCAGAAGACTCTGCATTTTGTCAGCGTCCTCGCCTAGAAGGACTATATCGTCTGCATATTCTAAGTCAGCGAGATTATTCCCTGGTGGTGACAAATCAATCCCTGAGTCTCTGAAGTGATTCAGGGTTAAATCCAGTAGTACATCTATGATGAAACTGAATAGAAAGGGGGATAATGGGCATCCCTGACGGATATCTAAGTTTGACATGAAGAAGACTGTGAAGAGGAAATGAGATATTGTGGACAGTCGCCGACCCTGATGAAAGTGATAGCAGAGAACTGAGTAGAATAAAGATGTACCACTAGGGCCTTATCTTCCACTCAAATTGTGAAGAATGAATTATGAAATGACTGTTAAGCAGATATAATCGATGGTCTTTAAAAGGACTAAAGCTTTATAAATCCAAGCCAATATAGAAGGTAAATTCTAGGATAAGTTAAACAAAGTTTAATATGCTTGCTTAGCTTACCTTGACAAGTGTAAGACCTTCTCGATATGTAAATATACTCAGCTTATATTCTTTGCTGGAATCCGCTGGTACATCTATATAGTTTAATCCTTGAATAGTTGTACTTGAATCTGATTTATCTGGACGTAGAATTTCTTTAGTGACACGAAATCTTTGCAGGTTATTTAACCAATTTGGTATTTGTACAATTTCTGTATGTAATTTTTTACATTCAATTTCACGATTGATTTTCATCATTGATTTTGGTGATTCAGATATACCTAACAAATTGTATAGCAGTCCTGTACCATCAGGTAGTGGGAAGAATATTGTACCCTGAAATAAAAGTTAGTTCGAAAATGTTTGGATGCTTTTACAATCTAACTGATTAACACAAGACACAAGGTAGATATCATGAAAAGGTAAGCAAACAGGCATGTTCAAGTCTCTTGAAGTTCATGAATAATTGACATGAAATCTGGATTTCAAGGGAGATTCAGTTGGCGATATCCTCAAGAGAAGAATTTCAGAATCTTTGAAAAGAACATTCTTCTCAGCAAAGCTAAGAGTAGTGTTCTCCAGTCGCCCATTGATCCGCTGAAGCCTTAAGGCTTAAGGAAATTAGAAGGATTTTCATGACTACTGGAAAACAACTTATAGTTGGTTTCTTCTGGATGCATGTTAGCTAAATTTTCAGCGGAATGTTACAAACTGGAACTCAGGTGTACATTAATAATCTTAAGTGATTTTACAATGTCTCTTTTGTAAACTGCTTTTGTGGTGTACTCTCAATGTACAATTTACTTTCAGTGACACCATTTACAGATAAAGGACGGTATTGCGATGGGATCTCATTTCGGTCCATTACCAGCAGACTGCTTGATGTCTGGCCGAGAGAACAGCTCAGTCAAGTCGTCCATTGACAATTTGCAATTATACAAACGATAATTAGTTGACATTTTCGTCGTCTGATACAACAGTTACGACCAAAATAAGTTGTCAAAAATATTCAACGACTGCCATCCGACAATAAAATTCACTCTAGGACTGGGATGCGAATCCAAAATTCCCTTTCTTGATATGCAACTAACCAGACGACCTGATGGAACCTTAAGAAGGTCAATTCATAGAAAACTTACTTGGAACGGTCAACCAAGAAGTTTCTTCAGCTGGTAGCTATTGAGAAGAAACGAAATCTGATTAAATCCTTTGCCATTAAAATCCGATGCATCTGTTGCCCTGACGCCCTGGAAACAGAACTAGATTCTCTGAAAGAAACCTTCATCACAAATGGATACCCGCCAAGATTCGTCGACAAGTATATCAAACCAAAAGTGCAGAGGAACGTAAAATAACTTGTTTCAAAAAAGATACTTTACAGGAATCTGGGTTTCAAAGGAGACTCAGCTTGCGATATCCTCTAGAGAAGAATTTCAGAATCTTTGAAGAGAACATTCTTCTCAGCAACGCTAGGAGTAGTGTTCTCCTATCGCCCATTGATCTGCAGATGCCTTAAGGACAAGATCCCGCATCTGGACACTTCTTTCTATGTGCATATATCAGTTCACCTGTTGTTGTGGAGGCAGGTACATTGGTCATTAAACGCGTATACTGTCCAAAAGTGTTCAAGAACACTATCTTGCATGGCTATGAAAAGGTAATAGTGGCTGTATAAGAAGTGCGATAATCAAACACCTTGTCAACGGTAACCATTCCTTCTCAACAAACGCCTCTTCCTTCAAAGTGATCTGCTAAGTGAAGAACAACCAAGGAAAAGGCAACACGTTTTCGTCTCCTTTGTATTGTTGAAGCTTCATTCATTCAGTTGGAGAAACCAGAGTTATGTGTACAAAATCAAATCACTCAACCACTTCTACTATCATGGTAATAGCTGTGTTGACTTCGACTAACTTGATGTTTATGTGCTTTTTATATATGCTTTTTCTAACACTTTATAACATTTGCAATTTTTAGAACTCTTACATAATTCCACATTTTCCTTTCTTTCTATGTGCATCCTAATCACAACTCACTCATTAAACTAAGCGTAACTGTATTACGCTTATTCGGCTTCGCCTATGTGTTAATAAATATATTTTAGACAACACATCACCACTACCCTCTGACCAATCTTCCACCACCTAGTTAAATTTTGATTACTCATCACATTTTTGAAATGTCTTGACAACAATAACACCAACTTGTTTTTATTCTATGTCGTAAATTGGCAAAGGTTGGAATTCAGGAGCCATTAGGTCGGGTCCCAGTGGCTTAATGGTCTACGAGCTCGCCTTGTAACCGTAACCAGAAGGTCGTGTGCTCGAACCTCAGTGGGTGCGTACTGTTGAAGAGTCCCAAAATAGACTGACAGAACAGCTATCCAGTACTCCCACGTGGTTTTTCCAATGGTTCTCTAACCGGTGTCAGCTCATGATGAATTCCTGTAACCAATATTTTTATTCTTGTCGGACAAGCCTCATATACACACGCATGCATAAATAAGTATATATAACTGTGATTGCACAGCTATGAGAATGAATTCGCCGCTGAAAAGAGACTCTTTGCTAAACTATGTGTTTTGTTTTGTTCTCTTGAAGTTCACAGACAACATCAGTGTCAGATGGCTAGAATTTGGTATATTTATTCAAAAGGGAGTTGTAGGAAGTCTTTCTCTCTCTCTCTCTTGGTAATTCGTTTTTTAACCTTAACTGATTACGTCATTTTAATTTAATCGGATGATGGCTTCAGCTCACGCTTATTAAGTTACTTCATCACTTATTAAATATCATGCTTCAGACATCTTGGGTATAAATAAATTAGCCTGTTTTCATGAGGTATTTTGTGGGATTTGATTTATTTCAAGTTTGGTCCAAGGATTGATATCAGTTAGAGTACTATTGAAAACCAGCTGGGAGTACTGGATAGCAATTTCGTCCTAGTTTAGGACTCGTCGGCAGTACGCCACGGTTCAAACCCATGACCTTCCGGTTACAAGGCAATCTCTCTATACTATTCATCCACCAGGACACAACCAAATGGATAGCCCATGAATCCTAATTTCTGGCAATTATTGATTTTTAGCGTGACCATCAGCCAGTGTCATCGGTGGGGGGGTGCACCTGGTCGAGAATGAGGACAAATACCCGCCGATGACATTGGCTGATATTCACACTAAAAATCGCGAATTGGTAGAACTTAGAATTCATGGGCTGATCATTGGGTTGAGTCCCAACGGCTGAATAGTCTACCAGCTTGCCTTCTAACCGAAGGTTTCGGGGTTCGAAACCCGGTAGGTGAGTACCAATGAAGAGTCTCAGACCAGTACGAAACGGCTACTCAGTGCTCCTTTGTTTTCGACGGTATGACATGATATACTGTCTACTAGCATTTCACCTAAAGATCTTATATGAGGAATAAATATTGCACGATAAAATCGGTTAAGAATTCTGAGCTTATATAAACATACTATCCAGAAGAAGCACTGATGTTGCTATTCTAATTTATACAATTTAACATATAAGCCAAATTTCAATAATTTCTACTGATTAAATGCCAGCCAAAGCTTTTGTACTCAAGTAAACTAACACAAGTAAGTATGATCTCAGTAAAATATTACCTTGTGTTTTACACCATCTGTTGTCATAGTAACTGGTTTATAATTCAGCTCATAAACTCCAGTTTGTTGTGCTGGTATTTCAAATATCTTTGAGCCAGACCATTGTTCACCACTGATGACTGGCTTAATTTGCCAATCCGTGTTTGAACGATTTGTAATTTGTAGTTTCTTAGTATCGGATTGTCTAACTGTTGTTGTGAATTGTTGTGCTTCTTTGATAATAGTTGGTGGTACGCAAGCTCCTGTGATCGTAATTGTCTTTTGTCCAGCTCCTTGAATTCTGCATGTCACATTCTGTGCAAGGATATCATGATTAATATTATTAATGATAAAGTCAACAATCCAAAGTTTTCAAATGTATAAAAGGTATGTAGATGACACCTTTATTGTTTGTAATAATGATTAAAATTTGAGTAGTATATAATTAATGCATTTAATGGTTGCCATCCAGCGATGGAATTCACACTCGAAATGGAGAACGAATCTAGCTTTCTTTTTCTCTATGTGAACTTATCAAGGAGCACCGATAGAACTATGAAGAGATAGATTTATAGAAAGCTGTCACGGAATGGTCAACTGACAAATTTCTACAGCTGGGTACCCATTGGTCAAAACCGATAGCTGATCCGGTTACCTGCTACTAGCATATGGAGTCCTGATGCTGTGGAGGAAGAGTAAAATCTTTTGAGAAAAATCCCAATAGAAAATGGATTTCCACCACGTTTTATAGACAAGAATATACAGTCAAATCCTATGAAGTGTGACTTAACATCCATAACCAAGAAAATACTGTTCATGGGCTTGGAACTCAATGGTAGCTTAGCCTCCAGTACCATTAAAAGAAGGGTCTCACAGTCCCTGTAAGTGACATTTCCTGCTGCATCGTTGAGAATTGCATTTTCTAGTCTACCATTACTGTTCAATAGACTGAAGGACAAGATCTCTCAATTGAACAGCTCTATGTGCGTTTATCAGTTCACCCGTGCATGTGGAGCTAGGTGTGTCGGTTGTTCGATTCGGGTTTTGTACAAGAGGGTGCAAGAACACTATCCTGCATGGTTACGAATCACTATGGATCCGACTCATCTCTATTGCTGAAGATTTAACAATCGAAATAGAAAAGCTAGATCTCTGCATACAGAAAAACTTCGTTTAACCCCTCCAACTTCAAGGAAGAGGCATCAAGAGCTCTAAAAAATGTCCTCAGTGAAAACAGATACACTGAACGCTTCATAGCAAGTTTCGTGAAGCCAACACCACCAAAATGCTTCTCTCTCTGAATCTGCAGAAAAAATATTAAGAAACTATTTGCCCAATTCTTTGAGTAAAATCTTCCTCAGAGCTGAAGTACAACTTACCTTCACCACAAAACCAATGATTGGTGTGAACATGAATGATAAATTACCATTTCTGATCTCATCAATAGGTATATATCACTTCACCTGCTCCCATGGGGCTAGGTATGTCGGCCTTACTCGACGTTTGTTATCCAAATGTATCATCGGTCGTTCACTCTGATGGTTTTACAAAGGAGAGAAAAATCACCTCCTCACACTCACCAGCGCTATTCTAGAACACTTAATCTATTCGACACACCGAGGGAACTCACAATCCAACTTCGAATGCATGTGCAGAGTAGGCCGAAATCTTCCCAAAGCAGTATGAATCAAGTTTTGACAATCCACATGTTCAATCCTCAACTCTGCATACAGAAGTTTGGTCAGTCACTGAACCTGCAATGGGCTTAAATTGTCTTGAAACTAGATAACTAATTTTATCAGTCCTGATTTTTCAGCTCTTTTATTATACTATTTTTCTCCGTCCCCTACCTCTCCGACTACTACATTTCTACTCCTTATGAGACTAGTCTTAGATTGAACCTCTTTTATTTTCATTTGAGCTGTACTCACTTGTGTTAATTATGTTACGTCGCTTAATTCCTCTTCTTTCTAATGACTTAAAGGTGACTTTTAAGCCACAACCGCCTTGAGAGGTGGAATTTAAAACATCAAGGTATTCTCCTCTGAAAGTTTACAGATGAATTATTTTTGATTCTACAGCTAGATTATTCCTAACCCAGTTTCTGGGAAATCACTTAGTTTTATAGTGATTCAGTCAGACTCGGCGATTAGATTATTCTAGGAAATTTGTAACATCTAAAGTCTCTATGATTGTGACGATTTAATTTACATAAGGCACTTTTTGTCGACTACTCTAATCTATCCATGTTAATTAGAATGCCGAAGTTACTTATTCTCTCTCAAGTGCTTACATTTATAAGGAAAGCTTCAGAAAATGTACACAGTATAACCTCCACTGAAATTTTCGACTTCATGATAGACTAAGGAAGAAATTTGTCTACATTAGTATCTACAGTTATAGGTGGTGCTGCCACTGCCTTTTACCACATATATTTGTAGACAATAAGAATACGTCTAACTGGTTGATAGTGGCTAGCAGTAGAATCCTGAAGTTGCGTCTCGTCCCTTTTGGGATTCGTCATCTGGATTCATTTGTGTCTCAAGTGAACAGTGATGTTTCCACTGAAATTATAACCCAACATCAATCGTTTCAAATGCTACAGTGCCATCAACTAGGCTACTCATTGGGGACGCATCTACATTTACCTAATAAGCCCCAAGTCGGATGAAACATTTGTACCGGTCTCCATACCTTTCTGATGCCAGCCAAACAACATTTTGTCAGGCTTCAAACACCATCCACAGAATCGTTAACAAGTTGCAACATATCAGATCTGAAATTGAGCAATTAAAACAAAAGCTAAAAGGGATTGATCACTACCTGACAGAAGTTATAGAACCATTGGAAAACCTCAGAATACTGGACAACTGTTCCGTCCTAGTTTGGGACTCTTCATCATTACGCACCCACCTGGTTTCGAACCCAGGACGTTTCGGTTGCAAGAAAGCTCGCAGATCATTAAGCCACTTGAACCCAATTCAATGATCTATGAATTCCAAATTCTGCCAATCGGTGATACATATGTATTTTCAGCGCAACGGGCAAAATAGCTGTCCAGTACTCCCAGGTTTTCAAAGAGTTCTCTAACTGATGTCAGCTCGTTATCAGTCCTGCATCCAATCAAGTCCCTGCAAACCAACAGGTGACATTTCAAATAATATTTAAATTCACTTACTTCCATTCGTATCTCACGCGTCAATTTGTTCGGTTTCAATGTTAAAGTGAATGGGACTTCCAGTCCAGGACCAATGAATCCGTTCATTGGTTCAATAAGTAAATCTGATGTAAATGTTGATTTATCCCATTCAAATCTGAAAAATAAAAATAAAAATTGAGTAATTTTTTGGTATGATTTAAACCATTTAAGCGTTTTGTGACTACTATTCAATGTAATATGCTTCCATTGGTCATTCTTTCAAGTTATAAACTGTTAATTGCGAGGGAAGAAAACACTTCCCACCTTTAATAAAGGTCACAACGATTCAACAAAATGACAGTGAAGTCGCTAATAAACATTCAGCTCTAATATGTCACCTGAGAAGTTGTCATTTCACAGCTGACTAGACAACCAGATGTTTATAAGATGTCAAATTACTTACGTTATTGTGGATGTTTTTGAGTCATTTCATCAGCAGTCTGTGTGCAATAATAATTATTGAAAAGAATATTCTTCGTTCAGATTGACTTTTAATTCCATATTAGTTTGCTTATTAGATGTATCACACAGTGAAACAGTATTATTTACTGGATGACGTTTCGAACAAAATTTATTGTGGTTCATAATCATTTCATCAATTATAATCACACGACTTTGAGACTTGAGTTTTATAGTTTTTTTTGTCCTCCCCTATTTGTCGTCGTTGGGGTAGTAGAATTTTCCAGATATCCGCCTGGACAAGTGTTGAATCATTCCTATCACACGTATTTTCAGTTGATTCGATAAACAAAGCTTCCGCTGTCACCAATATCTCCCTCCACCCAACTGTTTCATTAGATTTTAAAACTATCATCTTATCCCGTTCATCCTATTGTATGGTTGTGTGTGATTGCATGTAGTGAGTCGTGTGGCTGAACTATTCTCTAGATTTCTTATCTTATTTGGATCAACCATGGAACTTCATCAACAAAATCAACACAGACATCAAGTATGGCCGAAAACGCATCCCGAAAACATGGACATCAACGGTCGTCATTCCATATAGAGAAGAGACGTCAGACGATATCAGAAGAGTACTCAATCAGCTCGATATTAGAGTTTTCTTCAAAACATCAGACACACTTCAAAGCAACCTTGTCCATATAAAAGACCAAATCCCTAAAGATTCGCTATCTAATTGTGTCTATAAGATAAAATGCTTGGAATGTGATGCGATATACATCGGACAAACTTCTCGAGAAATCAAAATCAGAAGAAATGAACACCGTAGAGCATCTCTTCGACCACCGAAGAATCCTGTTGAACTACAAAGACTTGAAAAATCATCAGCCATAGGTCTACATGCTATAGGATCAGGCCACAAAATTGATTTTGAAAATATCGAAATAATCCAGAAAAACTTCAGAAATCATAAAGAACGTCTAATATCAGAAGCACTTCATATCAAGTGGAATCAAAATTGCCTGAATAGGAATGATGGACTAAAACAGAATCTGACCTGGTTACAACACCTCCCTCCCCCCCATCAAGTGACAAAACGAACACGAATGTGATAAGCACTTTCATTATGTAAACACACGCTGCTTTTATAATCTCATACACTTATCAAATCCAACAATCTACACATGATGATTTTGTTATCTTTACCAATTCACCAACTTAACAACTAAAAATGCCCCAGACAGACGAACGATGATCAAGTTAGTAAACTTTTCTTTTTCCTTTTTCGATATCATAACAGACATACTATTACCTTTGTTATTTGGTATAGTTATCTTCATCGCTATTTTTACTTTCAATATGTCCCTTTAACTTGACCTATGTCTATGTTCTCACCCCCTAACTGTTTGCTATATATATGCTGAGATTTTGTAAATTCCGGTTTAATAATACTTTGATAAAGCTATTAGCATTAAATAGCGAAACGTCAGTAAAAACAATATCGTTTTGTTTTTCATTCATTGGGAAATACAAAAACCTTTATTATAATGAATATCATATACCCAATGCCCAAATTTTTTCAAACCGTTAAAAGTCAACTTGGTTTGGACATATACAACCAATCTAGATTTTGCTAATCTGTGAAATGAAACAGCTGGAGGTATATATTGAGAAAAGAGATACTATTACTAATGATAAGTCCGGATAGTATAAATGCTGTAGTATAAATGCTATATAAGTAATAACCTTAGAAGCTCTTTTAATATTAATCTTGTGGTTCATGTGGATTAGATGTCTAGAGATAGACGAAGTCAGTAGTCTGTCACCTGCGTCTATCGATTTTTCAAAGTTCATCTATTTTTCTAACCACTTCGGAATATGCATTCTCACCCTCAATTACAAAGAGTGATTACTTCTCCCCATGTATGTGCTCCACATACATGTAAATTGGTATGATTATAAAGGGTCAACATCGGTCAAAATGTTTACTGGTCAAGATCACAGATGCGGGGTAGGAAAATGAGGTGAGAATAAAATGAGAGGGGTGAAAATATGCTTAATTAAAATAAATCTTGGCTTATTAAGGCAGATTCAAAATAATCGTAATAATAACAATTGATATGATTATGAACAATAAATTTTGTTCGAAACGTCATCCAGTAAATAATACTGTTTCACTGTGTGATATAAGTAATAAACAAACTAATATGGAATTACTTACTACCACAGTGCCCAAGTTTTACACATATATTAGATTCACCTTTCAAGAAAAGGCATACAAACAAATTGATGGTGTTGCGATGGGTAGCCCTCTTGGGCCCCTGTTAGCAGATATGTTCATGTCGAAATTGGAGAGACAAATGCAAGGTATGCTTGGAGAATTTATACTGTATAAACGTTATGTAGATGATACTCTCATTATTGGTGATAATATTAAATCTTGGAAAATTCCCATTGTGACATGTAGAAAATCAAAACAAATGATTCAGCGAAGAGACTCTTTTCAACGAATTTATCATCAAGCTGTACAATATTAAATCTATTGAAAACTTTATTACTCTATTTAATCATATTCATCCAAATATCCGAGTGACTTCCGAACGCGAATCGAATAACAAACTCGGTTTCCTCGATATTACAATGACCAGGAGAGATGATGGTACGATTCAGAGATCTATTTTTCGTAAACAAACGTGGAGTGGACAATATCTTCATTTTACCAGTTTTGTTCCTATCCAGTATAAACGTTCCCTAGTGAAATGTTTGTTCTCAAGGGCCCGAAAAATATGCACGAGTGACACAGTGATGGATGAGTTTCGACATATACATTCAGTTTTATCAGCTAATGGTTATCCGGAAAACTTTATCACTTGTTACAGTAAAGAAAGACCACATCTCGAAAAGACAGCTTCGGTACCAAAGAAAGCTATCTTTATTAACCTACCATTCAAGGGTGATCAGATTGTGCAGTTGACAGCTCAAAGACTCCGGTCTGCCATCAAACGCACATTCTACGCCGCATCTCTTTTCCTCACTTGCCGAACATTTTCAATCCCTGTACCTACGATTAAAGGACGAAATTCTGTGGACTCTACTTCAAACTGTATCTACAAGTTCACCTGCAGCTGCGGTGACACCTATATAGGTAGAACCAACAGAATGTTCCAATGTCGTCGGAAAGAACATGTTCCAAAATGGCTACTAAATCACATAGAAAATCCCAATGCCAGTAATCTGAATAGAAATCCAGCATCATCCATTGCAAAACAGTTATTAATGTCAGGTCACAAAATAAATATTAATGACTGTTTTACAATTATTTCACATAACTCTAATTCAAGGTTATTGAAGGTGATGGAAGCACTTTGGATTAATCACATACAGCCTAAACTGTGTGTACAAAAATCAATAGACTTCAATCTTCGCCTACCCTGGACTACTTGACCTATCTAAATATGATTGGTCATTAGTATGTACTTTTGTTTTTATTTAACTGAGTAATTGTCATGAGCTTTATTTTATTATTGTTAACCATGTTAGTTGTAAAGTGGTTGTAAAGAAACTACGAAATGATATCATCTCGCGAAATTTGTCTTCTTAATGCCTTATTCAAATTTTACACATATGTCAAAATAATAACAAATCATTTTTGAACACCTAGAACAGATTTAAGTCTTTCTATCCCTGAAGCTACAAAAAATTTAAGTGGGTGTAAAATCACTACTGAAATCAACTTTAGGACTTGTCTGTATTATGTGTCCACCGAGAGATGATGTTGGACATCTATTTTGTGGGGTTATTTATTCTAGCAACCATATAAGGATGTATTTCATAGCTCTGACCTATAGAAATGTACGCGCGACTACACATATAAACTTTCAGATAAATTAAGTCAAAAGAACCTTTTGTATTCGTGCTCAGATTTCATCAGCAATCAGCTCATTGGAACTATTGTAACACCCCAAAATATGTGAGTCAATAAATGTATTCTACTCTTTCAACACAAACTCAAAGATTTGCGGGTGCAAAGCAACAAACTGGCAGCAGAGACAGACAGTGAAGACAGGATTCCAGGTGAACATAGAGAAGACGGAGGTGATGAAGATAACCAACCAACAGCAACAACAAAAACAAAAACTAGCACCAGCAGCCATCAACGTGAGAGATTTGACAGAAGTTAGCTCCTTCACTTATCTAAGAAGCCTCGTTTCTACTACAGGTGGGACTGGTGAAGATGCCAAAGCCAATAAGAATCGGAAAGGCAAGATAAGCTTTCACCAATCTGAAATCACTCTGGAAAGTCAGATAGTCAGTTCTTCTATACGGGTCAGAAACTTGCACTGCGTGTCACGGGGAGGATTTCCAACCGACTACTGCAGATGTCTTTCAACAGCTGCCCTCGCTGGGCCCATGTTGAAGATCAAATGGCTGGCCGGGTGGCTGGTCAGAGAGAATTAGCAATAGGAAACTCTGGTAATGAACAAACCAACCAAGAGCCGATTGCCCAAAAAATATGTAGGAGAAAATGCAGGTGGTTCGTCAGTTACAGGGTGACATTTAGGAGATCGTATGAGGAGGATATGAGAGATTATGGGCGATCGTGGACGCAGTTGAAGAAGACGGCAGATATTAGAAAAAATTGAGATGTTAGAGAATTTCATCGGTTACAGAACCATTAGAATACCTGGGAGTACCGGACAGTTGTTCCGTCCCACTAGATAGGGTCTCCAGCCGTACGCACCCACCATAGGGGTTCGAACCCATGACCTTCTGGTTACAAGGCGAGGTTGTAGACCATTATGCCACTGGGACCCAATCCAATGGCCAGTCCATGAATTCTAACCTCTGCCGGTTCATGACATGGCGCGAAAACTTCGCAATGTCTTCTTCGATTAGTTACTGCCTCACCTTCGACCTTCGGTACCCTACTGGTCACGGCTTCCCACTAGAATCCCAGGTAACTGCCTGAATAGGGCCAGTCTCTATTGAACATCAGATCAGTTGCCGAGTATTAGTACTCCCAGATTTTCCAGTGGTTCTCTAACCGATGTCAGCTCATAATGAAATTCTCCAACCAATCAAACAAAATCCCTACAAAACTAATACTTGACGAAAGTGGAGATGTGTTACTGACGCCCTATGTTCCACTCGGAACCCAAGGGAATAATAATAATAATACATGAATTAGGCTTCGGTGCAAATCAGTCCTGTAGCATACTCTTACATTTGACGGGGGCAGAATGTCCGGAAATATGCTCAGGTTTGCGCTTAAGATGTTAGTCTCTTCATTCTGAATGACAGCACCGACTACGTTCTCTAGATCAATGAAACTCTTCCTTTGTGAGAAGTCTAATATTGAGGCGTAAATAATTAGTAACATTTACAGGCTACTTAGCTAATTTCAAAAGACTACTTATGTGCATACTAAAGAGTTTGCGAATTGCAGAATAGGTCGTTCTTCAGTTTCTGGTGCCGAATATCCTAAGCCTTCTATAAAACCTAATGTAGCCACTGAATCAACTTATGAACAGTTAGTTATGTACTAGCAGTATTCATTTCGAATTCTGTTTGATTCAGTGTTACGGTTAGAAGAAAGAGGTCACCTAACAAGCATAATATACATTCAGTTGACATTTTTCCGTGAAGATAAGCAACTTCACTGAGTGACCTACACCTTATGTGTCACATAGTTATAGAACTGGGTAAAGTAAAAGTAAATTCATAAACTGAGTAATCATAATTTATTATTAGTCTCCTGGGTTCTAGATGGAACACAGCGCTTCTGTAGCATATTGCAATTTTATCCTGTTCTCCGTTTTCATCTTCATCTGGCTCTACCATTGACGATAATCTTTCATTTCCCCCTAACATGATTGCCTGTATATCCCCCTTGGACTCCCAACGTGTCCTTTCCCATTCGGGTTTCACTGGAGGGCCTGCCTTGAGCACGATGTTATTAAGCGATCTCCTCAGAGTGTGTTATATCCATCTCCATTTCCTTCGGCATAATTTTTGGTGACAGGCTGGTGGCTGGTCCATTTCCAGAGTTCTTCGTTGCTAGTCCTTCCTGGCCATCTGGTCTTCAGTACCGAGCCAAGGCACCTGTTGATGAAAGTCTGTAGTAACCTGTTGGAAATGCTCTCCATGAAATACCAGCTGAGTTTCTGAACCATACAGAAGCGCTGACAAACTTGACATTAGTGTTGAAGATTTGAATCTTGATCTTGATGCTGATCATAGCAGATTTCCACACTGACTTCACAGTGATGTAGTTCTCTTTCACCTTTGCAATTCTACCTTTGACATAAACATCCATACCGCCTGTAGCTGACTTGACGCTGTCTAGATAGGTGTAAGAGATGACTTCCTACAAAAATTTCTCCCGTTGACGGTGACTGGTGCTTGTTATCGTTGGTTAGGTCTCTTCATCTCCTCTGTCTCCACTATGTTCACTTGAAGTCTTGTCTTTACTGTCTGCCTCTGTTGAAAATCTGTTGGTTTTCGCCTGTAGATCTTCGAATTTTGTGTGACGGCACACATGAATAACAAGACACTGGTAAGGTTTAGAAAGGCAAACAAAAGGGCAGATCAAAAATGAATGTTTCTTCTTATTTAATTGGTGGATGGTGACTAGCAGTGGAATCCAGGATACACATTTCGTCCTATTTTGGAGTCGTCATCTGGATGTACCTGCACTTCTCAGTAAGTGATGATGTTCCCACTGAGGCTCAAACCCAGTGCCCATAGTTTCAAACGCCAAAGCGTTATCCACTAAACCACTTGGGCCACGAGAGCCACCTCTTCTGCAACGGGTCATATTGATTTAATTGAATTTTAGATTTTCCCGTCGATTGATTGGACCGAAGTGCTCGGTCTCAGGTTGACATGTAGGCCTCTTGAGTAGATGCTTCAACGATGTCTGGGCATTTAATTAGTATTTGATTGGTGGATGGTGACTAGCAGTGGAATCCAGGATGCGTATTTCGTCCCATTTGGGACTCGTCATCTGGATGTACCAATTAAATACTAATTAAATGCCCAGACATCGTCGAAGCATCTGCTCAAGAAGCCGACATGTCAACCTGAGACCGAGCACTTCGGTCCAATCAATCGACGGGAAAATCTAAAATTCAAATGAATGTTTCTTCTGTTTGTAATATCATTAAAAAGCTGTAAGTTATCAACTGTTGGTTGGAGCTTCTAATATTTAACCTTACTACAAAGATTTACTCGGCATTTTATGTCAAAAAGAGTTAAAATAGGTGAATAACTTACTTCGCACCGTAGTCACCAGAATTAATTAACACTATTCGCTTGTTCAACTGACTTCCACGGACAACTGAACCAAAACTGATTGAATCAATATTAAAGTCAATGTCATAGGTATTTACAGCCCCGTGTACAGAAAATATAGATAAAAACATATTTGTATTCGTCTCTGCGCCGCCTACACTGGCTTCATTCATTGTGCTGAGCATTTCCTCTTTAGGCAAATCAATAGTATTATCCTGGTCAACTCGTGATATCTCACAGAGAACCTCTTCATTGAATTCAGGTATTCGTTTATCTGATGTCAGACTCAGCATAGCCATAATCTCTCCTCCATTCGGTGGAATAATCAACGGTGTAGGCACTTCTGTAATTGGTCCAGTATAACTACACTGTCGTTCTACTGGTATTGAATTACACAATTGAATATTTATCGATTTGTTTTCATCGTTACCAATAGCCACCACTGTAGGTTGATTCAAATGTATCTGATGTATGCAGACTGGTGCGTTACTTTTATTAACTAAACTTATATATCTTCTTGACATTTGACCACTTTTTAAATGACCCAAATTAATACATCTTTTATTATCACTTAAATTGTCTGATTCGTTTATTTGAGTAATCTTTAGGATTCCATTTTTGTTTTTATTAATCAACAACAATGGATGAACAATTGGTTCAATGTTCAATTTACATCCTTTACCGGATAATTCTATTGAATATTGACTACAACCATTAATTTCAAATATTATCGTTTCTGTGTATAATTTATCCTCATATGGATAAAATTCTATTGGCATGCATAGAACACTTCGACTTTGTTCATTTTTGTCGTCTTCTTGTTGTTTTTTGGGCAGAATTGTTGGCGCCAGTGTATAGGTGAATATCTTCGACGATTGTGAGATACATTCAATACTCATTTCTTGATTTGTATCTGAATTACCAATGTATAAATAACGTGTTGAAGGTTTAAGACCCGGTTGCATTAGCAACTGTGAACCAAAATTAATGGAGGTTGTTGAAAATTGAACAGTCTGTCGTTTAGTTGAACCAGATAATTTTATCCCATACACAGGACCATCACGTACAACTAAGCATAGACCAAGTAGATTATTCAATTTTAAACGTTGTATGCCTAACAGACTTAATCGTTTTGGAGGTTGAAACATGACAGTGCATGTAAGTTTTCCATTGGGTGGTAGTGAGCCTGATGTCGGTGTGATTTTCAGTGATGGCGACTGAAAGCCATTGTCGGTACTTAGACCATTGATCAAGTTATTGATTAGATTCATCTTTTTGTTGTTGCCACTGGTTATTTCACCTTTATGATCAGGATCATCAGGGATCGGCAAGAATTGACATAAAAAGTCTATTTTAAACTTTCCACTATTATGGATTGTTAACTTCCGAGTGATACATTCTCCAGGTATCAATTCACCGAATTTTAATTCAGCTAATTTACTAGCTATATGCCTATCTCTTTTAATACGATCTATGCAGGTATTCATAAGATCTGTCATGTCAACACCTAGACATGGTGACCATAAAGGTTGAATTTCAACTTGTTCTATAGTTGTGGGTAGATTTGTTATCGAATCATTTGTACTGTAATCTATCCATATGGACGAGTGAATTGCATAACCTTGTGCTTTTATATTTAATGTTAGTGGTAAATTTCGATGTTTAATTCGACATTGTAAATTGATATTGACTTCACGTTCACCAACTGCTTGAAATGTGATTTGAATTGGTAATCTATAATAAAAATAGAAAATAAAGATAGGTAGAAGGTTATTAACAATTTGAAGTATTCTACCTATTAACACTAAATATCTATACTACTATCGTGCATAATGCTTCTATGCGTTTGTACGCCTTAAGGATTCACAGCTACTGTTAGAGGAATTGTTAGTATTAGATGATTGGAGGCAGTCGGCAGGAAGTCTTCCGCCTAGATTGCGTGCTAGTTGACACTCACCAGTAAGCAAGGTGTATTTGCAACTGCTGAAGTGACCCATGTCCCTTCTGAGATTCAAACCCGTGCCACCCAATGCTGCAGTCAGAGAAGTTATCAATGAGCTTTTAGGGTTCACGGTAGACCTCCTGTAGGACTGTATTGGATATTTTTGATTGGACACTAGTTAGTAATTAGTGTAATGCGTCTAGTCCTCTTTTTTGGTGCAGACTTAATTCTATCAGTCAAGTTTCCAGTGTGACCACCATTCTAGTTGGTTCGCCATCACGGTGCACTCGTGTTTATGCACTCAATTATTTACATAATATATGATGGCTGTTCAGATCTCAATAGATGATGAGAAGCTCGAGACTCTCCACCGTTAGTGGGCAATTTTCGAAGCTACTGAAAGTAAAAATTAGTGCTTGAATATCTGATCAAATTTATCTAAATATCTCATAGCTGTCTCCATCATCTGGGGCTGAAATGATCAGTGATGTACCTGGACTAACTCACCTTGGGCAGTTTGAAGTGATTCACCCCTCCCAGTTAAGGTCGGCTGCAAGCGATTGAGGCTACTGTCCGGTGCTTACATATGGCTTCGATATGGCTAGTAAGCCCCACTGTTTGGTGCGAATGGTTTCTTTTAAGCCATGTCAACCAGTAGTACATACCACCACAAGATTTAATCGATTTCCTGATCTCCGTATACGTTATCAAGCGTAAAACATGTTCTGAGCTAAATACTTTTAGTTACTGAGATAAACTGTGGTGATTTGCCACCCTGAGTTGTTTAATTTGTAAATTAAGAACACAATATTCAGCGAAGAGACTCTTTTCAACAACGAATTTATTATCAAGCTGTACAACTGTATATGTATAGTTTTTAAGAAATTATATCCGATGAGGGAATTGAGTCATAGGTGTGAATACATGAAATAATAATAGTTTGAAATGAAATTAAAATATTTGTCATTATAATCATAGTTAAATGTCAAGTAGCAAAACAATCAGTGCCATATATAGAATAATTCACAAGTTGTATAGATATTAATATATGTGTAAAACTTGGGCACTGTGGTAGTAAGTAATCATATCAATTGAAATGATTATGAACAATAAATTTTTTTCGAAACATCATCCAGTAAATAATACTGTTTCACTGTGTGATATACCTAATAAACAAACTAATATGTATAGATATTGTTGGAAAGGGGTGCATAATTATAGGATTATTAGGCTAATATAAAATGTTACATAACATATATTAATGACAATCTTATTTCTTCAAATAACTAAAGGAAACAGATCATGACAGTGAGATTTTAATAGAGCTGACGTTTTCAACACCAATGTCAAGTTGGTCAGTGCTTCCATATGGGTCAAAAACGTGCACTGCCTGTCACGAAAAGGATTTCCAACAGACTTTCCAGCAGACTTTCATCAGCAGCTCCCTTCGCTGGCTCCTTACTGAAGATCATTTGGCCAGAAAGAATTAGTAACAAGAAAGTCTAGCAAAAAACCAACAAGCAAGAGCCGATTGTTCAACAAATATGTAGGCGAAAATGGAGATGGGTCGGGCACATATTGAGGAAGTCGTAGAATGACATCGCGTACAACGCAGGCCATCGGTCGATTGGAATCCAAATGGGAAGCGATGAGTGGGTCGTCGGTGCGAGGGTGACATGGAGGAGACAAGAGACTGTGGGCAATCGTGGTCTAAGTTGAAGAGGACGACAGAAGATAGGACAAAGTGGAGATATGAAAAAGAGAAGACATTCAGCGAAGAGACTCTTTTCGGCGAATTCATTCACATAGCTGTACAATCGCATTTATATATAAATATTTGTGTGTGTGTGTGTACATGAGGTTTGTCAAGTTTAGATAATTGATTAGTTAATACAAGAATGATGTAGTATAGAGACAAAGTTAATCAGACAGCAACTAAAGTAAGATTGAGTTAAAAAGCTAGATGACGTAATATAATTGGCTAAAATGTTACAACTTAGGTCAGGATAGCAACAAAGGTAATTACAGGTAGAGATTAAGTAGAAGAGAAATTGAGGGGATAAGTTGGATGACGTAACATGAATGACTAGAAACTGAGCGTTGTTCAAGTCAGTTAAACTGAGTCAGGTAGGGAGATGCAGACTTCCGGGTTGGGGCCTTCGGGACTCTAAGAATCAATGGCGGGAGACAATAGGTGACATGGCTCGAAATCGTTGTCAATGGCTTACGCAGATGTATTCAGTCTCTTTAACCTTCATATTCCTTTCTACCATTACTCATTCTGTCTCACTCTTATACTTATCTAAATTCTATTGATTCTCTTCTCTCCTTTTCCTGTCTACCTTTGTGTGCTATTTGGAACGTGGCAACTGGAACTGCTGCACTTCGGTGCCAAGTTCTATGTTGAATCCAGCAGCAGCAGCAGCAGCAGTAACAGTGGTAGTGAGGTGTAGAGATTGAATCGGGTGGGGGTAGAGAACAAGAAAGTTGAAAATGTAAAATGTTACAATTGAGAAGACAAAATAATACTAATGAAGAGACAGAAGAAAAGATTAGGTAGAATTTACATGTCGGCTAATAAGATAGATTACGTCCATTGCAAGTGTAGTGATTGAACGAACTTCTTCTGTATGCAGAGTTCAGGACTTAGCAAGTGAATCGCCATTGCTTCTGCAGTTTGAAGAAGTCTGATTCGTACACCTTTAGGCAGACTACTTCTTACTCTGTAGACGACTTTGAAGTTTGTTTGCGGTGTAGCTTGGTGTCCGGATTCTATCAGATGTTCTAAGATGGACATCGATTTTCTCCTTTGTAAAACCATGTTGGTAAGCGTTTGGTGATACGTTTGGAAAGCGAGCGCTGGGTACGGATTGGAGATATGTTGTTGAAGCCAGCCCTATGTTCCACTCGGAACTCAAGGGAATAATAATAATATAGAGCTAACGTTAAGCACTTACTTTTCACCAGGTGAAATATGACCAGACATTGGTTCCACAATAACTGAATCTTGTTTTCCAGCACTATACAGACTAGATTTTAGAAATTCAAATTCTAGAATATCTGAAGAATGTTCTTCTACATTTATGATAGTATCATATGATGTCGACGATGACGATGATGCTGGAACTTCTTGATTAATTAACAGGACATTTTTGCTGACTTTATGACCAATAAGAACAGCATTGAAGTTGATGTGGGATTGATCAAACATAATATTTGGCTCTCTTGTCTCGCCTACAATCAACATTGGTACGCTGTAACCAAACTTTTCGACATTAAAACGCCAAAATGATTCAACTAAGCCAAGTTGATAGGCGATAAACTCGAATCCAATCTGTTGGTTAAAAACCAAGTAAAGCATATTAATGATTGAACTCAAACAAAAAAAGTTTTTTAGGATTATATATGACAGATTCTAAGATTTGACATTGGTATATTGACAAGATGTAGAAGTTATATGACAGACTTTGGATTATTTCTCCACTGGGACCCCTCTTGGCCGACTGTTTTATGGCCAGCCTCGAAAACAACTTCTTATCATCGACAATCACTGATCCCTATCTTTAAAAGAGATACATACATTGATAATACCTTAATTATTTGTGATGAGAACCTGGATCTTGAAAACTTACTTCAAACCTTCAACAATGCCCACCGAAACGTCAACTTTACTCTTGAAGCTGAATCCAACGGAATGTTCCACTTCCTCGACATCCATCTGACAAGAAATGCTGACAACTCTCTGAAAAAGGTTCATATACAAAAAGCCTACATGGAATGGACACTTCCTCAACTTTCAAAGCTTCGTGCCTCTAAGCAGAAAGAGGAACCTTATATACACTCTTTGCTCAAGGATTCGGAAGATATGCAGTGAGGAAGTGATTGACGAAGAACTGTGTAATCTCAGATGGAAAACGGTTTTCCGCCTAGGTTCATAGACAAGAATCTTAAATCAAAGAAGACTTCTGAACAAGTCCAATCCGTCCCGAAGAAGATGCTTCTGCTTAATCTAGAATTCAAAAATGACATTGAAGCAGAAATCCTTCGTAAACGCCTCTGTAAGTCTCTCAGGAAAACAAACTTCGCCACAAGCCTACAGCTGACGTTTTCCTGCAACAAACTGTTCAGCCAGAACGTGAAAGACACGTGCATACACCAGTTTACTTGCTCGTGCACAACTGAGTACATCGGCTGTACCATGCACCAACTTGAAAAATGCTCTCGTGAACACTATCCAGCTTGGCTAGTAAAAGGAGAACGAAAACGTGTATATAGTTCAGTGACAGAACATCTGGTTAATTCAGGACATTCAAAGCCATTCGAAAAATCCTTCAAAATAATATACAAGATTCGATCGAACCTATCAAAGGGAGTAAAATTAAGACATCTGGTCATAACCAAGACACTAGCCATCCAAAAGCTCAAACCCACGCTATTTATCCAAAAGAAATACGTTCAACCCTTTTCCTTACCATGGCCATCAAAAACAGGTAATTCTTTTAGTAATGACCATCCCATTGCCTTTCTTATTCAAACTTCCTGTTTATTCATGTTATATTTAAGTTTTTCTTAATGCCTATTTACACTACAATATTTTCATTTTATTATTTCTACATATTTAATCCCTAATTGCATAAACAATTATTCGTCACATTAGTTATGTTCCCACTAGATTTTTTATACAAACATCCTGTCTATTTTGTTATTTATACATCTCCAATCCCTAATTGCACAATATGTCAATCTTCTCAGTAATTATGGTGCTACTTTGTTTGAGTTTTATCCGTCCCTCACCCTGTTTATGGTGGCATTTTAATTCCTAATTGTAATTTTATTAATTTGACCCTTGACCGGAAATTAATCTGGAACTTTCCCACCCATTTATTATAAATACACGAATGTACAGCTCTGTCTAGTTGATGACTTCGTTGGAAAGAAAATTTTCTTCGCTGCAACTGTCTTTTTATTATTCTGTATGATCAAATAAGTATATATTTTTCTCCTTCCCGTCCCCCACTGGAACATAGGGCTTCAAGCTAGTGGCTTGAAGTTTCTGTAGCAGTGTTTATTTTACAGAATGGGGTTGCTAGCCTCATGCCCAGCCTTTCCTCTTCACCAGCATTATTTCTGGCTTAGCGACGTAAAGGAGTGCGTCGGCCGGGGATCAAACCACGGACCATGTGCATGGTTGGCGAGCGTCCTAACCGCTATGCCACCGTCGCACAAATGTGTATATTACGTCATTTGAAATATTTTTATTAACAAGTCATCCTTAACTCAGATTCCGTATCTGTTGGTCATCAGAAGTCAGTAACTTTCAGTAAACTGGTATTACTGCGAAAATTCCGAATTCTTCAGTGCAGTTAACCAATGACTGGTCTAGTCCTTATACAAGAACAATGCGATATTCTTTAGTGATTAGTAAAAAACTTATTTTAAATTCTGTTTTTTAAAAGAGGACCTACTAAACTAGTTCATAGAATGTCTTCAGTGCTTAATTTGGAACTTTTCAAGAGTACGCCCTATGACTTTGTAGTGCACCTTGAATGTTCGAACTTTTGTTTTAATGCATTCATGTAATATGGCGCCAAGTCTTCACTGTTCTTCCGGCGTGACTGCTGACGTCGGGCTTACCAAGTGAAAGTGACGATGTCAACCTGTAGATAATCCTTAACGTCAGCACCTGCTAAACTTGCTTTCCTTGGGTAACCTTGATCAGTACTCCACCTAACGTGTAAGTACCGATAAACGAACTCGAAGTAAAATGGCTTGTGAATGGGTGGCGTGCTCAGAAGAGGATTATATTTTTACCACAGATTAGATGCCTAATTTAACAGATAAGAATACTGTACAAATTATCTGTTAAATGGCTGGGGTAGGAAGCTCAAGAGGTCGATGAATCATAGCACAACGAGGGAGCAAGCCACGTGCTATCAGTCATGCCAGAAGAACAGTGAAGGCGCGGCGCCATATTACATAAATGCGTTAAAACAAAAGTTCAAACATTCAAGGTGCATTACAACTTCAAGGAGACTAGCTTATTCCCCATTCTCTCAGTTCGATAGAATCTAGTGGCCCTTCAATTCTAACTCTTATCGATTTTCTATAGTTGGTTTTTAAGGATTAGTTTTGTTTTTACGAGTTGGTCATGGATTGATATCAGTTAGAGAACCATTGAAAACCAACAGTGAGTATTGGAGAGCTGTTTCATCCTAGTTTGGGACTCTTCGGCAGTACGCAAACCCCACAGCGGTTTGAACCCAGGTTCTTCCGGTTACAAGGCCAGCTCGTATACCATTCAGTCACTGGGACCCGACTCTATTTAATGGCCAGCACATGAATTCTAATTTCTACCGATTCGGGATTTTAGCGCGACTGCCAACTAATGTCATCGGTGGGACATCCATCCTCAGTCCCGACTTGATGGACCTCACTGGTCATGACTTCTCACTAGAACTCAATTTACTACACAACAATTAACAAAAATATTAGTAAAAGTCGACTTACATTAATTTTTTTACCAGCTTCAATTATCCCTTTATCTACAAGACATTTTACTGATTGTGGTTCTTTCATGCTCATTGAGTCAGCATTTTCAATTGTAAATTCAAAATTCTCTTTTGTTGTATTTATAACGGAAAAATATCTGGGAAGAGGTAAGGTGAAATTAATTAGGATGAAGAGAGGTTGAAGTGTACAGAATACAAATTTAAGGAAAATCTTCAACTGTGATAGACTCAGTTCAATGTAAGTTTAAATCACTTACAACTATTGATGGTAACTTAGTTTCCGCTTACGTGGAATTCATCGGTCCCCAGCACTTTTTATCATAAGTTGACTTGAGTTATAGAAGTATAGGAAATGTCAAATTATTGAACATGTTTATCATCTCACCATGGAAGAACCTAGACAGTGAATAGTGACTAGGCTAACGGAGGTCAAACTGAAGACTTCCAGACTGAGATGAACGAGTTGCCTGTCGTTCACTGATCTTGAACCGGTATTTATCCGGAATATAGCACGGATCATTATCTCCTTGGAGTCAAGTATATTAGGTGGTACCAACATGACACGCACTGGTGAACACCAACTAGCATGGTTGTTGAGAGAAGAACGCAAAACAGTCGAAAGATCATTTCTGGAGTACATTATTACTTTTGGTCACACAGAATAAGCAGAAACTTAATTTACAGTTATAAAATAAATCAAGATTAAGCCATTCAAAAGGATTTCGTTCATTTCTGCTTCATGCCATCGAAGCTTTAGCAATCTACAACGAAAAGTCTCAAATTTATGTTCATAAACGTTTTATTCAACCTTTGTTGCTACCATGATCTTAATGTCAATTTCATTTTCTTGATCTGTCGCGTGTTAAACCCTGTGCAGTTCCTTAATTCTTATTTATTTTGTAACTTATTTGTATTTCATCGTATTCTTGTTTTCTATCAGTCTTTAAAGGAAAAAAAGGTTCAGAGAAGAGTCTCTTTCCGGCGGCGAATTCATTCACTTAGCTGTACAACTGCAATTATATATGATTATTTTTTGTATATGTGTGTACATTAGGCTTGTTAGACAAGAACAAAAGTTATTATTTTTATTATTATTCCCTTGGGTTTCGAATGGAACATAAGTCTTCAACAATATATCTCCACTTTGTTCTTTTCTCTATTGGCCTCTTCAGCTGCGTCCACTACAGCCTATAATGTGTCATCTCCTCCTCAAACAATCTCCTCCATTTATAACCTCGCACCGACGACCCACTCGTCACTGCATTGCGCGCGATGTCAGTCGACAGCCTCCTCGACGTATGCCCAATCCATCTCCATTTTCTCCTACATAATTTTTGGGCAATCGGCTCTTGGTTGGTTTGTTCCACCGAAGACTTTGTTGTTGCTTATTCTTTCTGGCCGGCCATTTGATCTCCAGTATGGAGCCAGCGAAGGCAGCTGTTAACAAAAGTCTGTAACTTTTTGGAAGTCCTTCACGTCAAACGCCAAGTTTCAGATCCATATAGAAGAGCTGACTAAAATTAACATTGGTGTTGAAAATGCGAATCTCGTTCATTATGCTGATGAGTGAAGAAGATTTCCAAACTAGTTTCAGGTTGATGAAGGCTTATCTTGCCTTTCCGACTCCACCTTTGACATCCTCATCCGTTCCGCCTGTGTTTGAAATGATGCTTACTGCCTAGATAAGTGAAGGAGGTAACGTCTGGTAAGTCTCTGTCCTTGATGGTGATTGGCGCTGGCTGTTGTTGCTGTTGTTGAAATTTCTCTTCAGAGACGTTTCATCCAACTTCTGTTGCTACCATGATCTTTGTGTCAACTTTATTTTCTTGATCATATTCATGTTAAACCTGATGTAGTTCTTTAATTTGTAAACGAAGCAATACGAAGACGTAATTTATCTGAATCGTGTAATATGTATTTTCACAACACATTTCAAACAGTCTGATCACAATACACATACTTGTCATAGAAATACATATGAAAATAATGAAGCTTTAAAGTGTGAGAGTATAGATATGGGTCAAGTTAAAAGGTTATATTGAAGATCAAAATAAAAACGGGAATCACTGCCCCAAAGAAGGAAGGTAATAGCACATCTACCCTGGCTGGTATCAAAACAAAGTATACCACGGAAGGTTTAATGTGGTCACGAATTGTTTTTGAACCCATAAAGGTGGTTTAAACTTCCTAACTGCTAGGGCTTCCACAAATTTTAGGATACCCTTTTCCAAACATGTTTTATAGATAGTTTTTAAAAGACTTTGTACATATCTGGTCGTCTGTTCTCACCGCTAATGGGTTCACAGGATTCCATTTGCTTCTGAAACGTTCAGAAAAAATCTTGTTTTGATTTTTTCTTAAACACACTGGGATTATTTTAAATAATTTATAATGATTTAATCTGACTCGGTGCTCAAATTTCTCCAGGACGTAACCATTTTTAAAAATAACTCAACTCTATATATCGTAGAGGAGATAAAATATATTAAAAATGGTTTAGAAACCCTAAAGTTACCTTCATTTCGAAGTTAGGACCGAAGATGTTGTCCAGAAGGACAATAAATACTTCGCAATTAAACTGTCCTACTCAGAGGACATTCATACTCCCGTTTTTATTATATTTCAAGAGCATCTTAACAATGTACTGCTCACTTTTCACTGACACACATAAATATTCTCTCAGTCCACTTCAATACATTATACTTAACGTTAAGGCTAAACCTACATTCTAATCAACTGAATCCTCTTTCAAGTGTTGGTTTGTAGGGATTTGATTGATTGGTTACAGGATTTCATCATGAGCTGACATTAATTAGAGAACCATTGGAAAACCGGCTGGGAGTACTGCCAGACAGCTGTTTCGTCCAGGTAGTTTGGGACGCACCCACCAAGCGGGTTTCGAACCCAGGACCTTCTGGTTACAAGGCGAGCTCGTAGACCTGTAACCAATCAATCAAATCCCTACAAACCAACACTTGAATATCAATGAGATGCTCACTGGCGACTTGCCATATTCAGGTAGGTAGTTACTACCTGGGGTTCTAGTGGGAAGTCGTGACCAGTAGGGTGCAGCAGGTCGGTTGTGAGAATAAATACTCGCCGAAGACATTGGCTAGCGGTTGCGCTATGTCGTGAATTGGCAGAAGTTAGAATTCATGGATTGGCGATTGGATCGGGTCCCAGTGGCTTAATGGTATACGAGCTCGCTAGCCTTGTAACCAGAAGGTCCTGGGTTCGAACCCTGGCGGTGATTGCGTACTGATGAAGAGTCCCAAACTAGGACGAAACAGCTGTCCAGTACTCCCAGCTGGTTTTCCAATGGTTCTCTAACCAATGTCAGCTCATGATGCAATCCTGTAACCAATGAATCCTCTTTTGTTTTAAAAAATATATATGCAGCTATTCAGGAATTTATAAATAAGAGAGTAGACTCAAATTCTAGTGGCTGTTTGATAACTTTTGTTCCAAAAATATGAAAAATAACTATTTCTGATATTGTAACTGTAAATTCACGTCAGAGACCTCTGTCTATACTACACACGACAGATCACAAATAATATACTGGAAAGAAAGGAACAACTTGGTTTATTATTTATTTGTGTTTCAAAGATTTTACACTCCACTATATTGTAATTGGAAGTGAATTAAGCACTCACAGAGGTTACTGGGTTTACATAAAGTCATATACGTTGGTGGTACAAGGGTGGAACATAGGGCTTCAAGCTGGAACTCTGAAGTTTCGGTAGCAATGGTATTTATTTTTATGGGATGAGGTTGCTAGCCTCATGCCCAACCTTCCCTGTTTACCAGTCTTATTACTGGCTTAGCGAGGTAAAGAAGTGCATCAACCGGTGATCGAACCTTGAACCACCTGCGTGATTGGCTAGCCACCGACCACGTTTGTGGTCCGGCTTTAATTCCCTCCTAAACCTCTCCTGGCTAATTATAACGGCAGTAAAGAGGGAAGATTGGAACAGCTAGAACAGCAACCCCAATCTCGTCACAAAAGTACACGCACTACTGAAACTTCAAAAGATTAAAGTCTGACATGGAACGCCAAAGGAGAAAAATTAATCCTCACAAAAATCAATCCTACGCTAGTCGTACTGTTGTGTCGCCATTTCTCTTAGCGACAAGTGTGAAGTAATGATGTTTATCTCACTGAGAATGTCAATGTGCTACCCAATAAGTAAGGTGTACTATATACCATACTAATAATCTGTTATCGTAAAGGCTTCCTTATTATTGATTGGTCATATCAAACACTGGCATGCGTTGATGACCGTCTGGCATTATGATGTAGTTCATTTCAATGGAAATGTGTAGCTTCGAGTAAAATCTAAGAACGAGAGTAGACACGTTGAAGATTCTGCCGACGGGAACTCGTGTACTGATTTGTCAGTCATTCTGTAATTTAAAAAAAACCAGACACCTGATAACCATCCTAATCACAATAAAGACAGTTAAGACAAATAAACCAATTCCATCTTATAGATAAATGACGTAGGATGTTGAAAGAAAATATCGGGCATTCACATTCAATTGAGATATATAATTATTCTTACCTTGTTTTTCTCACACCTAAACCAACTATGCTATATTCAATCACTCTTGTAGATGGATCTAAACTTGCTCCAAGTGGTATACCAGTTAGCCCTGGTAATTCAGGATTTCTTCGGCCACCAGACAAATAATCTGAATCGTATAAATCAAAGTGTAGAATAGAATTTTCTGACTTCCCTGTTATTGTAATCACTGGTTGACTAAGAATTGGTCGATTACGATTTGAAGTAGTTGACTGTTGAAGTAGATTATCGATTCGACCAGTAAGTTGTGCTTCAAATTCACCAAGTAAAAGTGGACTAAAGGTAACCTAAAATTTAAAAAATGAAGACCAAAGAGATATACATGAATGTCATTAAAAAATTATTTAAAGTTTATGCAAGTTCTGTTCATAATCAATCATAAAAGTCCTTTTTTATTGTCTGGTTTGTAGAGAATCAATTAGCATTTGTTTAGCAATGTCAGATGCTTTTTGTTGAATAAGCTAAACGCGACACAAACACAGTCCTGGGCTGTTAACTGGTTGCATTCTTATTACTCTGACAGTCTGCAGTATACTGTGTACAGTAGCACATCTTCCTCCTCTGCCTTGTTTACTGAAGCCGGGGTCCCTCAAGGTGCTGTTCTCTCTCTCCTCTTCTTGTTTCTTTCTTCCTACATGACTTAACTCTTTCGAATGAAATCAACTTCTCTAAATACACTGAAGAACTGACTGTCTCGCTGCCAGTTACATCCCAATCTGACTGTTCCAAATTTAATAGCTTGTCGTCGGACATAAGGCTGCCAGTGGTCTAAGATAAATGGTCTTACATTAAATCCCTCTAGATGTCAGACAGTTGATTTCACCCCCACATGTAAACGTGACCTACAAGAAGGGGTCCATTCACATTGAAATAAGAACTAAGTCAAACATAAAATGCCTTGGAATAGATCTATCCACTGACCTCTCTTGGCCGTCCTATATCTTGTCGATTTCTAAGAAAATGTTCCGCATAACCTACTGCATTCAGAAGTTAAGACAATCAGGTACGACTCAACCTCTGATTTTACCTATTGCACTCCACTGCTCCCCCTTTGTTTTTCCTGGACTACTCGAAAAGGGCTGTGCCATTTTTCGAAGGGTTTTCAAGGTTGCCATTAGGATGTGTGGTTTGCTTCTCAGTCAGGTAGTTACTGTTGTAGCCGACAGACACCTGAACTCTTGCGAGAACTTGTCCAAATCCATATTTTCTGACTCCCAACATCCTCTCTGTTCACAACTTTCCCCGCCTTCTATCCTATCAGGTGTGACCAGAAGTCATTATAGAAGATTATATGCTCACTGGTACAAGCAAGTACAACAACTCAAACATATCCTATTTGTCCCGACCGCGTTCTATGTGATAAGGAGAGTGTTGAGCGTGGAGCCTACGACTCACTATGTTATTAGCAAAATAAGTGGCTCCCTTAACCTCTCCTATTTGTAATCTATAGTGACACTATTTCGATTAACTTATAATTTTAGCTGTTAACACAATTAACATTATTCTTTACATCCATCTTAAGAAGGAATTAAGTATACTCAGTACGTAACTATGCTTAATGCTTCAATATTAACTAGTCAGTGCTGTCTTTAAATCAAAGTCACGTTCCCACGTCTTGAAAAATTTAGAACAGAAGAACGGTTAACTGCTATCAAACCCTTATATATGTTTTCTATAGTTGGTTTGTAAGGGTTAGTTTTATTTTTACGAGTTGATCACGGATTGATATCAGTTAGAGAACCATTGAAAACCAGGCAGTGAGTACTGCCAAACAGCTGTTTCATCCTAGTTTGGGAATTATCCGCAGTACGCATCCAGTGGGGTTCGAACGCAGGACCATCCGGTTACAAGGCTAGCCAGCTCGTATACCATTCAGCCACTGGGACCCGATTCAGTGGCTCATGAATTCTAACTTCTACCATTTCGTAATATTTAGTGTGACTACCAACCAACGTCATCGGTGGGATATCCATCCTCACACTTGACTGGTTGGACCTCACTGGTCACGACTTCTCACTAGAACTCCAAGAAACTCCATCCTGTAGCAAGTCACTAGCGAGCATCAGACTAATTTTCTATAGTCATTTTGTAAGGATCCGAGTGGCGAAATAGTATATGAGCCTGCCTTGTAACCGGAAGGTTCTGGGTTAGAAGCCTGACGGTGGGTGCGTACTGCCAATGATTCCTTATATATGTATATTTTGAAATTACTGCTGTGAATTTCTCGTCAAAATATCATTTTCTTGGACAGAAATGATGGGTCTCTGTTGACATATTGGTTCATAGTGCAGATGCTTCAATGATAAATTGAAGTTAACTTGACTCGATTCTCAGAAATGTATAAAGAGCCGAATGCAGAGAAAGACTGAACATTTTGTTCTTTTTAAATCAAATAGTAGGAAATTCGAAACATTAATTTGCACAATTAATACTTATTAGCTCATTTTCCAGTGGGTTCTGAGTTTGAGTCTCAGTGAGAAGATCATCACTCAATGGAGATGCAAGTACATCTAGCTAACGAGTCCTCGAAGAGCGCGACAGGCTCGTCCCTTATTTCATTGTTAGGTGCCATCATCCAGATGATATATATATATATATACTACGGAAGAAAGACTTTATTCACTCCCTCTTTCTTGTTATCACTCATCATTGTACATGAATTTAGAAAAATTGTAAATCTCATATTCTGAATAGGGTGAAGTAATACAATAACTGATCACTAGCCGGCATCAGTTAGAGAATCATTGGAAAACTTGAGAGGACTGTACAGATGTTTCGTTATAGTTTGGGACTTTTCATCAGTACGTCCCCACCGGTATTTCTAACCAAAAAAGCACTTGATAACTAATATTGTGGTGAGAGATGGTTGCTAGCCAGATTGGTAGACAGTAATTTACGTCAATGTTTACGTTCTCAAGATTTGTCGTGAGAAAATATGAACAAGACTGATTCAAAACCGACCACAGCAGACTTTGCGTAGGCGGATACAGTTAACATATAGATGATTTGACATTCAAGAAACAGTCACAAAGAGATGAAAGATTAACTTTAAGTGAGAAACAACCAATCAGAAGACTTTGTTTGTTTGATTAACTAATTTATAATAATGTACATGAAAATATATAAATATGCCCTTATTTTCTTAATAAACGATCTGTTGCCTGGCCCTTGTCTTCTGCTGTTACAATATGATGCTCACTAGCAACTGACCGTATACAGGGAGTTACATGGGGTTCCAGTGAGAAGTCGTAACTAGCAGAATCCACCAAGTCACGGAAAATGACGGTTACTCGCCCATGACACTGACTGGCCGTTGGGCTAAATATATATCACGCATTGGCAGAAGTTGGAATTCATGGACTATTGGGTTGGGTCCCAGTGGATGAATGGTCCACGAGTTCACCTTGTAACCTGAAGGTCCTGGGTTCAAACCCCAGTGGTGGGTGTGTACTGATGAGGAGTCCAAAACTAGGACGAAACAGCTCTGTAATACTCCCTGGTTTCCAGTAGTTCTCTAACTGCTGTCAACTCGTTACCAATTCTGTAACCAGTCGAATTCTTGCAAATGAACACTTAATAAATAAAATAGGGTTGGATAAAGCCAAAAGGCATTCATACTAGTACAACATAACCACGAAGTAGCAGCTCCAATTCCAAGTTTGTTAAACTGATCAGTCTATATGAAGAAAAATAATCGGACTCTGAATGCTTAGACATTGAAGCTAATCACGAAGCACCCTCATCTGCAAAACTATTGAGAGACAAGAAATTTATGACAACGCAGTCGAGCACATCTACCCCCTTTTTGGGTCGATCGAGATTAGGACTATAGCGTTACATAAAAGTTGAGCACATTGTCATTTCAGAACACTATAAAATACAATTTTTGTTTTTCATTTAGTTTTTCTGAAGATTTAGTAATTAGAAAAAAAACATATCAACTTCGTGTATCGTATGATAACTTGATCAAAGTTTTTGATCACATTGTTTCGATGTATTTGTGATCATAAGTATAATAAATGAATGAATTAAAAATTGTTTATTATACATCGAGATAACAAAGTACACTGTATCTCATTTAAGTAGATTCCCTCAAACTTATTACAGATGAGTGTTTTTTTAAAATATTTTTAAGCCACTTGAAAAATTTACAGTTATTTAAACATACACTAAAGCTATGGTCTCTTCGCGCACATATATATGAAGCCTTATTATTATTATTTGTTATTATATTACTGTCTCCTCGGGTTCCAGTGGAATACAGAGCTTCAGAAGCACATCTCTATTTTACCCTTTTCTTCCTAGTCTTCTTTTTAGACCGTCTCCACAATTGCACATAGGCTTTCACTTCTTCTTCATACGATCTTCTCCACGTCACTTTTATTTTTAACTGATTAAAAAGGACCATTAAAATTTTTTTCAAAAGAATGGTTACTGAACAAAGAATACTCTTTTCGATAACCTGCTCTTTATCAGGTTCTACAGTTATGCATACATGATAGTGAGTGAATTAGTGTTATTAACAGCATTATTGTTGTTTAAATAACATCGAATCAATAATATGAATAGATTGCAGTTCAATAGCATCAACATAGCAATAAACTGAATGTCAGAAAAATTAGAAAAGATAATAATAATAATAATTCATGAATTTATAGTCTCTACTGAAGGCCAGCCAGGGCAGTAGTAGTGGCCAGCTGGACTTGCTTCTTTTTGCACACAAAGCACTGGTTGTTTCATGCGAATTGCGATAGCCTCTGCTGTTTAGAGCATGCGGTACTTCGATGTTCTTGGCAATTTATTTGGCATCCGGTAGATGATAGAGAAGAATTCTTCATTGCTGGTCTTGTGGCCGGCTTAGACTAGGTGGTCTAATATCGAACTGTTGGTGGTTTTAACTACACCTTTACTTAGCCACACCACACTAGTAGGTGTTCCCAAGCGAGCATGAAAAATCAAGTTCCTAGAGCAACGGCCGATATTACTTGCTCCACCACAAGCGCTGTTGAATTTGTAGATACGATTGGAAGTGGCTAGTCTAGGTACTTCATCTTTCAGTCGAGGAATCACCATCGGTCGCGTGGAAAATATGACGTGTAGCTTTTTTTTCCTTCACGTTCCTCGGTGGAACATACGGCTTCAAGCTAGTGGCTTGAAGTTTCTGTAGCAGTGTTTATTTTACAGGATGGGGTTGCTAGCCTCATGCCCAACCTTTCCTCTTCACCAGCATTATTTCTGGTTTAGCGAGGTGAAGGAGTGCGTCGGCCGGGGATCGAACTCCGGACCATGTGCATAGTCGGCGGGCGTCCTAACCGCTATACCACCAACGCACTTGACGTGTAGCTTGCCAACATTAAAATTTCTTTGAACTGATTTTCTTAATTTCTTCGTCCTGTTCGACGACTTGGCAAGTGATACACTCAACTATCTCCTTTGTGTGTGTCCAACCCATCTCGATTTCCTTCTGCATATTTCTTCTGGGAAATAGGTTCCTGGTTGGTTTGCTGTACTGTCAGAGTTCCATGCTGCTAATCCTTTCTGGGCCTCTGACCCTCAGGTGAATGTAGCTTGACTTTCACTAAGTTTGATAAAACTGCTAAAAATATAAAGCGAAATATCGCCCTAAGATGAAAATCCAAAAGAGAAACTTTAAAAACCTGACCTAACTGACACAGTAAGGTGTACCTTCACATTGAAGTGTATTAATTCAAACTGAGAAACTTCTTTAAAGCAAGAACTAATTGTTATCACAATAGAAAAAGTTACGTACGATGTGAAGAATAATAAAATGAACTCGAGTGAACCTTTTACAATCAGGCAGAAATGAAAAACAGTGAATAGATTCACAAGTGTGAACGATTTTGAACCACTACCCATTGACTGATTCTTAACCCCTCGAGGTTCATATTATGGTGATCTACGCCTTATCGCATGACAAAGACCATGACTTTATGAAATTATGTCATATTCAACCTCACCATCCACAGCTGTTTCACTATAAGATCTGACATAATTTTCCAAGTAAGTGAAGTAGTCGGCACATTCAATCACCCTACTTCTTTTCTGTAAACTGTTAACTGATGCCGATATGGACAACCAAAAATTAAGTTAGGATATTGACTGACTGGTTTCAACGTAGAACTTTGCACAGGTGTGCAGCGGTTGGAGTTGCCACACTCCCTCCAAGAGAAGAAAGATAATGAACATAAATATGAGGCAAAAATAATGGTAATATAGTTTTATTGGGTATTATAAGTCATAAGAAGTTGATGTATCTGCGCCAGCCATCAGTGAGAACGGTTTTGAGCTATATCACCGATTGTATCCAGTCATTGGTGTTTACCGTCCGAGGACCCCAACCGGGAAGTCTGCATCTTCCTGTGTGGTTTAAACTAACTGTTGTGGATTCCACTGATTGATGAAGCCATGTTTTGGTTTGACCACCAGTGGCTCCTTTCCAACCCGATCCTATATCAGCTCACATTGTTGTCAAGAAAGGCAATGGCTAGGCACACGCAACATATGTCCTAACCATCTCAGTCGATGTAGTTTCACAGCCTCGTCGATTGATTTCCCTTTCTAAGTTAGGACACGCAATTTTCGGAGAATAACTTTCTTAATTCACAGTACCATGGTCTATAAGCCACCACAAAAGGCTTAGCAGTCATTTAAATGAGAAACCTGACTTGTGCTCACCCCCTGTTTACTCACAGTATAAATTTAACCTGAAACAGGTTCAAAGTCTTCTAAGCAACTCGCACCGTAACGAAAAATTCCTTTAGCCCAAACACTATTCAGTCAACCTCCTAAAGTGATAGAATCTTGAGAAACATTCTTCCCAACCAATATAAACATTGTGAGAAACATGTTTTGAGGCAGATACAACTACATTCATTACTGGCCTTCAAAAGATACGGTTTACAAATATTCTCAACCATTACATGAGAGTATAAGTAAGAATTTCAGTATGCATAAAGCCTCATAAATGCAGACGAAAATTTTAAAACTGAGTTGTTCTGAGAGTTAGGATTTCGTTTGGCGAATGTTCAATGCTAAATTAGTCATTATTACTTCATATGAAAATAAAGTGCACTTTGACTGAGAGCAGTCAAAATGATACTTAAAGATAAGAAAGTAGTTCAGTATGCGAAGTTACTATCTTTCAAGGGATAATTTGTAGAGATTTGATTTGTTCGAATTTTGATCACGGATTGATTTCCATTAAAGAACCAATGAAAGCAAGAAGTACTGGGTTAATATTTCGTCCTAGATTGGGATTCTTCAGTAGTATGCCCCTACAGCCCTACTGGGGATCAAAACTGGGTGGTATAAGGCTAAGCCTCTTAACATTTCAGCTACTTGGGTTGTTATTCAATGGACCACAGTATCTAACTTCTAATAATTTGTGATAATAGCGTGTCCGCAAACCAATCCCATCTGCAAGTTTTCGTCCTAACACTCGACATGATGGACTCCAGTGCTCAAGACTTCTCATGCTTTAGCCAGTCACCGGCTAACATCAAATTAATTTCGAAGATTTAATTCGTAGATATTAAGCGAAGTGGTAAACACATTCAACCATCCTACTTCTTATCTGTAAACTATTAAGAGATGCAGATACTGAGAAACACAAGGTAAGTTAGGATACTGACTAACTGACTGACTGACTGACTGACTGACTGACTGACTAACTGACTGACTGACTGACTAACTGACCGACTAACTGACTGACTGACTGACTGACTGACTGACTGACGAAGTGACTAGTTTCAACATAGAACTTTGCACCAATGTTCAGCAGTTAGAGTTGCCACACTCCATGTAAGACAAAAAGCAAGAGAAGGTAGAAGGGAGAGATTCAAAGGAGGACAATAAGCAGAGATTTGAGGCGAAAAGAATAGTAATATGGAAAAACAATAGAATTTTATTAGATATTATAAATCACAAGGAGCGAATGCCTCTGCGCCAAACATTGCAAACGATCGTCGAAGGAAGCGCTGGAATTACTCATTTCAATCTCCCTGAGATTTTTCAAATCTAATTTTTACAAATGTCTACTTCTCACTCGGCGCCCAAATTTTTTAGAACTATTCTGTCAAATCTTGACGACGGTTATTTTGCAATCGTATTAAATTAACAAAGAAACTAGGTAATTGGCACAATCATCGTGTTTTCACTCTACGTTGTCTGCAACAGAATGCATATCCGAAATCCGTAGATGTCGAGTCACCTGACAACTCCAGTAGGTCGAATAAAGCAGCTCAATCTTCAGAAAGAAGGCAAAGCAATAAGTCCGACAGAGTGCTTCAACTAAACTGCAATCCTAAACACCATAATTTTGAAAATACGTCTAATCATAAAATTCTAGATACTCACAGTTTGAGCAGACATGAAGGCGTTGATGTTAGCTGATGCATAGGAAATCCTTATTAATAAATAAAAGATGGATATATATCACTAATTAATAAAACATGCTCAGAATTCCCGATTGTCTATTTCTTCTTATGGAGACGTTAACAAATGTTTTACAACTGTTTACCCACACACATACACACACTATTGTATACCACATATACACAAATATTTTCATATTCAGTTATCTAGGACCATGAACATTTAGTCGAATGTAATCAATAAAATTCTGATGCGGAAGTCCGAGGTCAAATTTTGATCACAGCTCATACAATATTTTTTATTATACATGTTGATACCTGTTTCATGACTCATGATGAGAAAAAGATTTTAAAAACAAGAGATGTTCCTTTTATATATAAACCTCTGTAATGCTAATTTCGATTAATTTCCCTGAAGAAGTTCAAACCAGATTGCCGAACGAAGCGTTGGAATTGCTCAATTCAATATCGCTGAGATTTAGCAAATATAATTTTCAATTCGTAGATGTTTGATCTCTTTCAAGTTTGGTCAAGAATCTGGCTGGAATTCTTGTGAGAAGTCGTTAACAGTGGGGTCCACTAAGTCGATTGTGAGGAAAAATACTCTCGGATACCACTGGCTGGCAGTCGCGCTTTAATCACGCATTCACAGAAGTCAGAATCCTTCAGACAATAGATTCCGACCAAAATGGATGAATGGTTAACAAACTTTGTCTCATAATCTGGTTTTCAATGATTCTCTAACTGGTATCAATCCACGATCAACAATGGAAGTTGCTACTATTTGTATTGCTACCACTTCTTACTATCTATATGATAAATTACTTAAAGTTTACAGGAAATTAATTACTCATTAATTTTTACCTGAATAAATTGTGATTTTCCAGGTAGTATATTACCCTGAACCGGATCAACTGTGAATGGAACCAATGAACTATCCCAATGTTCATTACAACCTTCATTACTAGTGTCATTATTAGTATTTTCGTCAGGCATTGAACTTGTCATTTGAATAGACCAATTGAAATGGAGTGTTATCAATCCTGAATTGATAAACTCAAACCTGTAACAATGTAAAATAAAGTGCAATAAATTAGCCAAAAAACAGTTTACTAATCATAATTAAATCGAATAGGTAATCAGCATTTATAAACTGATATCCAAGTTTCAGCAATTTGAAAATTCCCATTCAATCATAGAAAAGAAAAGGCGTTCAGCAAAGAGTTACTCTTTTCGGCGATATCATTCTCAAGCTGTACAAACCGCAAATTTATAGTAATTTTTCTTGGCAACAAAAGGAATATTTCCAAAGATGTGTTAATGCAATTGTTAATTTTTTGACAACAAATTACGTAATTTAGAAGGCGTTAATCGGTTAGAAACTAAAATAAAGTTACAAAAGTAGGTTGGGTGACGTAATCTAATTGATAGGGTTCAATGAAAAATGAATGAGAGTCAAGTTAATAATCTGAGTAGAATTCACTTAAAAATAAACGAAAATGGAGTTAGCAACAGTCGTCATGAGGGTAGAGATTTAATAGAGGGTGGGGGTAGAAAATAATGCAATTAAGAAACAGACAAACAAAGAAGAAAGAGGTAAGACAAAATTACGTATTTGGTGTTAAGATAGATCAGGACCATTGTAGATTTAGTGACTGAACAAACTTCTTTTGTATGCAGAGTTCAGGATTCAATATGTGAATTGCCATTGCTTCTGCAGTTTGAAGAAGTTTAATTCGTACTCTTTTGGCAAGATTCCCACGTATTGTGTAGATAACTGAGAAGTTGTTTTGTGGATTTGCTTGGTGTCCGGATTCGATCAAGTGTTCTAGGATAGAGCTGTGGCGGGGGGATCTTCTTTCTCCTTTATAAAACCATGAAGGTAAGTGTTCGCTGATTCGTTTGGATAGCGTTTGCTATCCAAACACTCAGATTATTAACTTGACTCTCATTCATTTTTCATTGAACCCTATCAATTAGATTACGTCACCCAACCTACTTTTGTAACTTTATTTTAGTTTCTAACCGATTAACGCCTTCTAAATTACGTAATTTGCTGTCAAAAAATTAACAATTGCATTAACACATCTTTGGAAATATTCCTTTTGTTGCCAAGAAAAATTACTATAAATTTGCGGTTTGTACAGCTTGAGAATGATATCGCCGAAAAGAGTAACTCTTTGCTGAACGCCTTTTCTTTTCTATGATATCCAATTGTTAGCTTGCAGGGATTTGATTGGTTAAACGATTTCATCATGAGTTGACATCGGGGACAGAATCATTAGAAAACCGCCAGGGAGTATTGGACGGATACTTTGTCCTACTTTGGGACTCTTCATCAGTACACACCCACTGGTAACATCAACTCACTGGTAGAAATACATCATATTTAAACAACTGGTTAGCATCGTCACTCTTTACAATATCATAGTTTGGTAAATCAAACGTATAAATGAAATAATTGGGATTTAACTAACTTCATTGTTCTCTTTGATGGTTAATACTTCATCCAACCTTCTGAAAGGAATCCAATTCAGCGTTTTATACGTAACCGGAACTATGGGCATTCGGAAGAAGGACTCTATTTCTTGAGTCCAAAAAAGTTTGTTCTACCATTGTTTCTCCCTTGGCCTAGGTAAAATTATTATACAAATCTGTTATTAAAACCTCTCACCCTCTCCTAGCCTTTATCTTTTTCATACATCAGTAAATTAGTTGAAACCTTAGGAGGTTTGGTGGATGGTGACTATCAGTCCTTGTTTACATTGCTGAGGCTTTAGTCATTTTCAGTTAGAGACGGCGCAGCTATGCATTCAAACAATTCTATAATCATGGCAACAAACTTTTCGATTTCTCCTCACTTGATTTTTGTCCGCTTCTTTTTCTAACTTCTTATAACTCTTGTACTTCTTTAGAACTCTTACATAATTCCATATTTCTTCAAATATTATTTTTTGTAGGGAATTTTGTTTGATTGGTTGGAGGATTTCATCATGAGCTGACATCAGTTAGAGAACCATTAGAATTCATGGGCGATTGGATCAGGTCCCAGTGGCTGAATGGTCTACGAGCTCTCTCGCCTTGTAACCAGAAGGCCCTGAGTCCGAACCCCACTTGGTGGGTGCGCACTGACGAAGAGTGCCAAACTAGGACGAAACAGCTGTCCAGTACTCCAAGGTCTTCCATTGGTTCTCTAACTGATGTCAGCTCATGATAAAATCCTCCAACCAACTCCATATTTTCCTTCGTTTATTTGTGCATGGTGATCGCAACTCACTCATTAAATTATTCATTATAATATTTAACTCCAATGGACTCACACAAAAAACTTGGAGGATCTGGACTTCGCCGATGATATATGTCTGATTTCCCACAAACTGGAAGATATGCAAGCGAAAAGCAACAAGTTGGCAGAAGAAGCATCGAAGATAGGACTTCAGGTGAACATAGAGAAAACGGAGGTGATGAAGATTCCTGGCCAACACCACCAACAGCAACAACACAACTGACAACAATCAGTATAAATGGGAGGAACCTGAAAGAAACTACCTCTTTTACCTACCTGGGAAGCATCGTTTCAACTACAGGCCGATGGAACTGACGAGGATATCAAAGCAAGAATCGGAGAAGCAAGACAAGCTTTCACTACTCTCAAGCCTGTGTAGAGGTCAACAGCACTCAGCATCAAAAATAAGATCCGGATTTTCAACTCCAATGTGAAGTCAGTGCTACTATATGGATCAGAGAATTGCACTGCGCGTCATAAAGAGCACCTCAAACAAACTACAGACCTTCATTAACAGCTGTCTTCGCTCAATACTCAAGATCATATGGCCAGAAAAGATCAGCAACAGGGATCTCTGGCAATGAGCGAACCAACCAGGAACCGATTGTGAAACAAATAGGCAGGAAGAAATGGAGATGGATTGGGCATCCTCTGAGTAAACAAACCATCAACATCACTAGACAAGCAATTGCTCGAGTGGAACACGAAAGGGAAGCGGCGAGTTGGTCGTCAGTGCAAGGGTGTGGTGACTTGGAGGAGGTCATGTGAAGAGGAGATGAATACGTGTGGGCAGACTTGTAGCCATATGAAAACTCCAGCAGAGAACCGAATGCAATGGAGACGCACGGCTGAAGCCCTATGTTCCTTTAGGAATTAAAGGATACAATAATAATAATACTTAGTTAAAATATGAAGTGTTTTAACAAATTAAATTTAACATAAGTTTAATCCTATCACGAACCTGTAGATTCGTTTTTCAAAGATATGCGTATCTTTGAAGTCAATTCTACTGACATCACATTTGTACTGAGTGAAATCAGCTACTCCTGAGATGAATAATTCCAGTGGTTTAGGATCTGGTTGATCTAATATCTCTTCATAATTTGGTTCAGTTTCAATCTCGATCACTTTATGTTTACGACGAATTACTTCACTAGCTGGACCATAATTTGAATTGAATTGAGCGGGTAATTCTTGTGAACCATGTGGATCAGCGACTGTTGTTGTTGTTGTCGCTGCTGGTGCTGCTGTTGCCTGTTGATTGGTTGCTTTATTTGAGTTTGTTGTCGCTGTTGTTGTTGTCGTTGCAGCTGAACGACTTGTGGAGTCGATACCGTTACCTCTAATGGTTGTATAAATGGTAAACAAAAGTAATCGATGAACAGTTCAAGTCTGGAGTATTGAATAGCTTTCATCTGTATACCAATACAAACCAAATCTCAAACGACTGATTTTAGCTGATCACAGAGAGCAACTATGTGAGATTTTAAGGGTGCTGGCATCGCAGAGATGAATCGCCAAGACTGCTTCGAAAAACATTTTATCCATCACATAGGATGAAAACAAATTTTCAAAAGCAATTAGTCAGAAAGACCTAACTGGAAAATTTGAAGGGAAGATAACACAAATGCTGAAGAAGATGAAGAACGAATCAACTGCCGACTCTGAATTATTTGAGCGAATACGACCCTCAAGTTCCGTAATTCCTCGGTTATATAGTTTACCGGAAGTGCACAAAGAGAAGGTACCACTACATTTAATTTTGGATATGACAAATTCACCAAATCATGCTACTGCAAAATGACTTGCAGACATCCTCCTACCTATCAGAAATATTCCCTCTCAACATAGTGTTTCAGATTCATTTGAATTCTCCTATTCAATAAGTGATGCTGATGTATCCAGGAAGAAAATAATATCCATGAATGTTACGTTCCTTTTCACTAATGTTCCTCTTACTGAAACTATTTACTTTACATGCAAATCCATAGGGGATAACAATGTAGGCGCTGGTGTTCCAACCCATTACTTAAAGGAACTACTATTGAGGTGCATTTTCAATGTCCAGTTCAAGTTCAACAACACGCTCTACAGACAATATGATAGAGTGACAGTGGGGTAGCTATTAGGTTCTATACTAGCAGACTGCAAGTCTAGAGAAAGGTATGTTACAACCCACTATCGACAGTTTCCATATGCACCAAAAGATGCATGGATAATACTTTCATCCTGTCTGACGAGAATACTAACATCAAAATGATAACTAAGGAGTACAACAACTGCCATCATACCATCCAGTTGATGTCGGAATCAAAGGTGAAATCGGAATCGACAGGAACTTGAATGTAAAGCAAAAGTTATGAAGAATCCAGACGGTATTGAAGAAACTGTTATTTGTGAATGTTGAATTTAAAAGACATGCCGCGGCTGAGATCCTGAAGAACTGCTGTTGCAAATTACTGAGAAAAGCCTTCTTTTAGGCTGAGCTACGGATCGATTTCTACACTTGACATATGATTAATGGATGTGTGAAGGAAAAGCTGCCGATTCAGACCACTTAAGTGTGTGTTTATAAATTAACCTGCTCCTGCGAAGCTGGTTATATTGGCCACGAAAAACGCACACTTTCCAAACGCATCTCTGAACATTATCCGGCATTGTTAGCAAAACGGCAATGCAAGACAATTACTAGCACAATTCTCGACCACTTGGTGAACTGAAGCTATGCAGCTCCACAAGAGCCGTCTTTCAACATTATCTACAAGGTGAGGGCAAGTGGTACAAAGGGCATCAGGCTTCAGCATTTGTGTTTGACGGGGGCATTGACAATCTGTCAATACAAACCCGAACTCTGTATACAGAAAATGTTTGTCCGATCTCTTATTCCACCAAGGTTTTAAGCTCTTCACTAATCATTCCCTGTATATTTTCAATTTTTAATAATTACTTTGTTTTTAATTTGATAATCACTTCACTATTATCACTCTCATATGTTCCTTTTGTACATTTTCACACTCTCTTGACACTTTTTAAATTGACACTCAACTATCACCTTCCTTCTCAGTCAATAACAACTTTAACCTAATCAGATTTCTTACCCTTTCTTCCTTTGTGCCGTTGAGTACAAAGTAATTTAGAACTTTTATTTTTACTTTTCAAAACCACTTCTGAGTAACTATATCAGTTCGTTCACCCCCACTCTATTACTTAGTAATAGACTACTATACATTTTCGGTAGATATAATTATGACCCTACAGCCTATGAGGATGATTTCGTCGATAAAGAAAATTTTCTTCGCTGAAGCGTCTTTTATTTTTCGCTTGACTCAATGGGTATTTTCGGTGATTTTGACGTATTTCTTTTGGGCACATAGCGTGAGCTTGAACTTTTGGATATCTAGGCCTCATCTAAGCCCTCATCAGATGCCTTGATCACACTCACTTTGGAAGGTTTGATAGGAAATTTTTTTCGTGAATTTGATAGACTTTCCATATGGAGCTCAATGTTCTGAATTCACCAGATGTCCTGTTATCGAACTATATAAATACTTGCTTTCCGCCTTTGCTAGCCAGCTGGGCTAGATAGTGTTCTCGAGTGTGTTTTACAAGTAAACGCTTGGTAAAACCAGTTTACTCAGATCCACATTAGCAGACGAATTGGTCTATGCATGTTGAAGTGGCCCAATGTGAGAAACAGCTTGTCTTTCATGTGCTGTATGAATAATTTCATTCGTAAGCCTAGGGGCGAAGTATGCTTTACTGAGAGATTTCGAAAGCCGTTTACGGAATAAGAAAGAAACTTTATAAACATCACACTAGTGCTAAAAGACAGGCCGCGTTATTTTCTGCATGGCAGACAAAGTTTGTTACTTGAAACATTGGAATAACAATCATTTTCTTGGGATAAGTTACTTAGGCCTGATGCATAGGTTACATAGGTTACTGTAACTTGAAACGTTTTCATTCCACCTTCTAAACAAGATCTACAGTTGATAAAACGAACAATAAAACTTCCTTTGAATTAATTAACATAAGTCAGTAATGTATACATCAACAGAGCAGGACTATTCTAGTTAACTGAAGTAAAATATTCAGAAGTGAAGATAAAACGTCTAAGAAAGCCTTGACTCTGTAAAGCAAAATACATCTGAATACAGCAAGAACAGTAATTTGGACACAATAAGATGGTAACATTATTTATTTCGTTGACTTCTAATCAGTTTGGTGGCTTACAGCCTAAAAGAATTGTTAAGTTTATATACAGAACGATTTTAACATATTTGCCACTGATACATGGTGTCAGGAGGCTCGAAACTGAATCAAACACTGCTCAGAAAGTTACACTTATAGAGTTTTTACCCAGAGTTCAAGTTTAAACAAAAATCAGTGTATGCATGCAATGGTAAAGTAGCTCTATTCAAATTCATAAAGGAGAATTAATGTATGAAGTTCCCGAAATACATTTTTACTGGCACAAATAAGGTCAAAGTTTGATTTGGAAGAAAAATAGGTTATCTTCATGGTCAAAACTAGTGGCAGGAAATTTGACTTCAATGCAAATATTCATTCAGACATCTATAAAAAACAAAAATAATTGAGCTGCTGTTGTGTCACAATAAGTTTGTAACTGCTGACTCTTACGGCCTCAAGGATATCTGCCAGGCGATCTGATCTTCACTACCTGGTTCACACCAGCAGTTTCTGAATTCATGCGGCACTTCTACATTTTGATCTAACCACCTACAACTCTCTCTACAACTTAAGACTATTTAATAACCAAACATTCCTTGTTTAGAGATCCAGTGCTTTGAAATGCGTTGCAGATATTCAAGCCAGTTCAATCGGCAAACTTAACAACCATACCGATTTAATATTCTCTTCCATACCTTAGTAATAGTTTACATGTTCCTCCAGTTAGAGTGAATAAAGGACCTTCCCATATCTCTGAAACCTCTCAACGGATTATTCAACCAGACAGTATTCAAAACTGAAGACCAGCACTCCTCTTTGGAGATCTGGCTTCATTTCTTCTCCAAGCTCTGCGATCACAGATGCCTGTCCCAGAGATTAAGCCATGCATGTATAAGTTCATGCCTTAAAACGGTGAAACCGCGAATGGCTCATTGAATCAGCAATGGTTCCTTAGATCATTTATACTACATGGATAACTGTAGTAATTCTAGAGATTATGCATGCAAGTATGCCCTGACCCGCAAGGAAACGGTCGCATTTATTAGAACAGAACCAAACGGGGGCAGTTTCGGCTGTCTCTGTTGAATACTATGATGACTCTGGATACGGCATTAGGTATCACGTGTCGCAAGCTTGGGTGCCAACAGATTCTGCCGACAGAGCATGTCGCTAAGAATGCCTCTGGAGATGAGCTAAAGCTCATGGGTGAGATCAACTGCCATGTTCAGTTTGGTGAGCATGAATTCCTTGGTGTATGTTATCTCACAAGACATCGTGACTTGAATTTACTCGGTCTTGACTGTTTAGGAAAGCTCAATCTCTCAAATGTTCCATTAAATTCGGTATGTTTTAATGTGTCACCTTCATCGAATGATTTCATTTCATACCATGCGTCACATCAATCTCTGCTGCAACACTCGCATGAAAAGCATCCTCCAGTCTTCCAGCAAAAGTTTAGTTGCCGCAAGTCTAGTCAAAATCTTCGACTCTGAAGCCTAAATGACAGACGAGCTTTCCCTCCTAAACGTCCAATTCGTCATCAACCTCAATCCTATGGACAAGGTGAACGCTTCGTCAATGCCTCTAAGCGTGCTTTCAAGAGAGAAAAAGGGGAGGAAACAGCGAGAGACATCTTGGACAGATATTCCTTATTGCCTTATCAAACAGCAACCAATACTTCTGCCTCAAATAAGTTATCTCCAGCACGAATTCTTTTGGACGAAAAAAATCAAAACTTCTCCAAACAGATCCAAAAGACAGTGCTACACTTTTTAGGGAGGGGAGGTGATAGGATCCCGTATAAAGTATTATATCATTATCTCTTACCCATATTGTGATTAATTATGCGATCAACCGTTTCTCACAGGTGTGAGGCCGACTTTATTGTTGCAAGAAAATGTATAAATACCATGTGTTGTTTTCCTAGTGGTTGTTGTTGTTGTTGTGATAACAATAAACAGTCACAGGCCAGTCTTTGTCTTTGATATTTGTGTGGCTCAGTGGATCGGAAGGTACCACAGGCAGATAGGCATATTAGGCAGGCATAGACAGAATAAGGTGACTAAGGTTCACATTTAGTTCAGTAGCAGTTATAACAAGTACTATTAAAAGAATCATGCATTACAAGCAATTATTAAAGGCAAAACAAGTATACATATATATAAGCGCATTTTATATTAATTATGGGAATGTTACTAAACAATCCTCCAGCATATCATAATTTTAAATGAATTAAAATCCAGTTCACTCCAACTCACCTGTCTCCAGGTAGATCAAGCCAACGTATCACTTGTTTTGTATCATCCCAGTCGACTGGCTAAACAAAAAAAGGTGATGTGGAAAGGTTAATAGTAGAAGAAACTGTATACGCACCTGTGAATGACTCTTTTTAAATGAATTGTCTACAATACAATAACTGACTATTATTATTGTTTTCTTTAGTTCCTAGAGGAACATAGGCCCCAACGTTTTCACCTGACTCCACATCTGCCCATATACTTTCATCTCCCCTTCACATGACCTCCTCCACTCCATGTCACCCTCGTAATGACGACCAAATCTCTGTTTCCTGTTCGGGTTCCGCTCAAGGGCATGTCTTGTGATGTCACTTGATGGTTTTCTCAGAGTATGGCCATTCCACCTCCATTTCTTCCCGCTTATTTGTTGAACAGTCGGTTCCTGCTGGGTTGGTTCGCTTCCAGAGATCCCTGTTGCTGATCTTTTCAGACCACACATCTGATATTGAGTAGTATTGAGCGAAGACGGCTGTTGATGAAGGTGTGTAGTTTTCTCGAAGTGCTCTTCATGACGCGCCAAGTCTCTGATCTGTCCGTAAAGTAGCACTAACTTCACTTTGGAGTTGAAAACCCGGATGTTATTTGCATTTTCATGCTTAGTGCTATTGGTCTCCACGTAGACTTGAGAATCATGAAAGCCTACCTTGCTTTCCCGATCCTCGCCACCATATCCTCATCAGTTCCGTCCTTCTATAGTTGAAACGATGCTTCCAAGGTCGGTAGGTAACAAAGGTTGCATCTTTCAGATTTCTCCCATTTATGCTGGCTGATTGTTGTCTGCTGTTGTCTTTGTTGCTGTTGGCCAGGAATCTTCATCACCTCTGTTTCCTCTATGTTCACCTGAAGTCTTATTTTCTCTGAATGCTTCTTCTGCCAACTTGTTGCTTTTCACTTGCATATCTTCCAGTTTGTGGGAAATCAGACATTTCTCATAGGTGAAGTGCACAAATAACTGACCAGTGGGTACAAATCAGAAGATTAGACTTGCTATCAGACATTAATATCAATTAAAAAAGTGTAGGAATTCAAGTGGTGTGAGTAAATTATTGCATTGTATTACTGAAATTTCTTTCAGTAGTGGCCTTTTAATGCTTATCTACATTATGATTAAGATTAACAAGAAAGGACCCAGCTTGATGACAACATGTGATCAAACATATAGCACAATCAAATTCATGTAAACCAATACTTGGTGATTAATCTGATACTCACTAGAGATTGGTTCTATACAGGAATTAACTTGGTATTCTAGAGAGAATTTGTGGATCCAAAGGTGTTCAGGAAATCAGGAAGGGAACAGTTACGCGCCAGAGACGTTAGCTGGCTATTACGCTACATGTACAGTGAAGTGATAGAAGATGGAATTCATGGGCCGCTGAAATGGGTCCCAGTGGTTGAATGGTCTGCAAGCTCACCTTATAATAGGGGGATCATGGGTTCGAAATTCGGTGAATGTATGCTGTCGGAGAGTCCCAAACTAGGACGAAACGGCTGTCCAACATTCCCTGGATTTCAAATATTTCTCTTATTGATTTCAAAGCGTGACCGAACGATTATTACACTCGGTCCCAGTGGCTTAATGGTATGCGAGCTCGCCTTGTAACCAGAAGGCCCTGGGTTCGAACCCTGGTGATGGGTGCGTACTGCTGAAGAGTCCCAAACTAGGACGAAACAGCTGTCCAGTACTCCCAGCTGGTTTTCCAATAGTTCTCTAACCAATGTCAGCTCATGATAAAATCCTGTAACCAATCAACCAAATCCCTACAAACCAATACTTGAATTATTAGAAATCCAACTGGATACTGTTCGTGGTGACTGCAGTGAAACTGTGGCTTGGTGAGAGTTTGTTCCCGTAGCTTAGGTGACAGACCACTGGAGTGTTAATTCAGCTGCAACTGCGATTTTTACTTCACTGTCAATTTTCAGATATTGCATTTGTAGTAGTCTGCCGACGGGGGATATCCCTCACAGTCTTACCAGTAAATGGAATGTCATGAACATTTACAAACAATGACCTATTTTTAAAAATCTATTTAGTCATCATAGATTTCCTTACTAGATATTTATTGGCAGAAAATGAAATTCCTTTGTAGAAATTACTACTAAGTAGGATGAATTCACCTGAAATAGAACATCAAACTGATTTCAGCTATTTGGTGATGACGACTAGCAGTGGAACTCATGATGAACATTTCGTCCTATTTAAGAGGTTATCTAGATGTACCTACACTCCTCAGCGAGTGATGATGTCCCAAATGGGGCTTGGACCCAGTATCCATTGTCTCAAACGTCAAAGCGTTATCTCCTGGACCACTTGGACAACGACAGCCACGTCCTGTGCAATGGTACATCCAGTGACGAGTCCCAAATAAGACGAAATGCACATCATGGATCCCACTGCTAACTACAATTCACAGATATTTTGTTTCCTTCACGTTCCCCAGTGGAACATAGGGCTTCAAGCTTATCGCTTGAAGTTTCTTTAGCAGTGTTTATTTTACGGAATGGGGTTGCTAGCCTCATGCCCAACCTTTCCACTTCACCAGCATTATTTCTGGCTTGGCGAGGTTCCGGAGTGCGTCGGCCGGGGATCGAACCCCGGACCATGTGCATGGTCGGTGAGCGTCCTCAACAAGGAGCCGACATGTCCAACTGAAGCCGAACATTTTGGTCCAGTTAATGAACAGGAAAGCCAAATTGAATTAAGAGATTTCACTTATATTGCTTTAAGAGGTGACATCACATCAGATATCACTGAAGCTGAAAGATGACTAAATCTTTATGAAAAGTAGTAGATTGAGTTTACATATTAGACTTTCAAATCCAAACATATATTCCATCGTTATATATATTGTTATATCATTATATATTTGTAGCCTTGATACCACAGAAGAGGAACTGATTGATTTATAAAGGGATCTCATTAAAAATGTCTATCGTGAACGCTTCATCTCAAAATTCACGAAGCCTACACTACTAGAACTAAAAGCACATCCTGCCCTAAGAAATTATCCATCTGAATCTGCAGTTCAATGGAGACTTATCAGCAGAAATACAAACACAGAGCTTGTCCCATTCATTGAAAATAAAAACATTCTCAGCTGAACTTCCATTTAATTTCACTACAATACCAAGGATTCATATGAACGTGAATAATAAGCTACCACTGTTGGCCTCATCAATGTGTATCGACCAGTCCACCTGCTCCTAAGGAGCTAGGTATGTTAGCCATACTCAGCGCTTGCTATCCAAACTTATCAGCGAATGCTTACTCTTATGATTTTATAAAAGAGAAGAAAGATCCCCCGTAGCCCATTTGTGAATACCGAGAGAAGCCGCAAATCAACTTCAGAGTCATCTATACATTACGCCAAAATCTTCCCAAAGGAGTACGAATCCGAATTATTCATACCACAGAAGCGATAATAGTCCATATACCAAATTCCTAAACTCTGCATGTGGAAGTTTGTTTAATCACTGAACCTACAATAGGACTAATTTGCCACAATATAACTTAAGCAACTTATGTTAGTTTTAATTTTTTAGTTTTATTTTTTTTGTATGAATATAAAATTACTCTTTGGCCACGTCATTATATTTCTACACTTTATGACACTGATCTTAGCTTGACTCCCTTTCGATTGGAGTTGAGTTGTACTCAATTAAATGAATTAAATTAGGTCACGGAATTCACTCATTTGTTTAGTTCAGTTTAGTTTTTATCCCAATAATACTCTTTGTGTTACGTAATTGCTGTCTATAAGTTACAGTATTAATGACGAATTTTTGGAAACACTCCTTTGGTTGTTATGATCATACATTATGCAGTTGTACACTTTGAGAATGATATCGCCGAAAACAGTAACTCCTGGTTGAAAGCCTCATCTTAAAAGAAATACTCGAAAGGTTCTGACTGGTAGCAGTCTAACTGTTTAATTGCATTATGGATCAAAATTTATTTTGATAAAATCACACAGTGTGTTATACAGTAATATTTACTGATAACCACGTTTCGAGCACAAATTATTGCTGCTCATAGTCATATCAAGTCACTATTCACACAACTCACTTTCTTGCTTCATTTATATACATGAGAAAAATTGATGATTAGACATTTGATTGAATAAAATCAATATAAGATAAAGTACATTCAGAAATAATAATACTAGTGTCATCAGTAAAATACAATCAGATGGGGAATAAGATGTTTTCATAGCAAAATAAATAAATAACTTGTTAGAATGTTATAATGTGAATTGAAATAAATTTTAGCCTTATTTATTCTCCTCTGATTTGATTGGAGGTAATAATATCTTCCATGTCTCGTATTTGTGTTGAGTCATTTCTGTTGTATGCTTTGGGTGTAGACTCGATGAACTAAGCAGGATTCAGTAATCAATCTGTCTCAGTCTTCACCTACCTATATTACTCTTTAGAATTTCGACTCTGTCCCACCCTATTGTGTGGTTGTGTGTTAATGCATGCAGTGCTATTGCTGAGTTTTTTATTACTTATATTCGTGGGATCAATCATTCTAACCTTAGCTGCCAGAGACATGGAAGGTATTATTACAACCAGTCAAATCAGAGGATAATAAATAATGTTAAAATGTATTCAATTCACATACATTATAACATTCTAACAAGTTATTTATTCATTTTACTATAAAAACATCTTATTGACTAACAGCACGCGTCTTATTTACCATTCTATTGTATTTGATTGTTATCACTGATATTATTTCTGAATGTACCTTATATTACACTGATTTTATTCAATCAAATGTCTAATCGCATCAATGTTTACTCATGTATATAAATGAAGCAAGAAAGTGTGTGTGAGTAGTGCCTTGATATGATTATGAGTGGCAATGATAAATTGTGCTCGAAACGTGGTCATCAGTAAATATTACTGTATAACTGTGAGGTTTTTTCAAAATAAAATTTTATCCACAATGGAATTAAACTCTACCACAGAGCCCAAGTTTTACCCCTAAAGTCCAAGTGTTTAATTTATCCTGCATCACCTACTGATCAGCTATCATCTTTATTACAGTTACTTTATGCCTTAATCCCTCCGTAATACTGGTAAGAGGTACACACATTCAAATCGGGTACTATAGTTTAATATTACTATTTAATTGCACTCAGAATTAGTCGAATCAGAATAATGCATAATAGAAGAAAATGAAAATTCATATACAAAATAGCTCACTTTTGAACAACCCTCTGGCACAGACACAATAATACGATGTAGAGAACATTTGATCGATTGAGATTTTAGTGTAACTGGTGTACCGGATGGTTTAAAAGTCACCTCAATTCTACGTGATTGATTCACGTGCAGATGACCTTCAGATGGTTTAAATTGTAGAACTGGATTATTAGTTGGCCAGGTAAAACGAAAACTTGTCGGTTCTGTGTCTTTCACTTTACCACAATGTGTAAGTGTTATTGTTCGCGTTATAGCATCATTTGGACCACAATCACCAAAATCTAAATGATTGTGTCGTAAAGCTATAGAAAAATAAAAGTTGACAAAAAGAGAAGTAAATTTTGTAAATTGAATTGTACTACTCATTGCAACATTTCAGTAGTCCAAAATTTACTACCGAAAATAGATAGAGTTTTGAATATAACTGAGTAACTTCAGCAACTTGACTATGAATGACTTTGAGTCATTTCAACAGCAGCTTCTAACAGCTGATTACTACGAACTCGGGAACAGCAACTAAATGAAATATACTCAGATACATAGAGGAAAGAGACAGACAGAAAGTACATGGATTACTGAGGTGTTTTGAGCAGACCTCTCTTAATTCTCTCCCAATCTTATCTTACCGGGAAGTAATAGACAACTGTTTCATTCTATTCTGTGACTGTTCAGCAATATGCACTCATTACCCTACTGGGAATGGAACCAAAAACTTTCATGTTCTGAGACGAGCATATTATATTCAGTCACTGGAGTGGAATTCTTGTCTTTGTCAATTTTTGACACTTTGCTCCAAATTCATATGCTGTCTCTGCTCAGAATTACTCTACATCTCTGATATGATAAACCTAACTGGTCACGATTTCCTATTAGATCCCCATTTGATTTTGATTATTCAAACCATAACAGGGAATATCTTACTTCTAAGATTTTGATGACTAGTCGTTTGCAAAACATTTTTTTTTATTCCTTCACGTTCCCAGTGGAACATAGAACTTCAAGCTAGAGGCTTGAATTTTCTGCAGCAGTGTTTATTTTTTACAGGATGGGTTTGCTAGTCTCATGCCCAACCTTTCCTCTCTACCAGCTTTATTACTGGCTAAGCGAAGTAAAGGAGTACGTCGGCCGGGGATCAAACCCCGAACCATGTGCATGGTTGGCGAGCGTCATAACCGCTGTGCCACCGACGTAACACACAGTTAAATTTAAATATATCCTGACTCATCCAACAAATATCTAATTACATGTATGTAGACATTTGAGGTCTAAAACAAATCGAGTGTTATTAAAATATTTAATTTGATCGATACAATATAATAATAATATATAAATTTTTTTATTCCAAAACTTAAAGAATCACATACCCAATGTAGTCTGAGTTTCATCTTGTCCAGGATCTACATTGTTTAAAATGAAGAAACGAAGAAAAGAGTAAATGATTAGAAAGCGTATCTTAGTGAAGGCATTTTAAAATAATAAATATTTTACCTTTTATATTATGTTTGGTTGGTTGGAGGATATCACCATAAGCTGATATCAGTTAGACAACCATTGGGTAACCAGCTGGGATTACTACCAGACAGCTGTTTCGTCCTAGTTTGAGATTCTTCACCAGTACGCCGCCACATCGGTACCAGGGATAGAACCCAGGACCTTCCAGTTACAAGGAGGGCGAAGTCGTAGACCATTAAGCCACTAGGACCCAATCCAATGGCCAGTCCATGAATTCTAACTTCTGCCAATTCATGACAGAGTGTGACCACTTCTCAATGTCTTCGTTGATGAGTTACTGCCTCACCTTCAGCCTGCTGTATCCTACTGGTCACGGCTTCCCATTAGAACCCCAGGTTAACTGCCTGAATAGGTCGAATCGCTAGTGAGCGTCAGATCAATTTTCATTTATTGGTTATTTTGTATGGATTTTGTTTGATTGGTTGGTTATCTGAATCTGCCATACTATTCATATTTATTTCCATATCTTCTTGTTCTGAGTTATTTTAATTTTAAGGAAGTTACTAGGAAGCTTGGCGACTTCGATTACTGTAGCTTTATACTAGATCCTGTTTTGACATCTACTATTGGCCGATATGAGTTATTGAAGACTGTTGACATTAGCCATTAGTACTTAGGAACCAGAAGGAGTTCTTTTGAACACACACACAGACATTTCAGTCATTTGGAGCGGAGATTATTAGGCAGCCTGTTTAAAACTTGGGCTACTAAAATACTCCATCATAACATATTGTATTGAAATGCCTACAGCCTGCTGATTTGCAAGTTTATTTTAAATTTGAGAGAAAGCAACAGCGTGGGTGACGAGGTATCACAACGCATGAGAAGACTGTTTCTGAGATATTTAGTACAAATTGCTACTACCACAGCTATTATTATATCCTTCGGTCAAATAATGTACTCCTGAACCTTTTTTTAATTAGCTTTCAAACAAATGTTGAGCATTTCTCGAAGAAGGTAAATAAGAAATATCATCACGGATTAGGTTTTGCTTCAGGTCAGACAATAGTGTGTCATGCGTTTTACTGTCAGTCACTGTTTTACCTGGAGATCTTGGACAGAGAGAAACTACTGTAAGTCTAGCAGCCCTGTCCCGTAGAAATAGTACCCACGTTACCGAATAGCTTGTGTTCCACTTGAACGAACTTCTTTTGAATACATAATTTAGGTTTCTTAATATGGATTCGGACGATTTCACACATATGTAACAGGCGAACTCGTAAGGTAAAATTAGGATTAGTTGGAATATGGTAGATAACTTTAAAAGCCTTACTGACATCAATATTTTATTCTGCATCCATAAGATAAGCTAGAATCGAGCTTCAAATGGACCCCGTTTGACCCTTGCTAAACCAGGACAGATAATGTTAGGAAATCTGATGATAAACATGCTTAGGTTTGCTCCCTATGTAACTGGCTTCACAAGAGAATGGGATTTCTTAATTTTATCTTACAAGTTCGCCTGTTAAATATTTCTGAAGCCGTCATAATCCACATTAAGAAGTCTAACTTATGTATTCAAAAAAAGTGAAGAGAGTGTTACGACTAGTGATGCAACAGTATCCTAAGCTTACATATATTTAGCATAACTTAAGCCAAGATTAAATTCCTCGATTACACGTAACAGGTTGAAGGCGAGGCAAAGACTCATCTAGGAAGACATTCTGAAGTGTTCGCGCTATGTCACGAATTGGCAGAAGTTAGAATTCATGGACTGGTCAGTGGATCGGGTCCCAGTGATTCAATTGTCTACGAGCTCGCTCGCCTTGTAACCAGAAGGTCCTGGGTTCGGACCGCACCTGGTGAGTGCGTACTGATGAAGAGTCCCAAACTAGTCGGACGAAACATCTCTCCAGTACTTCCAGCTGGTGTTCCAATGGTTCTCTAACTGATGTCAGCTCATAATGAAATCCTGTAACCAATCAAACAAAATCCCTACAAAATTCAATACTTGAAAATTCCGTATTAGTTTGTTTATTAGATGTATCACACAGTGAGTGAAACAGTATTATTATTTACTGGATGACACAGTTTCGAACACAATTTGTTGCGGTTCATAATCATATCAATTATAATCACATAACTTCAAAACTTGAGTTTTATAGTTTTCTTTTTTCTCTCCTATTTATCGTCAATGGGATAGTACCATAGTTCAGCCATTGCACTACATGCAGTTACACACAACCATAGAATAGGATGATGGGATAAAATGACAGTTTTAAAATCTAATGTAACAGCAGGGTGGAGGCAGAGATTGATAACGGAAGCTTTGTTTATCGAATCAACTGCAAACACGTGCAATAGAAATGATTCAACACCTGTCCACCCAGACATCTCGAAAATTCTACTACCCCAAAGACGATTAATAGGAGAGAACAAAGAAAACTATAAAACTCAAGTTTCGAAGTTGTGTGATTATAACTGATGAAATGATTATGAACTGCAATCAGTTGTGTTCGAAACCTTGTCATCCAGTAAATAATACTGTTTCACTCACTGTGTGTGATACTTCTAATAAACAAACTAATATGGAATTACTTACTACCACAGTGCTCAAGTTTTACTCATATATTAATCTGCAAAAAATACAGTGAATCATTGAATACCTATTTGATCTTCGTCAAAGCCTATTCAGATACCAATGAAATTAGCACCAACAATGTATGTGATGCTAGGCAAACTCGGTAAGCCCAATAAAAAACCCAAGTCAATCAGCCAAATCAAAGACCCCCAATGAAAGTAAAAAGTAAATCGTCTTATCATATACAAAAGGGGTCCCAGAAATCACTGTAAGCCTCTTCAAACCTTTAAGAATTCATGTCACACACAAACCAATGAAATTACTTCCCTTAGCTGCGTCACCCAAAGGATTCCACACCAAAAGAAGTTAAAACTAAAATCATCTACAAAATAAATTGCAACCATTGTGAAAAAACACTACATTGGCCAAAGTGGACGCCCTCGTCATCTTCGCATCCATGAACATAAACTAGCCATCATATCGCTGCATACAGACAATCACGGACATCAGTTCGACTGCGACAACGTACAAATATTAGACAGAGAAAGTACCAAGAGCGCCAAAGAATTTTCGGAAACTTCATATTCCAGTGAATTTGCAAATAACATGCACATTGACGTAGATAAAATTCACCAACTCATAAGAAGGAAATCTCATACACAAAGCGTCAAACTTCAGGTCAAGGAAACAATCATTACCAATACAAGTTGACGAGAGAGTGTGAAAACACACAAAGGAACCAGTAATGTTCAAGATCACCAGAAGAGATGACAAATAAACTCGTGGAGAAATTTAAACGCATATACTTCAAATTGAAGCATACACTGAGGTGAGAATGTTGCCTAGTGAGGTAATGAAAGCTTCGCATATAAGCCACGCAGCTCAGACAACACAGCTACATCAAACACCCAAACAGTCATGAATAGTCTACGGAAAGTGACTACAACCAGTGATGCTCTTCATATCTTATGTGATTCTATGGTAGAAAAATCGATGAGCGTCCTAGAAACGACCTTGATACCAGGAAAATGTCGCGAAGGTTTCAAATATCTGTTAGCTCGTAACTCTTTGAACATTGTCACATGTAAGTATCCATTGTCGCACCAATTTGATGCATCCTAACGGGGAAGAGGAATTCGAAATTAATCCGTCCCCTTACAAAATGATATTTCGACAACTCGAAAATAAAAAAATACTGATAAAAACTTACCACTATCTAAATCATCAAAGTTGGATTGTGATGATGATGATGAGATGCAGTTTTCGATGCAGAAATTGCCCGTTTCAATGCACTCTGTATACAGACATGCCTTTCATAATCTAACTGTGGTACATCTTCTAGGCATACTTCATCATTCAGCGCTTCACCGATTAACTCAACCAATGCATCTTCATATTCATTATTTACAAGGGATAAATGAACTTGTCCAAAATTTTTTATATTACGTTTATTTGGCATATAGTGGATTGTAATGCTGAATTGATTGTCGGGTCTGAGTAATAAACCAATTAGATGAGATTGTTTTGATACTGACAGTTCATCATTTCCAGCTGTGAGTCAAATAGAAATTTTAAAAAAAGATTATTCGAGTACGTATACAACTTAAAAATTTATTCAATGATAAATATTCATGTTTTTAGAATTTTTAATATATTTGTGCGTTGAAGTTTCTGTAGCAATTTGGTTAAGTTTTGGGGGTGAAGTTGCTAGCACCACGCCCCAACCCTCCCTCTTTATCCGGGCTTGGGACCGGCTAGGAAACTAGCGAGCTAGTAGTCTAGGCGTCAGACAGTGGGAAACGAGAAGACAGGGATATCCTGGACCGATGTGAAGAAGCCCGAAAGCCTGGATTTCGTGGATGATTTATGTTTGATGTCACAAAAAATCGAAGACTTACGAGCGAAAACCGACAAACTGGTCGAAGAAGCAGCAAAGACAGGACTCCAGGTGAACATAGACAAGACAGAGGTTATGAAAATAACCAACAAACCAACCAACAACAACAACATCCAGCGCCAATCACCATCAACGGGAGGGATTTGAAAGATGTTACTTCTTTCACTTATCTAGGGAGCATTGTCTCAACTACAGGCAGGTGGAACGGACGAGGACGTCACATCGAGAATCAGGAAGGCGGGAAACACATTCATCAACCTGAAACCAATCTGGAAATCTTCGTCACTCAGCATCAACAACAAAACTCGGATTTTCAATACAAATGTCAAGTCAGTCAGTTCTTCTATCCGGATGGATCAGAAACTTGGTGGGTCACAAAGAATATTTCCAACAGCCTGTTGCAGACCTTTATCAACAACAGCTGTCTTCGTTCTATACTGAAGATCAGATGGCCGGCTGGAAAGAATCACCAACAAGAAACTATGGGAACAAACAGAACAAGAACCAGTCGCCGACCAACAAATATGCAGGAGAAAGTGGAGATGGATTGGACAGTTGCTGAGGAGGCCGCTGGGTGACATCGCGCGTCAAGCCAACGCTCGAGTGGAACGCGAAAGGGAAGCGGCCAGTGGGACGTCCAAGGGTGACATGGAGGAGATAAGAAGAGCTGAAACAGTATGGACTAACATGGATGCAAGTGAAAAGTACAGCAGAAGACAGAAGCAAGTGGAGGCGTGCAGTTGAAGCCCTATGTTCCACTAGGAACCCAAGGGAACAATAATAATAAAAATAATAAATATTCATGTATTGAAAAACTTTCATTTTGTTTACAACACAACCTCCTGGCACAAACGTGTTGCTAAAGTGTACAATGCCTATTTGACTGATAACAACCGATGCTCTATCCCATCGAAATCTGTTGGGTAGTGATAGCGACTTATGTTTTGAGTCCGCATTGGTACATACACAAATTAGAAGGTTATCAAGTCATGTGCTGTCAATTTACAAGTTCAGAATGCTATGATTCACCAACTGCGATGAGCGAAATATCTGGAGGATTTATCTAAAAAATAAATGCTGAACTCGTCTAGCGCTTTACGGAACCAGTCCCTCATTCAAAGGATCTAAGATTTACATGCTTATTTCCAGATGCATATACCCGTTTGTATGTTTGTGTCGAGGTACATATCAGACAAAGAGAAACGACGATTTATAACGTCACTGCTGAACATTTCGCGGAAACTCGCAACTCAGGGGATGAAAACCTTCCAACCAGTGTAGCTTCTCGTCTCCTCGTAGCAAGCGATCGCAAAGGTGACATTCTAAAACCACCTGAAATAGTTAATGTACAACTGAGTCCCAGTGTGGTGTCTGCTACTTACAAGAGTATATTAACAGACGTTCATTCCCACAAAAATATCAAATTTTGGAGAGATAGATTTGAGGTCAAAGAGAGCAAATGAACCAGTGCTGCGGCAAAACATGGGAGACACGAAAAGAAGAAAAAGAGACACAATGCGAAGGACAGAAGTAGAACAATACTGAGGATCTATGCAAATGACGATATGAATATATGGTCTCCATACATCAAATTACAAATCCACATTCCGTTACCAACCACTCTTGTGTTCTATTGTTACACCGGTTTTCTACGTTTCAAGGGTCAGCTAGTGTGTAACCATAATGAAAACGTTATTTTTTTCCCTACAGTCGTATTGTAACAGCAGGATCCACTCACAGCTTTAAGGAAAGAAACAAGAAATGTGGGTTCTAATGTATGTCAGTATCCTTCGAAAGCCTAAAGTTACGTCGATTTATGCTTTTTGTCTGTTAAATTAAATTTCAATAAGTTAATTGTGACCGTTAGCGGTGGAATTCAGGCAAAGCGTTTCGCATACCACTAATGGTGTTTCTGCTGATTGTCGGACTCAGAAACTGTTATTTTAAACGCTATTGACTTATTAAATGGGTTACTAGGCCAAGAGGGCCACCACTTGTGTTTTACAGGCCGTTTTAACTTATTCGTCTATAGCTACGATATTTGTTACTATTTATGGATAGAATTGATCGTCTCATAGAAGTATAGAGGAGTGGAAACAATTACCAACAACTTTAATACTTACTCAGATTAGATTCTTCACAGCCTTCATTGTATTCACTTGACTTGATTATTGGATTGTAAAACAACAAGGCATCATTATGCAGCTGAGGTTTCAGAGAAAACACACCATCTGGATCAATAAGATCAATGTTCACCTGAGAAAAAAAAGGGCATAAATTCCAAAGATATTGTGTTAATCCTAAAACAAAACATTTCATTATTGTTTGTTTAATTTAATGATTCAGCGCTATAAAAGGCACCTTCAACATATATCTATGGTTTTTTCAAAGGAAATGGGATGAGAAGGGAAGAAACCTGCAGGTTATAAGAACATGTCTTGCATAGAATAATATAATTTGATGATATTAGATGGTTGAAGGCGATCGGCAGGAAGCCTTGAACCTACCTTTCGTGCTAGTTGGCACTCACCAGCAAGGCATACTGCAACCTTGAAGGAACTCATGTCCCTCCTCAGATTCGAACTCGCGTCACCCAGTGGTACAGTCAGAGAAGTTACCACTGAGCTATTTGGGCTCGCGATTGACTTCTGGTAGGGCTGTAGTGGATACTCTGATTGGACACTAGTAACTGTGTGACGTGTCTAGTCTTTTCTATGGTGCAGACTGAATTCTGTCAGTCAGGTTTGCAATGTGGTCACCATTCTAGGTAGCTCGCCATCACGGTGAACATTGATTTGATGATGTTAGATAGTTGGAGGAAATCAGCAGGAAGTTTTGGACCTAGGTTTGGTACTAGTTGGTACTTACCAGTCACCAAGGCGTATCTGCGACCTTGAAGGAACTCACGTCTCTGACTGCAGCACTGGTTGACGCGGGTTCGAATCTCAGAAGGGATATGGGTTCCTTCATGTTTGCAGATACGCCTTGCTGACTGGTGAGTGCCAAATCGCACGAAACCTAGGTCAGACAAGGCTTCATGCCGATTGTCTCCAACCATCTTATATCATCAAATCAGCTACCTAGAATGGTGGCCACATTGCAAACCTGACTGACAGAATTCAGTCTGCACCATAGAAAAGACTAGACACGTCACACTAGTTACTAGTGTCCAATCAGAACAATATAATCTCAAATCCAAATTGTTTCGTTCGTGTGGTTTTGTGTTTTGTTATGTCAAATAAAACGAGCTCGTATAATTCTGCCTGGAAATATTTTCATTCTTTCTTGATTCACTTTAATAAAGGAAACCAGATGTGTGAAATAATTTCAAATAGTAATCCTTCACTAATATCAACATCATATTTATATTATAGAGCATTTTGATTCCATGGTTATTTCAGTTATTCCTCATCTAATTCTTTCTTCTTAGGATTCATACTCACTCACATACTGCTGATTACAACTTAATCCTTGAAACCTATGCTTTTGTTGACTATAAATAGACAAGCACGTCACAGAATTATTTAATATCAGGAAATTAGGAATCCTTATAGTATCATAAGAACAAATTGGTACTGAGAGAACTACTGTTTCTTCTTCATGTTCTACAGTTATAAATCCATGATTTGTTTTTACGAGTTGATCACGGATTGGTATCAGTTAGAGAACCGTTGAAAACGAACAGGGAGTACTGCCAGACAGCTGTTTCCTCCTAGTTTGAGAATCAGTGGCAGTAAGCACCCACTGCCAGGGTTCGAACCTAGCACCTTCCAGTTACAAGGCAATCTCGTATACCATTCAGACACTGAGACCCGTTTCATTGGCCAATCCATGAATTCAAACTTCTACCGATTCATAATATTTACTGCGACCACCAAATAATGTCATCGGTGCGAAATCCATCCTCATTCCTGACTGGATGAGCCTCACTGGTCATGACTTCTTACTAGATCTCCAGGAATCTCCGTCCTGTAGCAAGTCACTAGCGAGAATCAGATTATTTTTCAATGCTTGGTTCGTAAATACAAATCTAATCTTTACAAACTAACCATTGAAAATCCATGATTATTAGAATATAAATAGCCAGTAAAAGCAAGTGAAAAATTACATCGGAAACTATATTGGAATGCATGTATACGACGGAATGATAGTTCGTTTATTAAAATTAATAATTGAATGTATGTTAAATGTACAGTCATTCGGATAATAAGATAAAGTGTGAATAAACAACTGGGTGACACATCAATGTATTTTAACTGGAGTTATGTTCACTGGTGTGAGAAGGAATATGATTACCAAAAAATAAATACAAACTAAGACCAAATAATGAGGAACAGCAAAAGTAAGTTATTTTTTATCTTATTTTTGATAAAAGCTTGATTCTACACCGTATTTTTTGGTACAGGTATGGAATTTTCAGCATGTGATATCGGTAGCGCAAATTTTGCAGGCCGACCAAAGATATCAGGTGTGCGTCGGCAGGAGATCGAACCCCGGACCATGTGCTTGGTCGACGAGAGTCCTAACCACTGTGCCACCGACGCACATATATTAAGTGTAGTAGTAAAATAAAGATGTTGAATTGCAAACTGTAATCAAATACTGCAGACATGATGAAGGCTGTTAAATAATAATAATAATAACAATAATAATAATGATATTAATAATAATAATAAAGGATTTAAAACAATTAGTTCCCTTTATGAATTTAGACAAAGTAATAAGAAGACGCAATTTGTCTGAATCGTGTTGCGACCTATTTGCACAACACATTTCCAACAATCTGATCACATACGGACTTGTCATAGGAATAAATATGAAATTAATGTAGAGTTTAGAGGTGGGAGAACAGGATTAGGTCAAGTTAAAAGGACATGTTGAAGGTCAAAATAACAATGAAGATCTTCTATAGTTGGTTTGTAAGGATTAGTTTTGTTTCTACGAGATGATCATGGGACCCAGGACTGCGTTCGAACCCCAGTGGGTGAGAACTGCCAATGATTCCCAAAACTAGGATAAAACAGCTATCTGGCAGTACTCCCTGTTGGTTTTCAGAGGTTCTCTAACTGATATCAATCCGTGATCAACTCGTAAAAACAATGAAGATCACCAAACCAAATAACAGAGGTAATAGTGAATCTACCCTGACTGGTATCAAAGCAAAGTTTACCAAGGAAAGTTTAGTGTGATGACGAATTGTGGCTTTGAACGCATAAAGATGGTTGAAACTTTCTAATTGCCTGCTAAGGCTTCCACAGATTTTAGGATATGCCCCAAACACGTTCTATTGATAGGTTTAAAAGATGTGTGTAAACATCGATTTTATGTCCTGTCTCTATAATAACTTTCGCAATAGAGGAGCTAGGTCTCCTGTTCTCACCATTAATGGGTTCTGGGGATTCTATTTGCTTCGAGACTTTTCTCCTGTGTACATAAATATCCCTTCTTCTGACTTTGTAGAAGCCTCTCGAAAACGGTAAGATTTCGTACACGTTCTATTACCAGGGCCCTAGCGATCCGGATGAGAAACCCAGATTTATGTACACGGAAGAAACTTCTACATCCCCACCTTTAACTTTGGATATAATTCCAAGCGATACTACTTTGCTGATAAGGCTTATCATCCGAAATATATTCGTGTAGGATACAGCATCACACTTGGGTACACACTCTATAGTGTCTAATTATGGGATCCACCAAGCACATTTCGTCCTTCCTCAGACTCATCACCTGCCTTTTATTGAGGGATTATGTTACTAGTTCCAGAATCAAACGTAGGTTCAAGTTCCAATAGGGAAATCACTTAGTCCCAAATAGGATGAAAAATTCAAAATAATATTTTCAACAAAGTAAATATATTACTGACAGATGTATGTGTATGAATGGTATCAAAATGTATGATTTACCCGACTGTTTAATATGCCATTATTATGTAGTGTTAGTGTTTGTGTAGATGTTCTACCAACTTGCATACGTTTAAATATACACATTGCTTGTCCTGCACGATTTTTTAACTTTGGTTGTAATATACTTATCTGTGGTAAATTTCCTTGACCATATAATTCAAATGTAAGCACTGGAGTGTTTGTTGGACGTTTACTGCTCGAAGTAGCACTTCCACGACCTGAATTCACAGTTGCATTTGTTGTAGGTGATTTATTGTCCAGGTAGGCGTGAAAATTTGCTGTGTATGTCTAAAATGAAATAGAGGTATGTTGTCACAATGAGTAATAGGTACCATAATAGCTTGCTACCGATAGTTTTTTTAAATAGCTGATATCATTATTCTCAAGAAGTTTTGTTTATTAATTTTCAATTTAGCCAACTGTCTGTTGGCCTATCAACTTCTCACTGTCAACCAGTTGTTAACTCAAGACGTTATTAATATTAGAACAAGACCAAAGAAGGGTGACTTAGGACTCTGCAAGAACTGGCGAGGAATCATGCTCCTGTCGACGCCAAGTAAAATCCTGAGTCGCATCATCCTGGAGAGAATAAAGGACGCACTGGATACAGAACTCCGACCAGAACAAGCTGGATTCAGGAAAGGCAAATCATGTTCTCACCAAATTGCAACTTTACGCATCATCATCACAGAACAAAGCATGGAATGGCAATCAAACCTCTACCTCAACTTCCTTCATAGACTTTGAGAAGGCCTTCGACAGCGTTGACCGCAAAGTAATCTGGAAACTACTCGAGTACTACGGCGTACCCCAAATATTCATCAACCTTATTCAACAGCTGTACGACAACGGCACATGTCAAGTGATCCACAATAGAAAACTCAGCGAGGCGTTTGGAGTAAACACAGGAGTCAGAAAAGGGTGCTTATTATCACCAATGATATTCCTAATTGTGGTGGACTGGATTATGCGTCAGACAGTGGGAAACGAGAAGACAGGGATATCCTGGACGGACGTGAAGAACCTAGAAGACCTGGATTCCGCAGATGATTTATGTTTGATGTCACACAAAATCGAAGACTTACAAACGAAAACCGACAAACTGGTGGAAGAAGCAGCAAAGACAGGACTCCAGGTGAACATAGACAAGACGGAGGTTATGAAAATAACCAACCAACAACAACAACAGCAGCAGCAACATCCAGCACCAATCACCATCAACGGGAGGGATTTGAAAGAGGTTACTTCATTCACTTATCTAGGGAGCATTGTCTCAACCACAGGAGGAACGGACCACGGGAATGTCAAACCGAGAATCGGGAAGGCGGGGAACACATTCATCAACCTGAAACCAATCTGGAAATCTTCGTCACTCAACATCAACAACAAAATTCGGATTTTCAATACAAACGACGTCAAGTCGGTCAGTTATTCTATACGGATCACAAACTTGGCGGGTCGCAAAGAATATTTCCAACAGCCTGTTGCAGACCTTTATCAACAACTGTCTTCGCTCCATACTGAAGATCAGATGGCCGAAAAGAACAAGAACCAACAAGAAACTATGGGAACAAACAAAACAAGAACCAATCGCTCAACAAATATGCAGGAGGAAGTGGAGATGGATTGGACACTCGCTGAGGAGGCCGTTGGGTGACATCGCTCGTCAGGCCAATGCTCGAGTGGAACCCGACAGGGAAGCGGCGAGTGGGACGTCCAAGTGTGACATGGAGGAGATCGTGTGAAGAAGAGTTGAAACAGTATGGACTAAGATGGATGCAAGTGAAAAGTACAGCAGAAGACAGAAGCAAGTGGGGGCGTGCAGTTGAAGCCCTGTGTTCCACTAGGAACCCAAGGGAACAATAATAGTAATATAAGCGAAAAATATTGTTTTCAATTAGATCTTCTTCAGGCTCTACTCTAATTTACATAGATTTATACATAAAATTTTTTAACCAATGACGGTGATTTTGTGGATCAACAACAATAATAATCTGGTAAATGATTTGAACGTCATTAATAACGATGATTATAATTTTCAAGAGTAAGGATTATATTTGTTTATACGAGTTTGACCACGGATTGTGAGTCGGTGGCACGTCGGTTTGGACTCTCGCCGACCATGGATATGGTCCGGGGTTCAACCCCCGGCCGACCCACACCTGATATTAATGGTTGGCCTGCTAAATTTGGGCTACCGATATGACATTGCTGAAAATTCCATACTTGTGTCGAAGATACTGCGTGGAGTCAAGTTATAATAAAATATTAAAAAAATAAGAAATATCACTTAGAGAATCATTGAAAACCAGGGAGTACTGGACAGCTGTTTCATCCTAGTTTTGGGAATCATCGGCAATACGCACCCACCACTAGGCTTCCAACCCACGACCTTGCGATTGTAAGGCAAGCTCGTATACCATTCAGATACTGAGACCCGATTCAATGAGCAGCCCATGAGTTCTAACTTCTACCAATTCGCGATTCTAGCGCGGCCACCGACAAAATAATTCTGATAGGTTTTATGGTTCATGGTTCGGAAAGGGTCAGATAAAGTCTGTTTTGACTCATTTGATTGATAGCGGTCACCAAGTAGACAGAAGTATTGCCTTCAAAGTTATCTGTCTCATTCTATCGAGCATTTCAAATGGAATTTGAACCGACCTTTTACACATAGCCGAAGCTATGGGAATTCGAGAGAACAATCCTAGTCTTTGCATACAAAAGAAGTTTGTTCTACCTTTGTCTGTCCCTTGGCCTAGGTAAATTCTAATCAAAACCCTCCCACCCTTTCTTATTTTTCATTTCCTTCGTACTTTCATGATATTTATTTAAACTCTGACCATCTATCTGTCCACTTTACCTTTACTTTTACGTAACTTTTAGGATTTCATCTACTTGTTTATTTATGGAAGTCTACATATACACATACTACTGCCTTTGTTATTCTTATCGCCACGTGCCTAAACCTTATCATCATTATTATTTTTGTTATCATTATAATCATCGTTATTAACTACGTTCAAAACATTCGCCACATTACTATTATTATTATTATTTGATCGACAAACTCACCGTCATTGGTTGAAATTTCTATATATAAATCTATGTAAATTAGAGTAGAGGCTGAAGATAATCTAATTGAAAACAACAATACTGTTCGATTATAAGTCAGTTTCTGATTAATCAGAGATGAAATTATTCCTTTCTTTCATCAGACGAAATCACGAAATTAGATCGATAAATTAGAATTCTATAGGTGTTACACCACTGCTACCGAAACTTCAAGCTCCTAACTTGAAACTCTGTGTTTCACTAGGAACGTGAAGGCATAGAAAAATACTAATAAAAGAATGCTCATAAATAATACTCATATTAAGTTGTATTCATATTTCATGATTAAGTATGGTCATCCATCCTGTAGATATAAATTCCCTAACCCTTATTATTATAACTTCATAAACAAACCTTTTGTTTTCTAATTTAAACGTAGCTGATGACTTCGTTGAGAAGGGCACTTTCTCCTCTGCAACCGTCGTTTTTTAAAATTTACCTGAAATGGTGGCCACATTGCAAACCTGACTGATAGAATTCAGTCTGGACCAAAGAAAGGACTAGACACGTCACACTAGTTACTAGTGTACAATCAAAATATTTAAATCTATTTCAAACCTTCTAATTCTCTAGAGAAAGCTTTGGTGAATGTTAAAGATATGGTTCCCAAAATGCTACAAAGTAATTGTGTCTATAGGATAAAGTGTTCAGAATGTGAAGCATGCTATGTAGGGTAGGGGAGAGCAGTATACAGGTGAAGGGCAAAGTGAATGAACATAGACTGTGCTCGAAACGTCCACCTAGAAATGAAGGAGAATTAAAAAGTCTAGAAAAGTTACTCCGGTAAATTCGTAACATCTACGGTCTGGAAACTTGTAAAGCAGTTTCCAATCTTTGAAAGGTAATTTTTAATCTCCGAACCAAGTAAGATTTGTAGATATAATTGGACAAAGAATAGCTTAAAATAACTACATGGGGCCATAGAGTCTCGATGACACCAATTTTCATTTTCCAGATACAGTTTCAACACTGAGACAGGGATTTCATCGATTGACCCCATATTTTCGTTTGAAAGCACCTAACATTTTTCTGGCTCACTCCTATGCTAGATAAGATTGTTTATTGAGGATGAGCAGTGGCTAGGTATACGTAACACGTATTCTAGCAATTTTCAGTCTATCCAGCTTCGTAACCTTAGTTTGACTTTGTAGCCACATCATCCTGGAGAGAATCAAACACTCCCTGGATGAAAAACTCCGACCGGAACAGGCTGGATTCAGGAGAAACAAGTTATGCATCAATTAAATCTCAACACTACATATCACCAATGAACAGAACTTGAAATGACAATCAGCTCCCTACCTCAACTTCATCCACTTTGAAAAGGCCTTCGACAGACGGCTTCGATAGAGAATCGATTTGGGAACTACTTCGCTACTTCGGGGTGAGTCAACTATTATACATCTCATCCAACAGTTCTACGACAATGCTGCATGCCAAGTAATCCACAACGGAAAACTCACGGAATCCTTAGAAGAAATGAAGATAGGAGTAAGAAAAGGCTGGCTGCCTACCATCTCCAACGATTCACCTGATTGTGGTAGACTGGATAATGCGACAGACAGTGAACAGGGCAACGAGGAAACAGGCATAAAATGGACACACAAATAATACTTGGAGGATCTTGACTACGCCGATGATATACGTCTGATTTCCTACAAACTGGAAGGTGGGCTAGTGAAAAGCAACAAGTTGGCAGAAGAAGCATCCAGAGAAGATAGGACTTCAGGTGAACATAGAGAAAACAGACGTGGTGATGAAGATTCCTGGCCAACAGCAACAGCGACGACAACAAAGACAGACAACAGTCATCAACAAATACGAGGAAAGAAATGGAAGTGGATTGGCCATACTCTGAGAAAAAAAAAGCATAAAGTGACACCACACACGAGGCCATCGCTCGAGTGGAACCCAAACGGGGAGTGGTGAGTTGGTCGTCAGTGTGGAGTGACATGGAGGAGGTCATATGAAAAGGAGATGAAAGCATATGGGCAGAAGTGGAGCCAGATGAAAAGGTTGGTGCAGAACCCAACGCTCAATGGAGATGTGCTTCTTAAGTCGAATGCTCCTCTTGGAACTAAAGGAAACAATAATAATAGTCAATGAGACACTCATAATACTTACTTGCATAGCTGTGGGAGCAAATATTACATTTGCATAAATAGATGAATGTGGTTCAATTTGTACTTTATCTGGTATTACTTCAAATGCTTCATAACTTGTTGTTTGACTACCTCGGCTGCTTGAACGTCCACTTGGCTGGTTAGAATTCAGTACACCAGTATAAGAGATTTCAAAGGTTACATCAGCTGGTACATTACTTTGGTTGAAAATTCGAAAACGTGCACCAACCCGTGAACCAACTAGCACATTTCTATAAACAAAACGATTTTCTTCAATTCCATAAATACCACTGGATGAAATCTAAATTAAAGTAGCGAAAACAGTTATCTTGGTCAATACATTATGATTAGTTATGTTAAAAGCAGTTTCAATGTTTACAAGTGTGCTTAAAATAGAGATGTAGAATGGCATTGATTCATAAGACGAAGCTGTCTTACTTATCCTATAGTGTACATTAACTTCATCTGACTTCATACACTTAAATATCCTTCATATTAGCGTGCCTATTGATATTGAAAGTTACAAGGAATGCCTTATATCTATACTAAAATCGCTTTAGGTTAAAATGGAAGCATACAAAAAATTTTGCCATTTGACAACATTTGTCGGTGTTCAAGTGTTAGTTTGTAGGGATTTGATTGGTTACAGGATTTTCATCATGAGCTGACATTAGTTAGAGAACCGTTGGAAAACCTGGGAGTACTGGACAGCTGTTTCGTCCTAGTTTGGGACTCTTCATCAGTACGCACCATCGGGATTCGAACCCAGGACCTTCTGGTTACAAGGCGAGCTCGTATACCATTAAGGCACTGGGACCCGAACCAATGGCCCATGAATTCTAACTTCTGCCAAATCACGACACAGCGCTACTACTAGCCAATGTCTTCGGCGTGTATTTGTCCTCACACCCGACCTGCTGCACCCTACTGGTCACGACTTATAAAACAATGAAATTAGTTTATAAATTCTTCATTTAAGTCGAACATCCATGCTGAATACTGCATATGTACAGTAATTTTTATCAAATTATAAATTTGGCAGGCGATAGCCACAAACTTTTCATCTGGCTGACTGGAGTAGATTATTGTCTCTCCAGTTAACACTTCGAGGAGATCACTTCCACTCAATCTGCCCTCACCGATTCCTGACACTTCTATACGATATCTTATCATATCTCTTGCAGTCTAAGTAGTTTTGCCCCTCTCGAACATGGTACAAATATATGATGTCACCGTGGATTGGTCCACTGGCTTCTGAAGAATTTTATCCACCAAGCTCAACCATCCTGAGATTCAGGAGTCCTCCTGACTCCAGCACAGAATACGTTTGTCGTTCCTGTGCACAAGATTTTCTGTAGCATTTGGGTACTTTACACGGGATATAGTCACTAGCAACATGCTCAACATTATGTTCACTTAAAATACAAAGTTAACGCTATCCGAACTTCAAAAAGTGGGAATCAGAAAACCAAATAAATTTGGTTTACGTAGTTGTTCTGCATAACATTCGTGGATTTGATCAGTAGAGTTTAACAATGTGAGATAGTAATGGTTAAAGCAGGGGAGCATGAGGCAAGCAGAAAATGGCTATTGCAAGCAAAACCCCAAGGGTGTAAAATATTTCCCTACACTAAATGTTTATATGCACCAAGTTCACTATAAATGAATTAACTGGTGTGTCATACTGGATTTGGGAATCTTCGCTGAGTGCTTTCGTGTTCCATTCTTTAATATATTTTTGACCAACTGCTTATTGTAACTATTTCGAATGATTGGAATGGTAAGCTGACGTTAAATTTACTGGTAATCACATACCGCTATTGTCAGGTATCATGAAATATTATTTAATTTTTACTTTACTTTTTGAATGCTCTATGGGATTTAACTGAATTCTGGAACAACTGATCGTTTCTGGACGCCAAGAAAACTCTCAAACCACCTTCAGAGTCACCTCCAGAGTACGCAGAAATCTTACTAAGGGGTAAAAAATAAATTGCATATATTTCGATGGTAATGTCGCTCGCAAAACACAACCCCTCTGTGGATCAGTAGCCTGGTTGAGATGGCTTTGGGGATTGGAACTGGCTGGTTTCAATATTGAACTTTGCACAGATGTGCAGCGGTTCAAGTCGCCACAATTTATTTAGCACACAAAGCGAAAGAAGAAAGTAAAAAGAAACACAAAATAAAGACAGTAAACAGAGATATGAGACAAAAGGAATAGTAATTTTGAAGAACAATATAGTTTTATTGGGTGTTATAAGTCTCAAGGAGTGGATGCATCTGAGCCATCGAGAACGATTTTGGGCCATATCACCAATTGTCTCCAGCCATTGGTGTGTACCGTCCCGAGGACCCTAACCAGGAAGTCTACATCTTCCTACGCGGCTTAAACAAACTGTTGTGGATACCATTGACTGATGCCATGTTTTGGTTTGATCACCACTGCTTCTTTTCCAACCTGACCCTATGTCAGCTAGCATTGCCCATTCAGGAAGGCGATGACTATGCAGACGTGCGTGACACAAGTCCTAACCATCTCAATCGATGTAACTCTGTATCCTCGTCTATTGATTTTCCTTCCTGACCTAGCACTCGACCGACGCCTAACCTCAGTATTGTTCACTCTATTATACCATTTCACACGTGAGATAGAACGCAGACACCTATGATCAAAGACAACTAGGCAGGCTTTTCATGTCTTCCACTTTCAAAGGCCAGGTCTCACAGCCATAAAGGAGGATGGAGCAGACTGCCTAGAAGTATAATCGCCCTTTGGTCGACAACCAGCTGGATATCACGTCTCCACCTGAGATGTTGTAAACTGGCATATGCGAAACTAGCCTTCTGTATCCGTGCTGAGATTTCGTCAACGATCAACTCTTTGGCACTGGCTGATGCAACTTCCCAAATAAGTGAAGTGGTCAACACGCTCCACCAACCACTTCACTCCCTACTTTTAAGCTAGGAGATTGGAACAATGGGTGTTGAGTTTGAGTTCAAGTTGGAATGCTATCAATCAATGACGATACAGGTACATTCAGCTAAGAAGTCCCAAATTTGATGAAAAGCGCATCCTAGAATTGACTGTTAGTTACTTTCGATTAAATAAAATCGTGTCGTCCTCAAGGCATCGTCGAAGCTTTGGTACTAGAAGCCAACACTGTCAACGGAAACCTATGATTTGAACCCGACATATATAAATATATATACTACTCATTGAAATACTTATATACTGATTAATACACATAATAAACTACCATAATTATGTAAATGTTAATATTATTCATTACCTTATCTGAGAAATCAGGTAAGTCTAAAATTGTCAAATTTTTACAGACATGATGTTCTTCAAAGATCAGTGAATAATTATCGGTTTCAATCGATGGTAGATGACCTTCAGCTATAAGACGATAAGGTATCCCATGAGGATAAGCGTTCATATCACGATCAGTTATTTCAATTGTTAATTCCTAAACAAAAAAAATGTAATCAGAAATTAATTAAAAGTAAACTTATTATTACTATTATTGTTATTGTGGAACGTGTTGAGTAGAAATCCTTTAAGATATAAAATCGATTTTGTAGTGTTGTTTTGCAAGGAATCGATTTCTTTCAAGACTGATCACTTGAAAAGTGATCAGTTGCTTACTAGTGACTGACTGCAGGGTAGTGGATCAGGTGAATCCATGAAGTTGAGTGTGAGCACAAATACTGGCCACTGACGCTTGCTGGTGATCGCCCTATATAGGGAATTAGCAGAATTCATGAAACATCCGGTTCCATTTCAATGGCTGTATGATGTATCAACGAGTTTGCCTTGTGAATCATAGGTCTTAAGTTCGACCCGTGACAGGGTAATGGACGAGTACTTCTGAAACACCTGTGGACTACTCATTGGTACTCAATGGTTCTCTAGTTGAGGTCAGTTCATGATCAGTCTGAATGTAAAATTAATCTACCAGACTTTCATGGAATAACTCACAACCTGAAGGCATATATTACTCATCAGATCCTGTTGATTATGCAGGTATTTCTTGTGAGGCAATGGATTCTAGGATTCTGAGAGTTTTACGACAGTTTCTATGTTTTCAGGAAGAATAAACATCGTCCAAAGCCTTATGGTATTTAAAAGTTGGTCTGAAATTAACAGACGCAAGCTAACAGTTTAAATCAGTATTCCCCTTCCATTGAAAGCAGAGGCGTTTCCAAAGCCTTCAGATCTCACTGTGATTTCATTCTCATCTGTTGGTTGGTTGATATTATTCCAAATTGCTGATATTAGATGGTTGTAGGCAATCGGTAGGAAGCTTCCGACCTAGGTTTAATGCTATTTAGAACTCACTAGTCGGCAAGGCAATATCTGAAACCTTGAGAAGGCCTATGTGCCCATTTGGGATTCGAACCCATTTCACCCAGCGTTGTAGTCACAGACGTTAAAGTTAAGCTATGCTTGCTCATGTTTGAGCTCCTGTAGGACTGTATGAGATACTTTCATTAGACACTAGTTAGTAGCTAGTGTAATGTGTCTAATGCTTTGTTTTGATGCATTGTAGCCGGCATACTAGGCAGCTCGCCATTATGGTGGACTATGAACTGTGATAGAGAAGATTTGTAGCTCAGGTGGATGATTTTGATGTGGTTGTGTTCTCTGAGCTGGATAGTTAATTTGCGAAGCTTTCATCACCCTACTAGGTGACATCTTCAGCGCATACTTCAATTTGAAGTGAGCTTTTAGATTTCTCCACGAGTTTATTAATCATCTCTCCCGGTGGCCTTTGACGTGATTGGTTGTTCTTGTGTGTTTTCACACCTTCTAGGTTACTTGTATTTTCACTCATTGTTTCTTTTACTTAAACTTTGACCCTTTGTGTGTGAGGTTTCTTTCTTATCGGTTGATAAATCTTGTCTATCTCGACGTGTCTATTGATTGATGATTCACTGGAATACCAAGCTTCTAAAAATTCTCTAGCATTCTTGTTGTTTCGTCTGTCTAATATTTGAACGTTGTCCCAGTCGAATTGATGTCCGTGTTTGTCTGTATGTAGTGATATGAGGGAGTGGATGTCATGTCTTTTGACAGCTAGCTTATGATCGTGGATACGAAGACGAAGGGGACGTCCACTTTGACCAATGTAGTGTTTTTCGCAGTTAATACAATCTATTTTGTAGATGATGTTGGTTTTATCTTCTTTCGTTGTTTAGTCTTTTGGTTGACATAGAATTGAGCGAAGTGACTTTGTTGGTTTGTGTATGATGTCAATTCCTAAAGGTTTGAAGAGTCTTGTAGTGATTTCTGAGATGTCCTTTATATATGGTAAGGCGATTTTCTTTGTGCTTTCCTTGGGGACTTTTGGTTTGATAGGTTGGCTTGAGAGTATATGTCTTTTGATGAAATTCCATGGATACCCATTCTTTTGGAAGACGTCCATGAGATATCTTTCTTTAAATTTCCTGAAGGCGCGAGTGCTGCAATAAGTCCTAGCTCTCTTGAATAGTGTTTGTATGCAATTCCTCCTCAATAGACACGTCGAGATAGACAAGATTTATCAACCGATAAGAAAGAAACCTCACACACAAAGGGTCAAAGTTTAAGTAAAAGAAACAATGAGTGAAAATACAAGTAACCTAGAAGGTGTGAAAACACACAAAAACAACCAATCACGTCAAAGGCCACCGGGAGGGATGATTAATAAACTCGTGGAGAAATCTAAAAGCTCACTTCAAATTGAAGTATGCGCTGAAGATGTCACCTAGTAGGGTGATGAAAGCTTCGCAAATTAACTATCCAGCTCAGAGAACACAACCACATCAAAAACTATGAACTGGTGATATTAGATGGTTGAAGGCGATCGGCAGGAAGCCCTGGAAATACGTTTCATCTTTGTTTACACTCGTCAGCAAAGTATATCTGTATGATTCACCTGCAGTCTTCACCGAACAACGGGCTAGACACATGACAGCAATTAATTAGTGTCCAATGAAAACTTCTTCCGAAAAATTGATTGTCTTATTAACAGTCAGGCAGTTCTCATCTTCCAAACGGATGTTACTGTATATTACCAATGTATTATATCACCATGTATTAGACATTCAGGTAATTACCTTCAAAATTCTACCCCAGCCTTAATAATACACTCTGCTGAGAAATTAGTTTTCGAAAATATTGTGTAAGTCTCTTTCTATTCACTGAGAGTGAGAAGGAAGTCTGACTCCCGGTAGGATTTGAGAAGGAGGGCAGTCAGATTACTTATCTGACATTAAACCATCTGAACTACAGGAAATATCTGCCAAACAGGTTATTAGACTACTGAAACTATTAAAATATTTTCATTCCATTTCAATTACCACTAATACACTAATATCAGTTTCCCAATTCAAGACTATTTCATACAATCTCTAAAACACAAAATAATTCACCAAAGAATATCCTTTCCGATAACTTCCTCCTCTTCCGGCTGTACAATTATATATATGTTTATATACATAGGATATTCTAGAATAGTAGTCAATAGCAATATTAGTGTTTTTTAAATAATATCGATTTGTAAAGTGAGATCGCATTAGAATTACAGTTCATTTAAGATGCTTAAATTATGATAATAATAAAGATATAGTAGCAATTAGAATATCAACTAAAATTATGAAAATTCCACAAAAATTCAGGACCATTCAAACCTGGATGGCTAAGGTAAGGACAATGTCTGAACTAGCTTCTTTTGGATGCAAAAATTAGGATTTTTAATGTGGATTCCAACAGTCAGCCTCAGCAATATTTCGTAAGCGAACTCTTAAGGCGAAGTTAAGATTTGTTCGTATGCGATAAATGACTTTGAAAGCCTCGTTGACATCAATCTTGTGTTCTGTATTCACAAGATGAGACAGAATAGCTCTATGTATGGATTTTGTCTTACCTTTACTTAACCACGCAGGGCGGTGTTCGGAAATTTGACGAGAAACACGCCTAGTTGTACAATCTTATCAACCATTCATTACATTTTTTTAAAAGTATATATTTATAATATTAAAACTGTTCAAAAGAAAAAGCTTACTTCTTCACAAAGATCCTGTGAATTAGCCAAACAATCAACTGTGATAATTTGTGCATTCCCCGGTGGGATAAGACCACTCGCAGGACTTAATGTAAAGAAACCTTGTTGTAATCGTGCTTGTGGAGTGCTCAGCATTGTTGGATCTGACCTAAATAGCATTTATTGAATACAAAAATAAAACAGTGACGAATATCGAAGTAGTAATATATCTGTTTTCGAAGATACTTAAGAAAACCACAGGGAAAAAGAAATAAGGAAACAATAAGCAGCAAGCATTGCAATTAATTTTATAAGAGCATCATGTTAGTGCGCAGCAGAACTTAAATGAAAATGAAGGCAAGGTGAAGGTATCTATTTCGCGACTATACGTGGCAAAAGCTACTTTTACTTGGTTTAGCATTATATCTCCTTGAAAGAACACATCATCGGAAACGATGTCAAAGTAGACAAACAAACAGTCAAACAGCGTAGAAATTTGCGTCAGTTCAGGTCGTCACAGTCTGTAAAGGCATATAGAATTGCGGAGCTACTTTCTAAGAAAGTTTATAAATTGGGAAAAGATTCACACATGTTTAAGACTTGGGCACTGTGGTAGTATGCAATTCCAAATCACAAACAGTGAAAAAGTATTATTTACTGGATGACAAGATGTCGAACACAGCTTATTGCGGTTCAGAATCATATAAAATATAAATGCAAAACTTCGAAACTTCCCTTTGGTGGTTTTCTTCATCCTTTTCAATTCGTTGTACGGGTAGTGGAATTTTCCAGTTATCTAGGTGGACAGGTTTCGAATAATTTCTGTCACACTTATTTCTAGTTGATTCGATAAATAAAGCCTCCGTCATCAATATCTTCCTCCACCCTGTTACATTAGGTTTTAAAACTATCATCCTATCCAATCATAAGGAATAGTTGTATGTGTGTTTGACTGCATGTAGTGCTATTGCTATCTTATTAGGGTCAACCAATCAGTACCCGACAGGTAAATTCTATTTTTCGTCTGTCTCTTCCTTAGTATTATTTTGTCTTTTCAATTGTAATATTTTACATTTTCAACTTTCCTGTTCTCTACCCCTAACCTATTTAATTTCTACACATCACTACCACTGTTACTGACTTGACCAACACTCAATTTCTACTCATTTATGTTACGGCATCCAATTTGTTTGCTCAATTTTAGTCCCAGTTTAAATGGCAATATTCTCTACCCCACCTATACTTACTCTCTACCTGTAATTTTAGTCAATTAAATTACGTCATCTAACTTACTAACTCAGTCTTACTTCAGTTACTGTCTGACTAACCTTGTTTCTATATTAGATCATTCTTGTATTACCTGATTAATTATCTAAACTTGACAAACCTCATGTACACACACACACAAAAATAATTATTTATAAATGTGATTTTACAGCTATGTGAATGAATTCGCCGAAAAGAGTCTCTTCTCTGAACGTCTCCTCTTTTTCAATCTAGATTTTGGCTAGGATTTTATGCTCTGCTAGTCTAACTGCCCTTGTTCTGCTACTCTGGTCTGAGTATTTGACCTAATAATCATTGCAAGCAGGGTATTAGATAAACTGAACTGTCTTGTTTAATTGTTCTCCACAGGATTCTTTAACCGATAAAGTTTGCTTCTATTTGAGTTTTTGGTATTGAATGTCAGCCTCTTTTACTCCCGTATTGTTAAGAATTCTCCGTAAGGTTTCCGAGGTTCTTTCTTTGTATGGAAGTGCCATCAATGATTTAAATTCCTCATTCTTGGTGGTGTCATTATCCTGTGCATATTTGTCGTGCATGTCGTCATTAATATTAACACTATTAATACCGTTATTATTATCAGTTGTATTGTTACAATTTATTTCCTGATTAATTTATCAGAGTAATTATTAAGTTGAAAAGCTTCTCTCTTATATGATTCACTTGCTGCCTTAGATTTTTCCTTGGTACTATTTAGTTTTTCTGCCCTATAACTTAAACATTTCAGCAATCCTGTTTTTACTGACATAGAGTGGGATGATAGGAAATCCAAATATTGGTTTGAATGTGTGGGTTTCGTATAAACACCAGTGTTTAACTTACTACCTTCTTTCCTTTTTATACTACAACGTAAGACTGACAAGTCCCCTTCCTGACTTTCCAATTCATAAGTGAATTAAATTGCCGCTACCTTCGAGTTGATGCGTTCGAAAATGTTTAGGGTGTATCCTAAAGTTTGTGGAAGCCCTAGCTGGCAATTAGAAAGTTTAAACCACCTTTATGCGTTCAAAAACAATTCATCATCACAATAAACCTTCCTTGGTAAACTTTGATTTGATACCAGCCAGGGGAGATGTACTATTTATTACCTCCGTTAATTGTTTTAGTGATCTTCATTGTTATTTTGACCTTCACTATGTCCTTTTCGCTTGACCTAAGTCTATTTTCTCACCTCTTAATTCTTTGTTAATTTCATATATACACATTCCGATGACTAGTCCGTGTGTGATCAGATTGTTCTAAATGTGTAAATACATTACACGATTCAGACAAATTACGTCTTCTTCTTGCTTTGTCTATATAAACCTTTGTTATCTTAATTTCGATTAATTTCCCTGAAGAAGTTCGGATCAGATTGCCGAACGAAACGTTGGAATTAATCATTCTTATAAATGTCTACTTTTACCTCGGCGCCCAATTATTTTGGAACTATTCGGTCAAATCTTGACCACAGTTCCATATCAAGGTTATATGATTATGAGCAATAAATTGTGCTCGAAACGTCATCAGTAAACATTACTGTATAACACTGTGAGACTTTATCAAGACAAAATTTACCCATAATGGAATTACACTCTACCACAGTGCACAAGTTTTATTCGTGATCACAGTTCATATGAATGTATATATATATATGTACATATGTATATATATATATATATATATATTAGGAAGAGGCAAAACATGCAATTATCAGGTCATTATCATCTCTCAGTCAAGTTATTATCGCGTTATTAACAAGTCGTTGACATGCAATTGTTCTTGCTTCTGAGTGGACGCTTGCACATTTAAAACTCTCAACCGGATTGGTTGATTTCCAGTCTACCTTATTTTCTGTATCAATACAGTCACTTTTGTCATAATAAATGAACCTGGTTTTACCGCTGATTCTCGCGTGTTCTGCTTTACCAGTTAAGTGGGCACTGGTCATTAGTTAAGCAGTGACCTCGTGACAAAAGATCTAGCATCATAACAATATACTACTGTGGTGAGACAGTAATTGACGTCAATGTTTATGTCCCCAATATTGGCGGTGAGAAAATGAGAACAAAGGCTTTGCGTAGGCGGATACAGTTAGCATATGGATGATCTGACACAGCCACAAAGAGATGCAAGGTTAACTTTCTGTGAGAAACAACCAATCAAAAGACTGTATTTTCTACTAACAATAATCTACAATAAAATCTATAGGTATGTGTTGATTTTCCTTAATAAAGGATCTGTTGCCTGGCCCTTGTCTTCTGTTGTTACACTACTACTCCTACTGTCTGTGTGTACGATGACTTTGTTAAGAAGTATGGTTTTAATAGAACATATCGTCGAAAATACCCATCAGGATATTAAATTGAAAAGAACAAGAAATTCAAACAAACACTTTGAAGCAATACAGGAAAAATGCAGAAATAGCAGTGATTGAGCATGCAAAGCGAATTTTTAGGCAAGCAATGGACACTCCTCTACTTGGTATTGTAGAATCAGAATGAAAAAAAGAGTTCATGAATTCACAAATAAACCTCATTCAAGAAGATGAAAATATTTAGTCAATAGTATGGTCAACTTTCTTTACTGTAATAAATTTATTGATCTCATCTTCTATATCGTGATCTTATCACCTTCTAAATGGTTACATGGTAACATGAACTCACTTATTTGTGTACAAGTTTCTACACTGATGTATTCATCAGAAAATTAGTATCATGGTTGCGAAACTTTCTTGTGAAAGCTTTTATGATGTTCAGTAGTGGGATAACTTAAGGGCTGTTTCATCGTTTATCTCTATTGAAGCCCTTTTTCCTATAAGCTTAACAATTCAGTAATTACATTGTTAATATTCTTATTTCCTTTAGTTCCTAGAGGAACATGGGGCTTCAACCTCACGTCTCCATTGAGTTCGGTTCTCTGCCACGTTTTCACCGGACTCCACGTCTGCCCATATGCTCTCATCTCCTCTTCACATGACCTCCTTCACTCCATGTCACCCTCACACTGACGACCAACTAGCCGCTTTCCATTCGGGTTCCACTCGAGTCATGGCCTGGCATATGATGCCACTTGATAGTTTCCTCAGAGTATAGCCAATCCACCTCCATTTATTCCTGCGTATTTGTTGCGCAATCGGATCCCGGTTGGTTTGCTCCCAGAGATGCCTCAATATTGCTGATCTTTTCTGGTCGGCCATCTGATCTTGAGTAGTATTGACAGAAGACAGCTGTCAATGGTGTGTAGTTTGTTAGAAGTGCCCTTCGTGACATGGTACCAAGTCTCTGGATCCATATAGTAGCACATTCTTCACATTGGAGTTGAAAATCTGGATCTTATTTCCATTTTCATGCTGAGTGCTATTGATCTCCACACAGACTTGAGAGTAATGATAGCTAGACTTGCTTTCCTGATCCTCACTTTGATATCCTTTTCATTTCCGTCCACCTGTAGTTGAAACGATGCTTCCCAGGTCAGTCAGTAGGTAGGCAGGTGAAGGAGGTTGCATCTTTCAGGTTCCTCCCATTTATGCTGACTGGTGTTTGTTGTTGTTGCTGTTGGCCAGTAATCTTCATCACCTCTGTTTTCTCTATGTTCACCTGAATGCCTATCATTGATGCTTCTTCTGCCAACTTGTTGCTTTTCACTTGCATGCCTCCCAGTCTATGGGAAATTAGACGTAAATTATCGGCGAAGTCCAGATGCTCCAAGTTGTTTGTGTGGGTCCATTTTATGCCTGTTTCCTCGCTTCCCATCGCTGTTTGTCACATTATCCAGTCTACCGCAACCAGGAGAATCCTTAGGTAGTAGAAAAATAAGCATGCAAATCAAACAAGACACTTGTGTAATTCCGTATATTTTGTTTCCATGTCTACCCTGAGTACAACTCTTTCATTAAACTATTCA